TGCACAATCCATTCGTTTTGACTCTGTCAGAAGCAGAAGATGTTAAGGATGAGGTTATCTCAAAAAGTGTTCAACAGTTTTGGGTAAGAACCTATAACCTATATTAGGAAATTTTCATGGCTATTGCATTTAGTTGGTTGATTTTGATCTAATTTTAGAACTATTGTTTACCTAAATTAGTCTCCTGTTCTTTGATGGATTGCAAAACTTATTTGTAGTTTTATTTAAGCTTCCTGATCCTTTACCCCTTTATCTTATGTTTTTCAGATTTCATGTAATTCGAGTGATAAGTTACTTTATGTTCTTGCTCTCATAAAGTTGGAGTTGGTGTTGAAGAAAGTTTTAATTTTTACCAACACTATTGATACTGGTTTCAAATTGAAACTATTCTTCGAAAAGGTATTCCTTCTTCATCTTAAATTTAATGCTTCCTCACCTTTGCTATTTAGTAGTCACTAATTAGCTTCATTAATATTTTCTTGCATGCTTTCTATTTGAGTTCCTATCATAAAGTTAAAAGCAACTGCTAACTTGCGTAGTTTTAGATTATGTCACATTAGCAATGTAGATTTTTGTCATCCTTTTTGAATGTCACCACCAAGTGTTTCATTGCATCTAACCTCTATCTTAGATTAGGCCTAGTTTGGACATTTTAATTTTTTGCTTCTCTTGGAAATTACCATGTGTATGTCATTGTGGTTCTTTTTGTTAGTATGTTATTTTTTCATAACATTGGTTATCAATTTTTACTACTGAAGCTCAAGCACTTTTTAACACGTTCTGTTCTTCTCAAATAAGTAAACAGGCTATCCTGTTATCTCTCATAACGTTTACTGTGTGCAGTTTGGAATCAGGTCTGCTATCTTGAATGCTGAGTTGCCTCAGAACTCTCGTCTACATATCCTGGAGGTATAGTAAATAGTCATGTTTCAATGAGTTTCTATTTAGATTTAAAATACTATTTTATATGTATTGTTATTTATGCAATGCTAGAGCTGAAAGATGAAAATTTTGATAATACCATTTGCAATGTATGTTGTGATTTTTTACATGTATTGTTATTTATGCAATGCTAGAGCTGAAAGATAAAAATTTTGATAATACCATTAGCAACGTTAACCGTTGTTAGTTTAGTTGCTTATGCCTGCAATTTTCCCCCTTTTATCAGGAATTCAATGCCGGGCTTTTTGATTATTTGATTGCGACTGATGACAGCCAAACAAAAGAGAAGGAACAAGCTGTTAGAGACAAAGATGTGGACTCAAGGAAGTCCAGAAAGGGTGCTAAGCCAAAACTTGACTCTGAATTTGGTGTTGTGAGGGGAATTGACTTCAAAAATGTGCATACGGTAAGGGTTTTTTTTATTTATTTAAATCTAAGCTTCAAAACTTATGATCAGTTACTGTTTTTTAAGATTAGTTTTTCCATCTTTAAGGTTTGCTATGTACTATAGTTACTGGCCTTTTGTTTTATTGTTGTTTTTGTGCTTCTTTTTTGCGCAGGTTATAAATTTTGATATGCCTTCAAGTGCTTCAGGATATGTACATCGTATTGGACGCACTGGAAGAGCTTATAGTGCTGGTGCTTCTGTTTCTCTTGTGAGTTCGTCTGACAAAATTATAAATAACTTTTGTAGGGCCACATCATTGGCTAAATGACATTAATCACCATTCATAGCTGCACATGAATTTACATTTTGTTTCAACTTGTTATTCATAGCTCTTGCCAATTAACCCGAATTCATTAACAGGTTTCACCAGATGAGATAGAAGTTTTTGAAGAAATTAAATCCTTCTTGGGTGAAGAAGAAGACAATGGTACAAATATTATCATGCCATATTCATTGTTGACTAAGGATGCTGCGGAGTCTTTACGATACAGGGTCGAGGTGATGTTATTTTGTTCTTTCAATGTCCAATGATACATTTTTCATTATTATGGTCAAGTTTAATGGCTGTTGAACAGTGAAAACTTTTAGCTTTTACAAATTCATTGTTTCAGTGCTAACTGGGTTATATATTTAGTGCGTGTTGCTTATTTTGAGAGGGCGAATCTTGCAGGATGTGGCAAGGAGCGTGACGAGAATTGCTGTTAGAGAATCACGAGCTCAGGATTTAAGGAATGAAATCCTCAACTCTGAAAAGTGAGTAATTACTGTTTGTCAAATATATTAACAGTGTATCTGTAATTTAGCCTAGTTGCTGGGTTTAGTCTCAAGTTTTTTGAGTTGGTTGCTTTTGTTTTGGTTAGGTTGAAGGCTCATTTCGAAGTAAATCCAAGAGATCTAGGTAACAGGCGGATGTCGTAGGCTAATGCTTTCATTATTTCCAACATTATTACGATGTCCCGAGTCCTTATACGTCTCGTGCGCTTAACTGTGCCAGATTTATTGAAGCATGACAAGGTTCTGAGCAAGGACCCTCCCGCTCCCCATCTTCGTGATGTGCCCGACTATCTGTTAGACCAAAAAACACGTGATGCCAGCAAAATGGTCAAGCTTACTAGGGCTGCAATGGGAGATAACAAATCCTGTCGACGCCAGGGAGCCAAGAAAAGATACAGAAAAAGCAGAGATCCTCTCAAGAGTTTCTCTGCTGAGGTGAACCAAACATCAGTTTCATGTTTATCTGAGAATGTTGTGACATTGCTATGCTTTGTGATTTAATCTTAACATCTTTACAATTATTTGGTCTCAGGCACCGAAGAGAGTTGGCAAAGATAGGATGAAGGGAGAGGAAAAAGGTTTGGAGTTCACCCGTAAATCGAAAAAGCAAAAACCTGTCTGATTTTTCAGTTACAATTCGTGTTTACCGTTAAAACTGACCGGCAATGTCTGCCCATTACCGTAGGCATGAATGTTGTTATTTTATTTCTCAAGTTTTATTAGAAAATAGATTTTTCTTCATATATGTCAGTCTATCCGTTTTACTGTCCATGTTTTAGGTTTGTGATTTCCCCTCCTAACAGTATCGTCTCTAAAGTCGGAAATTCGTCTTACCGTAACATCCAACACTTGTTATGGTCGCAAGAAGTGTTACCTGTGAATGTGGCATGTTTGAAGGTTCATGAGATTATGTTACTCGTCAAATTCGAGTATGGTCGATGTTTTAAGTTTTTTTCCTGTATTTAGAGCGTTCTTTGAAGCTATATCTTATGTTTATGTATTGGACACGAGTGTTGGATATGTGTATTGCAAGAGAAATAGTCAGATGCAGTATAGGATGAGGTTGAAAAATTCCAAATGAAATAACTGAAAGTAAATTGAGATTCATACCACTATTCGATCCTTGTTAACATCATCACAAGTATCGGACCAAAAATATTATAATTAATTTCAAAAATAAATTTTTTAAATATTATTCCATTTTCCAATCTAATTATAATCTAATAATTAAGTTCAACACGGTTATTTTATATTTTTATTAATATTGCCGGTTACTTTTTTTTGTAAAAATATGAAAAATTAAAAAGAACAAAAAAATTTAGAAGAAAATGTGAAAAACATATCTATAATATTAAAAGTGGGTTGTGAAAAACAAATTTTTAGTTGGTCTAGTATATCGAGACATTAGATTTCTTCAGTAAGATCAACAATTCGAACCCTAGCATTTATGAATGGAGCAAATTGGGTTGGGAGGGTCGTTCTCGTCTTTGTAGTACTCGATCTGGATTAATCGATCAATAGATTGGATGTCAGTGGTTAATTAAAAAAAAGTTACACATTTATAAAAATATTTTTAAAATCATACAAAAATTATGAAAATTTATAATATTCCCCATTTGATTTAACTCGTTCAAAAATAAAAATAAAAATTTAAGAGACGAAAGTGAAAAGGAATTTAAGAATTAAAATAATTTTATTAAATTTGAAAGTAAAAAGTATAAAAAATTAACAAATTAAAATACAACGGATTTAAATATATATATATAGTTAAAATATTATCATCGAAGATATTTATTTAGTCAACGTAAAATATCACTAGAAGTTTAATCAATATAAAATACACCTTGGCTTAAAGGTATAATTTAATTATGGTAAAAAAAGTACTTGGAAACAAGTTAAAACAAAAGGGGGTGAATTTATGAGGTGAATCTAGTGATTAAGGGAGTGTTATTTACCCTTGAAAAATTAAGATTTTGAGTTTGAATAATTATAATTATAGAATGTATATACATTATTAATTATTAAAATATTTATAAATAAATATTATTTTATAATTATTTCAAATTATATAAAAGAAAACAAAAAGCGGGTTTTACCCAACGGTGAAAAGTAAAAAACAACAGGACCACCTGAGTGAACACTTCACGGACTAAACTAAACGACTAACGAGAATTTGTCACTAAAGCAAACAGATATTGTGGGGCCCATCATCAATTTTTTAATAATTATTTTATAATGTTTTAACTTTTAACAAATTTAATTGTTAAATTATATTTTTCAACTTCAATGAATAAAAAGAATATTTTTAATAAAATTTAATGAACTATTGCATGGGAAGTTCTACCGTACGATATTTTTAATATACAAATAAAAAAGTGGTATTGATTTTGTTATTATTTAAATAATAAAATTGGTAAAAAATTACTTAAAATATTATTATTTATACCTAAATCATCAATGCTTTTTAATATTTTCGGTAAAATGACCAACAATAACAAAATCGATAAAAAAAATAACAAAACCGGTAGCGCTTTACCGATTTTGTTAAGAAACCCGGTAAAATATCCCATAATAACAAAATCGGTAGAAATAATCATATTTTCGATAAATTTTTACCGATTTTATTATTTGAATAATAACAAAACCAGTAACATTATTTTTTAATCGTATATTAAGACGCTACACGTGATCATTTCCTCTCTTGTATACTTTATTTAAATGTAAAGTTTCAAAAGAGCACTAATTATAATTTAATTTGGATTTGTTTTTATTTTATTTCGTTTTTTAATTTAATATTACAATCCGAAGCCGACGTATACATATTTCTCTGCACATTTGTTATGTCCCCCGTCTATTTTTCTCCTCTGTTTTCTTCGCCGGAAAATTGCGTCAGTTTCGCCGGCGAATTGCCGGTAAAACGAAAGTGCGTTTTATCAACAGCGAGGTATCATTTTTCGAGCTCGACATTAACTCGTTTGAAAATATTAGACGTTCTTTTAAATTTTGTATTTATTCAGTTTTTTTCCACTTTTTCTTTTATTTTTTTTCTGGGAATTTTTCACTACATATCTGGTGGATGAGCGAGATTTAGATTTTATTCTTCTGTTTTAACTGATTTTGTTTTAATTTGCGATGAATTTGAGGAAAATATTAGGAATTTAGGTTCCTTTTTTGTTTGTTTGGTTTTGATGGAAGAGCGGTCGAGATCTGGGGAGCATTCGGGGATTTTGGTGAAGAGTAGGAGCCAATCGGGGTGTTTGATCGTGTGGAGGAAAGGGAATGTTTTGGGTGGACCCGGGTCCACAGGGATCCGTAAGATTTACGAATCTAAAACAGATAATAAGAGGTCTAGGATGATTATGAGTGATTCGGGTTCTAGCGATGAGCTAGTAATGCCACCTCGAATGAGGGTTGGACCGGAGAATTTTCAAGTTTGTAATGGTTTAGCTGTTTATGAAGAGAATGGAATTGGTAGGAAGAGGAATAGGGAGGAGAGGATAAGGCGAGAGGAAGGTTTCATTAGTTTTAATGATGAGGATTTTAGTGAGAGTAAGAGGAATAGGTTAGATGTGTTCAACCTTAATGAATATGGTGGATTTGATGAGGATATGATTATGAGAAGGAACGGATTTGATTATGGTGGAGACAATGTACGTGGGAGGAGATTGCTGGGTTCAATGCCTGAGGTTGCTCGGATGAGTATAGAGAGGGAATATGAGAGTGGCCCAAGCAGGCATGCTTTTCATGAGAAGAAGAAGAAAAATTTGTACTTTGATAAAAGTGAAGGGATGAATCGGGATGATCATGATGATAAAAACAGGTTCAGGAAGGATAGGGATGGGACTCAGATGCGATATCCCTTGTTGAGGGAGAGGTATATGGTTGATTCAGATGAACCCATTAGGGTTCAGGGCAAAAATGGTGTTTTGAAGGTAATGGTGAACAAGAAAAAGAAGATGGGCGAGCCTTTGAAAAATTTTGATCTCTTTGAAGTTGAGGAGGGTCGGAGTGGTTCAAGGATTGACGATGCAGTTAGGAGGAACTTGCATGTTCGTCCATCATTGTACTTGGAGACAGAAGTTCTCGAGAAGCCTGTTTCATTTGGTAGGAAAGAGAAAAAGAAAAAGAGTTTGCTAAGGACATCAACAACTAAGAAGATTAAGGTCTCTGATTGTGACTCAGAGGACAGTGATACAGCTCCGAAGCTACAACCAAAGGATTCTGAAACTTCTAACCCAGCAAAGAGGGTAAGTAGCAAAGAGGAGAAAACTCAAGTTGAGCAGCTTCAGTCTACCAGAATCAAAGAAGGAAAAGTTAGGCGTGGGTGTGGTACAGAAAAACAAAAATTGCGTGAACAAATAAGGGGGATGCTTCAGGAAGCAGGTTGGACAATCGATTATAGACCAAGGCGGAACAGGGATTACTTGGATGCAGTGTACATCAACCCTGCTGGAACTGCATACTGGTCCATCATCAAGGCATATGATGCACTTCTAAAGCAGTTAGACGAGGATAATGACAGGAATCGCTTTGGGGATGGTCCGGCATTTACCCCACTATCAGATAAAGTACTCAGTCAATTAACAAGGAAAACAGGAAAGAAGAGGGAGATGAAAAAGAAGATAAAAGATGAAAGTGGCAGTGAGAATGCTCGAGAACCTGTTGCTTGGAAATATTCAAGCATCAGGCATGAAGAAGAGAGTACGGATAGCTTGAGTCATGAAGAGAAACCAAATTCCTTCATGAAGGGTAAGCCATATAAATGTAGGATGAATGACAATGATGCCTTCAGTGGAAATTCAAAAGGTCAAAGTTCTCTCCATGTGCATGATAGCTATGAAAAACCATCATCTACATCCAATTCTCATCTTGTACGTGGAAGAAAAAGTAGAAAACTTGGCAGATGCACCTTGTTGGTTCGTGTTTCTAATGTGGGTCCGTGTTCAGAGGGTGACGACTTTGTTCCATATTCTGGGAAAAGAACACTGCTTGCCTGGCTGATTGATTCTGGGGCTGTGCAGTTGAGTCAAAAGGTGCTGTATATGAACCGTAGGCATACAAAAGTGATGCTAGAGGGCTGGATCACAAGGGATGGGATCCACTGTGGCTGTTGTAGTAAGATCCTAACCGTTTCAAAATTTGAGATTCATGCTGGAAGCAAATTGCGCCAGCCATTTCAGAATATATATTTGGATTCTGGTGTTTCTGTCCTTCAGTGCCAAATAGATGCATGGAACAGACAAGTAGAGTCTGAGCAGATTGGTTATCATTCCGTGGATGTAAATGGTGATGACCCCAATGATGATACTTGTGGCATTTGTGGAGATGGTGGGGATCTGATTTGTTGTGATAGTTGTCCCTCAACATTACATCAGATCTGCCTCAATATAGAGGTACTGTTGCATTACTTTTGCACCTGCTATATAATGTTTTGCATTTATAAATGGTGGTTACTTTCTATTGTTTGCTTTCTTCTTCTTCTTCTTCTTCCCTATTATAAGTTAATCCTCCTTACAGCAACACTATTTTAGAATTTTTTTTTGTTAATTTGTACTCCTGTTGGAAGTTTTTCTTTTACCTTCTGTGTTTGTTTACTTATTCTAATTAGTAGTCGAACACAAACTTGGCTTGTTCATGTTAACAATGCTGCTTAGCGGCTTCACTTAGCTTTTATATCTACACTTTTACAGTTTCTACCAGCGGGTGATTGGCAATGTCCAAATTGCATATGCAAATTTTGTGCTAATGGCAGCAGCATTGCTCAAGAGGATGATATAACTGATTGTGTCCTTCTCACTTGCAGCCTGTGCGAGAAAAGATGTACCCATTCTCTTCTTTTTGGTGTTCTATCAATACTTTTAAGTTTGAAGTTCCTTTTTAGTTTCCTCTCCTTGGTTTCTTGTCAAAAAAAATCTGATCCTTTCCACTTCTGCAGACCACAAATCTTGCATCAAAGTGACAGATGAGATTCACATTGAATCCAACAGTTCAGATCTTCCTTTTTGCGGGCAGACATGTAGTGAGGTAATATATTTTTCTTCTGTTGGAATGCTGAATATTGTAATTAGATGTAAACCAAGAAAATGGGAAAATCGATCCTAGAAGCATTCATGCCCTCTGTATAGCATCTAAACTAATCTTGCATCAACTTGTCGAGAAGGAAATAATGTTGGTTCGAAAGTAACTTCAGTTTTCATTATGTGATTTTATTGGCTTTTGTTGCTGGCTAACTCAATGTTACTATGAACCCTATTGACAATGAAATTTTATTCGTATGCAGTGTTCACTGTATTACCATGATAGTATTAAACATAAACAGTACATCAAGGTTTATATATGTGTTTTCTGCTAGATTGTATATTATGCCACTAGACATGGGATTTTATTTCTCTATTGCTGTGGTTATGCATCTCAGAGTTTCTTTCTTTATCTTTGTTTGGGAATCATACTGTTTCTTCGAAATATTTGAAGTGTGCAAGGCAAATATGTAGCTTTGTACCTGTGGGTAAAACTCTTATCATGAAATTTAGCAATAAAGTTTGTAATGGCTGCAGTGTTTTTTTGTTGTTGTTGTCAATATTGCTTAAACAGAAAGGTTGTTTTGTAGGTGTGTAATTTATAGTTATCAGGTAGATGTATCTTATGTCATCATTCAGTTCTGGAATTTGTTTTTGGTATTTCCCTTTAGTTTATGCATTATGAAGTCATAGTTCCTCACTTTTTATTTTCCCAGAATCAAAATTGGTATAGTTTTTGCTAATATCTATGCACTTTGTTCTGGTTCATGGCTTGTCTGCTCCTATATCATACTATGAAGGCACACGTTGAAAAATGTTTTTGTTGTTTCTACAGCTCTTTGGGCATTTGCAGAAGTATCTAGGGGCCAAACATGAATTAGAAGGAGGATTCTCATGGTCTCTTATTCGAAGAATAGATGCAGATTCAGATATATTTGCCAGAGGGCTTCCACAAAGGGTGGAATGCAATTCTAAACTAGCTGTTGCTCTGACTGTGATGGATGAATGCTTTTTGCCCATTGTTGACAGGAGGAGTGGGATCAACTTAGTAAATAATGTCCTTTATAATTGTGGGTAAGCATTTTGGTTGCCCTAGAGAACTGTCTGATAGTTTTATATATTATAATAGTTTTCTAAAGGGTCCGAGGGACACATTTCGTATTTAAGCAGTGTTTGGTATTATTTTATTCAACAGTTTAAAATTACATTAAACTCTTACTGTGGTTAATGTTTTTATCCAGTCTCGTCTTCTTTGTCAAATATCAAACATCTAACTGTTTGTAATTTACTGCTTTTATCTTCAAGATCGAACTTCAACAGGCTGAATTACTCTGGATTCTACACTGCTATTCTGGAGAGAGGCGATGAAATAATTTCTGCAGCATCAATCAGGTAATTAACATTTTTGGCATCTTTATGCCCTTTGCACCTTCCCCCTCCTTAATGAAGACTAGAATCACTAAACAGAATTGCTCTGAATGCATCTGTATTATCTATCATTCTAATAACTGCATACTGATTTGGTAATTTATTTCCGTATGTAGGTTTCATGGAACTCAGCTAGCAGAGATGCCATTCATCGGCACTCGTCACATATACAGGCATCAGGGAATGTTCCGACGGCTTTTTGGTGCTATTGAGTCGGTAAGCTGTGAGGAGCTTGTTCATATATGTATATTATGTCTGGATTGTGCTTAACTCGGTTGTTCTTTGTTTTTCTCAAGGCTCTCTGTTCTCTCAAGGTTCACAAACTAGTCATCCCTGCTATAGCTGAACTTACACATACCTGGACTGCAGTTTTTGGTTTCACTGCTGTAGAAGAATCAGTTAAACAAGAAATGAGGTCGATGAATATGTTGGTCTTTCCGGGTATAGCTATGCTGCAGAAGGTTCTGCTGAAGCTAGACAACACGGATGCAAACTTGATGGCTGAGCCAAGATCTAATGAGGATATCACTCCTGAGGTGGCTAATGGATCTGAACCCGCTTCATCATCTTGGAATGATACTCAAGAGTGTGATAATGGTGGTTTGCATCATTCTAGTCGAATGAATGGTAAAACTGCAGTTGCAGATTCAGATTCAGATTCATATTTGCCGTGTCCAAATGTCTCTGTAAATGATACTTGTGGAACCAGTGATTCCTCGGATGAATCCCCGGAACCTAATGACGAAACTGCACTTATTAATTATCAAACAACGGACACGAGGAATTTATATCGGCTAGATAGTAAATATGATGCAAGCCCTAGCTTAAGCCATGATGCACCTGAGGAACATAACCTGTCTGATGATGGCACTGATTCACAGTCGGGAAAAAAGGCAACCGGATCTGCTTCGGACGGTGAAAATACCAGTACCTCTACGGACTATAACACTGTAGACAAGGGAAATAAAACAGAATCAGACTCTGGTATCAAGAGAACTACTCCCGATGGACATAATAACAGCCAATCTTCTGATGGAAGCGATATGTAATGATGTTCAATGAGTTGATAACAAAGCCATTTCCGATGAACTTTGCAGTTTGAGTCTCGATTAAGGAAAACAAGCTTGCCGATCTCGATTCTGGGGGCAAGTTAGCAAAGCCGGCTTCCCCTGAGAAATCCCGATGCAATAGAGATGGAAACTAATTAAACATCGGAACTTCTTTCAGATCAACCGTGTTCTTGTGAGGAGCATAATGTGTGATCAAGAGTTGTATCACTCAAATCCATTACTTTTTTTTACCGTGTCATGTAATTACCACAAGTTTTTCGAAAAAAAAAGATATAAATTTTTTCTCTCTCATCTTAAATTTGATTGGTATCAATTTTACATAATTAGTTTGTTTATTTAATAAAACAGAAAAAATTATGTTTTTTTTTCTAACAAACTTGTAAAAAATATATTTCGTATTATTGTGGGGTTACTAATAATGAACTTTATTATTTATTTTATTTGAGTTTTTTTATAAATAATTTATAATAAAATAAAAATATATTGCTTTCAAAGATTGCAGTTGCACAGAATTGCGAGAGCATCGGTTATCAGGGATGTAAAGAGTCTGCTTTGGAGGCTCTTGAGGATATTTTGATTCGACTTGGGGAAAAATGCAAGTTTTCATGCTAACTTAATGTGTCTTGTTTCCAGTTTGTGGATACGAAAGAGGAAATGCCATTTGCTCAGCCAGTGCCTAAGTTTCCAGTTGTTAGGAACAGGAAGCTGATTCCCAGTTTCGAGCATATGAATGAAACCCCGTCTGGAAAGCATATCCTGAATTGGTTTCCGGCTTTCCCTGATCACCACACTTATAACCATACACCGATGTGGAATGAGAGGGCATCGGATCCTTGTGCTGATAAGATCGAGCAAGCTAGGCAGCAGAGAAAGGCTGAGAGGACATTGCTGAGGTTGCAACAGACTGTTGTGTAACGGCTCTGCTGGAACTTCTGCTTCCATGGTTTTGGATGCTAAAATGGAAAACATACAAGAAGCTGGAAGTAACCCTTTTCTCGCTGCCCCATTGCAACCTGGGGAAAAAGATGTTTCGTAGGTTTCTTCGCCAACTAAGCTTTCCGATGAAGTGAGCAAGGGTGATCATGTTTCTTTGCTGGGTGCATTTGCTCCTGCCATTGAAGCAATGCAAACTGGCCCATCTGACCGATTTGATGGTGAAAAGGAGATCCTGCCCGAAAAAAGGCCTGCTGTTCAATTCAAATTCAAAACCGGAAAGAAAATCCTGGGTAAGTCGCTGGATTTGAGCTTGCAGAAAAAGGGTGAGAGGAGTGCATCATTCTTTTTGAGTGATGACGAGAGGGACGATAAGAAGAGGAGAGCTGAGTTTATTCTTAGACAAACTACAGAATATCGGACAGAACTTAACCAGTCTTAAAAGTGTATGTTTGGTAGTTCTTTCTCGAAATCTCGTGTTTTTTGGCAATTAATTGTTTTAACGGGCTGCCGATGCTTTATCCTTGGATCATGCTAACTGTAATCATACTGTTGGGAGACTCACTCTAACAGATTTAGAGGTATGAAAGCTATTGTTTTGACATCACTAGCTCTAGTTTCATTTTAATTCTTTGGGAATGAGGTTCTGCCACCATTTGTGTTGTACTGAATACCGATACACTGCTGTTTTCTATCGGATTATGCACTGAATTCTTTTCTGCCTATGGTTTCAATAACTGTCATGTACCAAATTGTATCCGTTTACAATATTATCATTCAAAGTTAGGCCAATTCATGCTCTTAATATGTGGCTCTTTTTGATAGGGAAAATTCATTTTCTCGATGTTGGTTAAAGGTCGGATTCATCTCTTCATTTTAGGCTGCAACAAAATTAGTTATTTAAGATTTGCTTGAAGCTATAATCTATTATAGTTGTGAATTTGAGAAGGGAGGATTGTTTGCTTGAAATCTCATATTGCTATACCGAAGCAACACATCTGGAATGCTTAGAACCTACAAAATGATGTCTTCAAATTTACCGGTGTGAGTTTTCGATGTCTAAAGCACCCTTTTGATTGAAGCCATATGTATTCTTGTTCTGCTGCATATGTCTTGTGCTCGCCACCATTTTCGAGCGCTACAACGTATAAGGGTGCCCCTCATTTGAAGCTTCTGATTTTCTGCTTTGCCACTGCTTCTATCATCCTTAGTTTTTGTCAAAGGTGAGTGCTTCATTACTGTATTTTCAACCTTATCCATCTGCAATTGTGCTCAGGAATTTTGTTGTCTTGTTTGTTATGTGAACTTCTGTTGGAAATCTAAGTAAATGAGTCAAAGAATTCATTGTTGAGATGCATGTTGTCTTCCTCTCATCCCGTGGGAAAGAATTTGTTGGTGCATTTTGATTCTTTTCCGGTTCAATAAACGATGATGACGATGACGACCAGAACAACGATGATCTACGTAAATGGTTTATATTTCATAGTGTTTCTAATGGAAATGTTTGAGGCCTCGTATGAGAAGTATAGAATATATAGTTCGTAAAACTTGCAGATATTGAAGAAGCATTGTATTCTCGTGGAGGAAACATATGCATTTGGATGTCTACTTTTATTTACCTATAAAAGCTATAATATTTTAACACAAATGTAATATGAAAAAAATACAATATAAATTTAGTAAAAATAGCAATTTACTGATTTAAAACTTTTTAATTAATAATAATTAGTTTTTTTCGATGATGAGAAAGTACAAATTACAAGAATAGTCTATAAGAATAAAAGAGAATCAATGAAATTTATTTATCATTTCTCTTATAACATTATTATTGATGTTAAAAGATAAATATCTTCGATGTTAATACCACGATATTAATTTGATTTTATTATAATTTAATCGTGATTTATTTTTAGTGACAATGAGTATTTAAATAATAAAGACAAATTTAAATTTAAAACAGAGATGGAACATCAATTTTAACTTTTTTAAAATTAAAATAAACTATAAGAATAAGTAAAATCATAACTGTTTTCGTGCGGAAAAAAATAACATAATTGAAATATGTAAGTACATAAACATATTAAAGTTTGACATATTTTTAAAAATATTTTGTTATTTAAAATTAAATAATTAAAATTATGGAAAAAAACCCAATCTTTTCTTTCCCAACAAGACACGGAGCTTTCTCTAGTTCCTTCCTTAATAACAAATCTTTCTCCTTATTTAAATAACCCAACGCTCTCTTCCACAGATCCCATTCATTGTTCAATCAAATTCGAACAAACCCAACACCTAAAGCCAATTTCTTCTTTGTGATTCTCTGTTCTTGGATCAACCAAAACTATGTCAAACCAAGCAGAATCATCCGACTCGTAAACACTCAGATATTTTTTTCTTCCTTTTTCTTCAATGGGTTCGTTTTAGATTTCGATGATCCGATTCCCATTTTTTGTTTTTCAGGAAAGGGACTAAGAGAGATTTCAGTACTGCGATCTTGGAAAGAAAGAAGGCACCAAATCGGCTCGTTGTCGATGAGGCGGTCAACGATGATAACTCCGTTGTGGCTATTCATCCCGATACCATGGAAAAGCTCCAGCTATTTCGGGGTGACACTATCCTCATCAAGGTTTCTATTTTAGGATTTGAGTTCTTTTGTTTTGCTCGATTAATGGGTATTTGTTTATGTTTGGTGTTTGTTGTGGTTTCATGTAATTATTCTAATGGGCTTTTTATGCTGTTTTGAATTCATAATCGATCTAGGTCTCTCTTGCGCTAGGTTGGATGAATGATGAAAGTTTATTGTAGATTGTTTATTAGAATTGTAGGTTGTTTATTAGGTTCTTTTTATTATTATTTTTGGTTAGTGGAGATTTGTTTGTGTTAATTGTTTGTTGTTTTTTAGATTTTGGGGTTTTGTTTGATGAATTATGAGTCTCATTGGCTTTTTATGCTGTCTTTAAATCGATTTGGGTTTTCTCTTGCGATAAATTGGAATGCGTGATGGAGGTCATTGTAGGCCGTTTTCATGATTATGTTGCGGGGGTCAATATTGTGTCTCTAGTTTGTGTTATTGGAATTGCAAATTTTTATGTACAAGTTTAGGAAATTCAATGTCTTTAAGCTTATAAATAGCTTGCAACCACTGTCGTTTATGTTTGTTTTTGGTCCATAGGGGAAGAAGAGGAAAGATACTATCTGCATTGCTCTCGCTGATGAAACATGTGATGAACCGAAGATCAGGATGAATAAAGTTGTCAGGTCAAACTTGAGGGTTAGGCTTGGTGATGTTGTATCTGTGCATCAGTGTCCTGATGTTAAGTATGGGAAACGGGTGCACATCTTGCCTGTGGATGACACTATTGAAGGGGTCACTGGAAATCTCTTTGATGCTTACCTTAAACGTGAGTTTAGTCTTAATACTTTATTTCCAACTTATATATGGATTTGTATTTTGTAATTTATATAGTTTTGGTGATCTAAGAAGTTAAAGGGGTAAAATAGTTCATTTTTTTTTAATCGATCACAAGTCCATTGATTCATTGAATAACATAAATTAGCCTATCGAGTGCATTTTTTTCACATCATAAAGCATATTTGTATGTTCAGAAGGCATTTATTCACGGCCTTAAGCATTCAAGGAGTTTCTCTTTCCTTCTTTTTATGTGCATGTATGATGTTAAAAATATTTTTTATAGACCGCCCTTGCCGAGTGTTAACTTTCACTTGCTTTGTATAAATTGATCTGTCCACCTGGGATGGACACATATCATCACTCGTGCATCCTTGGTGACTCGATAATTAAATACTGACTAAGATAGTTTTTCATTTACAGCTTACTTTCTGGAAGCCTACCGCCCAGTGAGGAAGGGTGATTTCTTCCTTGTCAGAGGTGGAATGAGAAGTGTGGAATTCAAGGTTATCGAGACTGACCCTGCTGAGTACTGTGTAGTTGCACCAGACACCGAGATATTCTGTGAGGGAGAACCTATTAAGAGGGAGGATGAAAATAGATTAGATGAGGTAGGTTATGATGATGTTGGTGGAGTGAGAAAACAGATGGCACAGATCCGTGAATTAGTGGAGCTCCCGTTGAGGCATCCACAGCTCTTTAAGTCAATTGGTGTGAAGCCACCTAAAGGAATTTTGCTTTACGGACCTCCTGGATCTGGAAAGACTTTGATTGCCCGTGCTGTTGCTAACGAAACTGGTGCTTTCTTTTTTCTGCATCAATGGTCCAGAGATCATGTCAAAATTAGCTGGAGAGAGTGAAAGCAATCTCAGAAAGGCATTTGAAGAAGCAGAGAAGAATGCACCATCCATTATCTTCATTGATGAAATCGATTCAATTGCTCCCAAACGAGAGAAAACAAATGGTGAAGTTGAGAGGAGGATTGTCTCTCAGCTCCTGACTCTGATGGATGGTCTCAAATCCCGTGCTCATGTTATTGTTATTGGGGCCACAAACCGTCCCAATAGCATTGATCCAGCTCTCAGAAGGTTTGGAAGATTTGATAGGGAGATTGATATTGGTGTCCCCGATGAAGTTGGTCGTCTTGAGGTGCTTCGTATCCACACAAAGAATATGAAGCTGGCTGAAGATGTAATATAAAAAACTGGAACTTATTTTCTTTCCTCAAAGATTGTGTACCATTTTTTTTGTCTAAACAAGTGTATCAAATCTAATTAATTTCCTAACTTAATGCAGGTTGATTGATTTAGAAAAAATTTCAAAGGAAACCCATGGTTATGTTGGTGCTGATCTTGCAGCTCTCTGTACTGAGGCAGCATTACAGTGCATCCGGGAGAAGATGGATGTGATCGACTTGGAAGATGATTCGATAGACGCTGAGATATTAAACTCTATGGCAGTTTCAAATGAGCACTTTGCAACTGCTCTTGGAACAAGCAATCCATCGGCCCTGCGTGAAACAGTGAGTAATGAATATGTTTGATGTACAGATTCACTGCCAATTAAGATCTTTTTGGGTTAATTTGGTTTTTAATATGTTTTTTCCTTGTATCTGGTCAGGTTGTTGAAGTGCCCAATGTCAGTTGGGAAGATATCGGAGGTCTCGAGAATGTTAAAAGAGAGCTTCAAGAGGTAATACTGTTCACTGATTTTGGTTACTGTTTAATTTACTCTCCTTTTATCTTTTCAAATTTCATAAAAAATGGGACTAATTTTTTTACTTTGGCCCGTAGACTGTTCAATATCCGGTGGAGCATCCTGAGAAGTTCGAGAAGTTCGGGATGTCGCCATCAAAGGGAGTACTATTCTATGGCCCTCCAGGATGTGGGAAAACTCTTCTGGCCAAAGCTATTGCCAACGAATGTCAGGCCAATTTCATTAGTGTCAAGGGTCCGGAGTTGCTTACAATGTGGTTTGGAGAGAGTGAGGCCAATGTCCGTGAAATCTTTGACAAGGCTCGCCAGTCTGCACCTTGTGTTCTCTTCTTTGATGAACTTGACTCAATTGCTACCCAGGTATGTTCAATGTTAATTCTTTTATCAGTTTCTGGCTTTGTGCGAACGGATTATTCTAGCAATGAAATTATGCTTGTGGTATACGGTGTCGGGTTTTTTGTGAAATGCTGATTCATACTTATATATTGCAGAGAGGAAGTAGTGTCGGAGATGCAGGGGGTGCCGCTGATAGGGTTTTGAACCAGCTTCTTACTGAGATGGATGGCATGTCTGCCAAGAAAACTGTTTTCATCATCGGAGCCACCAATCGACCAGACATTATAGATCCTGCACTTTTGCGACCGGGTCGTCTGGATCAGTTGATCTATATCCCTCTCCCTGATGAGGATTCTCGCCATCAGATCTTTAAGGCTTGCTTGAGGAAATCACCGATTGCAAAAGAGGTTGACCTCAGAGCTCTTGCCAAATATACTCAAGGCTTCAGTGGAGCTGATATTACCGAAATCTGTCAACGCGCATGCAAATATGCCATCAGAGAGAACATTGAGAAGGTATGACTGTGTGTTTCCTCGCGGTCTAGTTTATCATTCATTCTTATCGATGAATAAGATTGTAACATGAGATACCGTTCTGCTTTTACAGGACATTGAGAGAGAAAGGAGAAGAAGTGAGAACCCTGAAGCCATGGAGGAAGATGTGGAGGACGAAGTGGCAGAAATCAAGGCGGTACATTTTGAAGAATCAATGAAGTTTGCTCGAAGGAGTGTGAGCGATGCCGACATCCGCAAATACCAAGCATTTGCTCAAACATTGCAACAGTCGAGGGGATTCGGAAGTGAATTCAAGTTTGCTGAAACCGGTTCCAGGGCTGCAACATCCGATCCTTTTGCAACTTCGGCTGGTGGAGCTGATGAAGATGACCTTTACAGTTAATTTTTATTTTTTCAATTATGGCGAAGACCTTTTTTTTAACTTATCATCTTTTATGCAATTGTTGAACCCAAGGGAGTCTTGTTATTATCAATATTATATCTTGGTAAGTATTATAATTACACAGTGACAGGATGTATGCTTTGTTTAGTGTGGGAACATGTTAATCTTAAAATTCGAATTTATTTCGTTTTTGTTAGTTGTGCCGGTATTAAAATTTTATTTGTGCTTATGTTATTAATGTGTCATCCCTCAATATCTTTGGATCCCCACTGATTACACAATATCTGTTGATTGAGAGGTTTAGATGAATGTTAAATTATTTTAACATGACTCGAAACTTGGTTAAAAGGTGAAATTATCGTTATCGAAGTGATTATTTTTTATCATTATACTTTTTTAAAAGAAAATAAACATTTAGTGTAATAGTATTTTTTTTCATTATTTGTTGTAAAAATATTAGTTTAGATTCATGATTAGGCCTAGTTGAACTACGACGCCGTTACCCATTGTGAAGCCTCCCACCTTAAAACCCAAATTTCCATTTCGAGGTAATAAGCAAATTTTTGTTGGCCCACCAAGTGTTCGATGATTTGCCACTAAAAGCATCTTCAGTTCTATGCCAAAAACAACCCCAGCATTCAAAATGGTGTTACATTTGCTTAGAATAGGCATTGCATTCCCATCCGTCAGGAATCCTGGATTCGTCACAAGACTTCCTAGTTTTTGCTCAATTGTCCATCCGTTTATATCAATAAGGAAGATATCAAGCCAACCAACAACTACTCTAGTAAGATTCATCTTTCTCCTTTGTTCAATGATAGCTCTTTTCACTTGGATTCTTATGATATTCTGCTTGACGATGAAACCTGGAGAGTCTCATCGCCTCATCGGGTATAGCTCATGCTTACAAAGGGTTTGATGGGGGAAATGGGAGCACTACCCTCTACCCAAGCTGTTGATCAAAGGGTAGATAATGATTCCCCTACAATTGAAGATGATCAAGACTTTGATGACATTAGATAATATGAGGATTCGAGGTAATCTCTTTTATAAAACAGATCGTGGTTCCAGAGAGTTTGAGGAGTATGCTTATGACTTTCATAGGAAGAAAGGTCCCACGAATAAGGAGTCTTTGCACAAGAAGGATGATCCTAAAGAAAGCAAAAGGGTCGAGAGAAGTCGAACGTACTTGAAGATGTTAAAAATGGAAGTGTTGGAAATATTCTTGACAAAGTGGAGGTATGTTTGGTTGAGAAGAAAAAGGTGAGAACTCCCACTTTTAATCAACTCACCGGTCCTTATCATGAACCGTTTTGTCTCGACATTTACATATCGAAGGCAGCAGTTCGTGCCTGTATCATTCACCGGGCCACTAGCAAGGTTGTTGCTGTAGCTCATTCCATTTCTAAGGATATGAAGTTTGACTTAGGTTCCACAAGAGATGCTTCTGCTTGTGCGGCTGTGGGTTCAATTTTGGCTCAGAGAGCATTGGATGATGATATCCATGATGTTGTTTACACCCCAAGGAAAGGGAACAGAATAGAGAGGAAGCTTCAGATAGATCTTCAATCTATCATCGATAATGGCATAAATGTGAAGGTTAAGCTTAAACAAAGAAGACCAAAGAAAACAGTGCAGATATCTACTACTTAACTGCCATTTAGCTGGTTACCCTGGTTATATTATGACTGCATTTTTCGCTTTGCATTCTAAACTTTCGAATTGTTTGAATGAAATCACTGTCCTGACAGTGCAATATTAGTTCATAGATTCTTGTTCTTCCTGTTTCATTGTACAAAGAATCATTTAGTCTAAACATTACAAGTATCAGAACTTTCTCCTATATGCATTTCATGCTTCACAAGTTGAAACAAAGAAATCATCCGAAGGGGAACATTCAAGGATGTTTGGCGAGAAAGGAACTCTTTGCACACTTCTTTCATTGTTGGCCGTAGCTTCGGTCGTTGATTTAAACAAGCAAAAATCAATGTAGCAACGTGAACAAGATTTTGTGCAACAAGTTGGCTTGTTGGAAGTGGTAAACAATTGTCTAACACATCAATTAACTTCGTATTCACCAAAGAAGATGGTGATGGCAACCACGACAACACTTCTTCTGGATGCTTTCCCATTAGTGTTTCCAGTGCCACCACTCCAAAACTATACACATCACATTTTTCGGTGACAACCATTGTATAGGCAAGTTCTGCATGCACAAATCAAATAAAAATAAATTCAATTAATTACATATACTTTTTTGTTGAAAAAAAGTATTAATAAATGAAGTTGCAGAGAAGGGAAACATCACCTGGAGCTATATAGCCACGAGTTCCAACAAGAATGGTGTGATTAGATGAATCAAGATCCAACATTCTAGCAGTTCCAAAGTCAGCCACAAAAGCTTGAAAGCTCGAGTTCAACAGAACATTGTTACTTGATATGTCTCGATGAACTATAGGAGGGGTGCAATCATGGTGCAAGTAAGACAAAACATGCGCCATGCCTTTGATGATCTCAATTCTTTTCGTCCAATCCATTTCCACTGCTTCCACTTCATCTCTTAGGTTGTAGAATAAACTCCCTTTCTCCATGTATTCGTAGATCAAGAACATGGAGCGTCGGTGCAGACAAAATCCATGAAGCTTCACAATATTTCGATGTCGTATCTCTGTTAGAAACTTGATCTCGTTCCTGAAACTCTTGTCGAAGGCAGGATTTTCAGCTTCTAAACGATGAAGTTTCTTCAAGGCAACAACTTTTCCACAAGGGAGTTGTGCTCTGTAAACGCTTCCGTAACCACCAACTCCGATACAGTAGCGAAAGTCGAAATCCTCTGTTGCTGCGATGATATCCTCGTATGCTATCTTTCCATCGTAGTTCCATATGGAACATATGTCCCCGTTCTTTGTCGGTCGTCCTCCAGCAGGTTTATTATTGGCCTTAACGCGCGAAAAGAACAAACAACCAAGAATGGAGAAAGTATAAAAGATGGCAATAGGGAGGCATATTTTGATATAGGGAGGACTTTTATTGTTTGTGGCATTGTTGGTTACCAAAGAATTCATACAAGGCGATAAAGCCTTGTTTCCTTCGAAAGGATCGGGATAAATCTTGTAACAGTCATTACTATTATCGACAATAAGAAGCTTAGTAGCATACAAATTAGGGACATAACCGGAGAGTTGGTTGAAGGTGAGGTTTAATTCTGACAACCTATGAAGCATGGCAATCTGAGAGGGGATGGAACCATTCAATCTGTTCTGGGAGAGGTCTAATGATATTAGTGCTTCTAAATTCCCAATATCTGAAGGAATTGAACCTTGTAATTGATTTGAATGAAGATCCAAGAAAGTCAAGTTGTACAAATTACCAACACAAGATGGGATGGAACCAATCAATCTGTTTTGGGAGAGGTATAATGAAAATAAGGCTTCTAAATTACAAAGACAAGAAGGGATTGAACCAGTGAATTGATTTAGACCAAGGTTAATATGTTCCAATTTTGTTAAATGACACAGAAGTAGAGGAATATCATGACCAATAAAACTATTATTTGTGATGGCTAAAACTCTGAGGTTCTTCAGTTTTTCAATTTCCTGAGGGATGGAACCTTCAAGTTGGTTATCATAAAGGTACAAATATTGCAAATTGGTTAATTGACCCAAAGCAGAAGGGATGGAACCTTCAAGTTGGTTATAAGCAAGGTTCAAAATTTGCAAATTGGTTAATTGACCCAAAGCAGAAGGGATGGATCCATTAATTTGGTTACCAGCAAGACTCAAAGTTCGCAAATTGGTTAATTGACCCAAAGCAGAAGGGATAGGACCATGAATATAATTACGGGAAAGGCCTAGAAAGTGTAAAAGGCTAAGGTTTCCAAGAGAAGTAGGTAACTCACCAGATAAATCACAATTGGACAAGTCAAGGTACTCCAATGCCGATAGATCACCTATTCCCGGCGGGATATTTCCACCAAGCCCACGATCACTAAGATCAATTTCGGTGATGATTCCAGCAAAGTTGCATGAGATACCAGGCCACTTGCAACGTTGTGAAGTGTCGTTGCTATAGCCATTCCACCATCCACTCTCTAACACAGCTTTGGCTTCAGACTCCAATGGCGACTGTTCTGCTGTTGACATACTTGTGGCAATGGAAATGAGGATGGTAGCCCACAGTAAACCGAGAATAATGGGATGGGTGAAGGATGAGACCATGTTTAATTAGCTAAACTTTATTATCTGCTAAAGGTTCAGTTGCAGCATTGCACGTTTTCCATCCTACTGAATTTATACAAGTTCATATTTTTTTCCACCAACTCAACGTGGTGTTTACTTCAACAAGTGTTTAGTTTGGTTCAAATTATTGTCCGAAATTAGGGTAGGGTATGGAAGCAACCAAGAGAGTTCACCCACTACATTTTTTCCACATGAAAAACAGAGATCCAAAACGACAATACACAGAGCATCACCGTGGGGTTTACTGTCATGACTTTGTAGAAAACATTAATCAATTTTTATAATAACATTACGTACATATAAACCACTTTATTTGGAAGTAATAGTGGAAATCCCTCTACATTGTGTGCGATTACTAAGTGCTAATCATATTAAGTTAATAAACAAAATCATTATTCATATTAATATATAGTACCATGAATTGCCTATTATTCTATAAGCTTTTTGAAGAAGCTGAGGGAACATCCCATTCTTAATCTATCGAAGATTAGCTTTGATAGATTGGATGAGGTCGAGAAGAATATATTTCTTGACATTGCATGCTTGATATTGTAGGGATCAGGTAACAAAAATACTGGACGGTATTTAAGGTGGGTCTATATTGTGTAAGGATTTCCTTACATTATTACTCATATTAACATTATATAGTGGAAATCCTTACACAATATAGCACTCATATAAAGTTAAAAAAACAAAATTGTTACTCATATTAACATATAGTACCATGAATTGCCATTGGCTTCAAGTTAAATCCTTACACAATATAGTAATATATGAGGTTGACTTTCATCAATTATTCTAAATTTAAATTCTATTAAATTTAAATTAATAAATTTATTCTAAAAATATTAATATAATTTAGGTTAAATCAAGTTATTGTGACGATTATTCATATATATAAATAATTGAGATTATTCAAAAATATTGATATTTCTTCGAATAAAAAGAATCATGAATTAATGCGATCATTATTCATATATACAAATCATTAAGACTATTCAAAAATGTCTATTATTTTCATAAATTAAATACAAATTATTGATACTATTCAAAAGTGTCAAGTTTTCCATAAATAGGAAGAACTATGAATTAGTTTGATGACTAATTATATTTACAAGTCATTGAAACTATTCCAAAGTATCAAATTTCTATAAATCGAAAGAATCATAAATTAATATGATGATTATTCATATATACAAATTATTAAGACTATTAAAAAATGTTAATTTTTTCATTAATTAAAAGAACCTTGATGATTATTCATATATACAAATCATTGATACTATTCAAAAGTATCAAATTTTTACGAATTGAGAGAATCATAAATTAATGTGATGATTATTTATATATGAGTCTTTAATGCAACATCTCAAATATATAATTATTGTGTTTACTCTTTATATATTGTATATCTATCTTCTTCTTCTTTTGGTTGTCCTCCCGATTTTACTAGGTTTTATATTAACTAATTCAGATCGACTTGTGTCGTATATCTGATTTTGATGTGTGAATTTTTTAACGAAAATTTTCTACATACGCAAGGCTTCAAACTTAAGATCTGCTTAAGTGATATTAAATTGATTACCACTTGAACCAACTCCGTTAATAGAGCATATGTTCTTTTAAACACATCATGGGCAAACTTGATTTATAAGTGATACTGTGAATATTAGATTCCAATAGTCTCTTGTATAATTTATCTTGATTATAAATAATCAGGATGAATAATTTTCCATCTTTAATTCCGTTCAAGAATTTAAATGTGTTCAAACTTATTTGTGGACACAAAATCTTTTCCATGTTTTTCTTGACCTACTTTTCTATATTGGAAACTTTAGTTTGATCGATACTAATTTAATGTGGCCTCTACTTCAAATGTCTGTACGTCTTTGGCTTTTATTTTCTCATTTTCATAAATGTGTGAAATTTCTCCCCTTAAAGTGATTATATATATTATTATAAAATAATGAGTAAACGATGTAAAGGAACAAGATTACAAAAAAAATTAAGATTTTATGTGAAAAATATTAAAAGGACAATAATCATACATAAAAGAGAAATTTATTATCATGACAAAATTATAATAAGGTGTGCAATTACAATTCCTCAAACAAATTATAAAATTTCGTCTTTTCGATTTACAATAATCATAATCATTACTACTTATTTTCAGTCAAAATTTAACAAAAAAATGTATAATCTTATATGGAGTGTATGCTTAATAAAGTCTGTATGGTGGGAGCTTTCTCGTACTACGGTCAGTGATCAATGTTGTACTCTGGCTCAAAAATCTTTGTATTCACCATAGATTCCCTATTTTTCTTCAAATTTGTTTATGCTATTAAACGAGCCACATCGTAACTTTTTAAATTAGATTAAAAAGATTCGGATCACAAATTCTAAAGACTTTATGAAATAATAAGTATCTGCTAATGATTTGGTTGTAGCATTGTGAAATGTTGTGATAGTCATTCCACCATCCACTCGTTAACAGAGCTTTGGCTTCAGACTCCAATGGCGATTGATCTGCTGTTGGCATACTTGCGGCAAAGGAGACGAGGATGGTAGCCCACAATACTCCCAGAATAATGGGATGGGTGAAGGATGAGGCAATGTTTAATTGGCTAAGCTTGATAGTTGCAGCATTGCATGTATTCCAGACTAATGAATTTATAAAAGTTCAAGATTTGTTAACAGAGCATTGCATGTTTAGTTTATATATTAATCACCACATTAGGGAAGGAGGAGACTGTGCAGGTGGAGTCAAATCTAAGGGAAAAACATAAGAGGTTAAATTAAAAGAAGCACAAAATTCATGGAAGCAATCGGTCCACTGCATTTTTTTCCGCGTGGAACAAAAGAGATGAAAATGAGGGATTTGTTTGTCTCTAAAAAGAAAAGTCCGGGACCAATCGAGCAGCATGGATCACGCTTTGATGGGATGTCGAAACAGGGTTTCTGCGTTATTTCCCTCGATGAACTTTTAAAAGTGGAAGCCACAATCATTTTTGTCCAGGCATGTTTGAGGACCAAAATCCAAATTAAAACAAAAAAATGTAAAAAATAAAATCAAATGTAAAATAATATTATTCCAAGTCCATTACAAATTCATAGTCCAATTGCAACAAAATCGAACTATACTAAATCGGCCCAACAACCAACACCCAAAACATTCATTACTCATTTACAATAGATCTTGATCTAATTATATAATCCAATCGAATTAAGTCAATCAAACTGAATCATTTATAATAAAATCCAACAAACCCAAGTGTCAAAAATCTAACTCTGCCTTGTTTAGGACCATATCCTATATCAAGGGGTCAGAGTTATCAAACCCTAATCCCATCAGTTGTCGCCATTGTTTCTTCATCTCCCAAATGTAATGTCAACAAGAAAATGAAGAGTTTTCCCTCCTTAGCAAGGGCCACATGGCAACTTCTAATTTGTCTTGTTCTGCTTCGTTGATGTTTCAATTATTCATTTTGATCATTAAATTTATTGAACTATTATAAAATTATTTCTAAAATTATTTTATAATTTTTAAAAATTTAATAACAAAAACGATTATTTGAATATATGTTGGTGACTTAAGTTGTATTTTATCCCTGTTTGTTTTGTTTGTTTGGGCTCTATGACCCCGAGGTTCGGTATCTGCCCTCTTTCGGTTATGGGCTTTTGGGCCCTCTTCAATGACTAAATAGCCCCCCGGCTTTTCTACAAAATTCCCTATTTTGCATCTCTGTGAGCGACTTCTCCCCCAAGACAGTTCCATTAAATACAGAAGAACAAAATCAATACTCCAAAAGAGGGAGGAAAAAAAGAACTCGAAATAACCTAAAAAATTAACAGATCGGAGTGAAATGGAGTGCGTGTTCGGTTTAGTAGGAAACGATTTCGCCGTCGTTGTGGCGGACACATCGGCGGTTCACAGCATCCTCGTCCACAAATCTAACGAAGACAAGATCATGATCCTCGATTCTCACAAACTCATCGCCGCCAGCGGTGAACCCGGCGACAGGTTTCCCCCTTTTTTGTTTTACTCCATGCAAATCTAGGTATATTTATTCGTCATAGTAAAATTCAAAGAAAGTAGTAATGTAACTCTCTTTCTCCATAACAGAGTGCAGTTCACGGAGTACATACAGAAAAACGTGGCTTTGTACCAGTTCCGAAACGGTATTCCTTTGACGACAGCCGCAGCCGCCAATTTCACTCGCGGTGAGCTTGCCACTGCCTTAAGGAAGGTATCAAATCTGCTGACTTGTAATTAGGGTTTTAATAAGTTGTGATTTGTGGCTAATTTAAGCTTCTGGTGACCCTTGTTTAGTTGAAATTTGGTAGAAATTGTAGAGAGGGTTTGATGAGTTGGAGATTTTCGCCTTCTAGAATTGTAGCAATGACCTTGTACAATAAAGGTTTACCATGCTTCTTTGCCAGTTTACTGCATAACAAATTGGACTTGAGATGCAGCGTTGTTAATGACTGCTAAGCTCTAATTTTCATGCTTTTTACTTATAGCCGAATATCTATTTATGGCCAAATTTTGGGAGATCCCTAGTAATGGTTGCTACTTTCTGCGGGTGATGTAAAAGAAGTTCTTAGCTAACCTATAGAGAAGTCTGAACTTGTTTGGAAACCTCATTCGCTTACCGAAGGAAACGAATTTTGACCACTGCAATTTGTTTGTGATGCTTGAGGTTGCTGGATATGGATTCACTTGCCTCAGGTTTTATTTGGCTCTTTAGCTGTTTTCTTTGGAAGTGTTGTGTGACTTACTAGACTGGTAACTGGTAAGATCATGATTCGCGAGGTTTCCTATTCCATATGTTCTTGAATGAGATTCTTGTAAATGTATTCTTTCAGTGGAATTTGGTATCTATGAAGAGTGGGCATTGGAATTTGGTACTTAGAACGTTTGCTTCAATTACATGTGCTAAACAAGGCTAGAATCTCCTGTGCTATTTTTTACCTAGAATCTTTTGAACTAGAGAGTTATAATACCATGTAAGGTTGATATATGATTCAAAGTAGAGCTGATACTTTTATTGCATGAATCCATGACCTTATCTTACCTCTCTTAAATTAAGTAGGATGTAGTTTATGATCAAACACCTTTCGAAGCTTTGTGGAATTTGTCCTTGCTGTTTTAGTGGAATATTAGGTTTGAACAGTCCTGGAATTTTGAAATGTGCCATGGAAATATTTTATCTTTTGGTGTTCCAGTGATGACTTAAAACATTTCATCCGTTTTGGTGCCTCTGTTTCTTCTTTATTTGGTCAGCTGCTGTGTCCTGGAGTTCAGTGCACTTATTGGTCTTTGTGGTCCCGGAACCTGGCGCATCTAGTTCTGAAATAAGTTATTCTTTTAGCAATGGATTTATTTTTAGAGTTCATAATTGATGCATCTGTGGTCGATACATGCACCGTCAATGTGTCAAATGATGTCATCTCATTAGAAGTTTACAAAAATGAATATAGATAACCAATGTTGTCACGGCACTCGCCTTTTGCCGCTTCAGCCCAAGGCAAGAAAAAAACTCGCTTCATTGAATCTGACCCCTCTGTTGTGCATGAAAAAAGAGAAGGGAAGAAAATTTCTCAACAGCCCAAAAAATAAAGTTGAAAACTTGAGAAAAGAAGATGAAGAAGCTGATTATAGCTTTCTCAGACCAAAGAGTGTAATATTTTGAAAGAAAGAAAAAGGATCAGAGTTGGGAGAAAATGAAAAGACTCAAAAGAGTAAGGTAAAGTAAAACTGGAAAATGCAGAAAAAGACTATCGAAAAAGGTCCCTCGTGGGCTTCACTTATTTGACTAGTCTTTTGTTCTTGAATTCTCTAACAGTTAAAAGTTTAAGCTATGCCGCTTTACCTTACACCTATACTATGCCATTTTACACGGGGAGTGCTTTTTTCGTGCCTTGCGCCTCAGGCCATATCAAGTTGTCTTGGTGCCTTGAGTGCGCCTAGCACCCTTGACAACATTGTAGATAACTTTGTTTCTAATGAGGTGTCATTATCTTTTTCCTTAACAGTGACTAGCACCCAAATTGAACTAGCTTTGCTGTGGGTACCTCATGTCCTTTTACTGTAATAAATTCTTTCCAATACTTGTTAATTAAAATTTTGATCTTCAGTTGTACTCTTGTTGCTTTCAAGTGCCTTCAGTCACACCTTAAGCATTCATCCATGCACAAGAAAGAATTTTTAATCCTCTGCTGTGTGCCATGAGAGCGCTAAATTTGGTCTTTCTCACCTCCTTGTTTCTCCTATTCTTAACAATGGCGTTTTTTTTCCAGAATCCATATTCTGTAAACATTCTTCTTGCTGGCTATGATAAAGAGACAGGCCCGTCTCTGTACTATATTGACTACATCGCTACACTCCATAAGGTTGACAAGGGAGCATTTGGCTATGGATCCTATTTCTCTCTCTCCTTGATGGACAGGCACTACCACAGTGGCATGACAGTGGAAGAAGCCATCGATTTAGTCGATAAATGCATAATGGAGATCAGATCAAGACTGGTTGTGGCACCACCAAACTTTGTCATCAAGATCGTCGACAAAGATGGAGCCAAAGAGTATGCCTGGCGTGAATCGGTCAAGGATGCTGCAGTTGCTTCAGCCTGAAGATATTTAACGTGGACTTCCTCTTCCGTTCTGGATGTTTAATTTGCATTTACCGATAGGAAACAATGTGTCTCGGCAATCTTGAAAACAGTGTTTAATTGGCTTGATTATGTTCTGAAGTGGAAAATGATTTGGAAATTTGATGATACTTTTATCTTGGAATGTAAACATTTGTGTGCCTCCAAGTACAGGGAAGATCATTGAGATCTTGTGTTTTTCCATCTAAATTTAATGATGCATTGCTAATAGAATCCTTATTGGGTAAGATCGGTTTGGTTAAGTATCTTGAATATTTTGATTTGTTTGTTTTTTATTTGGTTGGTTTCGATTCTCTGTTTTTTTATATTAATTTTAGATCCTTATAAATACGTTACGGGTTTGGTCGATAATTAGTTTAATATAAATTTTATAAATTCATATATTTTATATTTTTATTTATTTATTTTCATAATAATTTCATCATTATAAAAAATAATCTTATGTAATAAATTTACAATTTACGAGTCAAAACAAATTATTATAAATTCATATATTTTATATTTTTATTTATTTATTTTCATAATAATTTCATCATTATAAAAAATAATTTCATGGAATAAATTTACTGTAATAAGAATCATCTGGATAGAATAAAAGGTAACAATTGGAATTGGTAAGCATTGAATGTAATCCTAGTCGCCCAGAGCAACACGTGTCATCCGGGACATCAAACCCAGAAACTTCAATTTTCTCCTAGAAAATTCCATAAACAAAGAAGAACAATCCAGAGAAATCCCTTCAGCGTATATATATCATCATGATTACCACCTCCACATTGAGAAATCACCAACAAGGATAGCGAAGTTTCCAATTATTCTCAACAACTTAACAATTTCGTTTCACTGCCGAATTCCCATAACCAGAAATGGGCATCAAAAACCTCACCAGAGCCTTCATTTTCCTAATGGCAGCAACCATCCATGTGAATGGTTTAATGCCCTACACAAGGTCATTATGGGACATGGTGATCCCTGAAGACTCATTCAGAATCCTCGAACACACACCGCTCGCCGTCCCCAAAGCCACGCAGCCAATAGCATTGGCTCGTGCCGACTGGAAAGAAACACCGCGATTCCACGTCATCGCCATCGATATCCCCGGGATGAAGAAGGAAGATGTGAAGATCGAGGTGGAAGAGAACCGAGTGTTGAGGATCAGCGGCGAAAGAAAAGAGGAGGGAGTGGAAGGAGAGAAATGGCACAGAGCGGAGAGGACGAACGGGAAATTCTGGAGGCAGTTCAGGATGCCTGGGAATGCAGACTTGGATCACATCAAGGCTCATTTGGAAGATGGGGTTTTGAATATCACTGTGCCCAAGTTTGCCGAGGAGGCTAAGCGCCAATCTAAGGTTATCGACATTGGTTCGTCGGCTGGTTCTGGTGAGAATGTTGAGACCACATCCAGGGCTGTCCAGTAGTGTGGATAATGTGTCTTCGTTTTGTGTCATGGGTTGATTAACAACAATTCGATGTTATCTTATGTTTTTTATATAATCTATAAATAAAATGATTAGTTGATTTACCAAAATAGATATATACATTATACATGTTATGCTTTTTGAACATCAAGGGGAATAAGAAAACCTACATGAAAATCAATGAAGTTCCTAATTTTTCTAATGAAATCACTAAAATATTAGTTTATTTAGAAACAAACAATCACCCAATCTATGCTTTAAAAACAATGGTTTCAGACCACTCAAAGAATATACCTCTCAAACAATCCATAAATAAACACACATAAATTGAGATATTGGCTTCTAGTAGTACTTCAAAACAACAAATCCTGATATAAACAGCACAAGTGATGGTGAAAGACTGTAAGAACGACCGGCAGCTGATGATTGGGGGTTAAGAACAGGGCGCCTCCCTGTCGTGGCGGTTGGGGCTCCGGAACCGGCTGTCGGGGATGGCGGAGTTAAAGTCGGCGTGGTGTCGGATTCTGGTGATTCAGCGGATCCGGTTGGTTCCGGGACAATGGAACCTGTTGGGGCTAAAGTTGGTGCGGCTCCTGGAGAAAGGGTGGGTGCGAGTGAGCTCGGACCTGCCAATGAATAATTTATCTAATCAGCACGTATAGAAACTCAAAATTCTTTTCAAAAGGTCAAATCTTGGCTCTGGTCCCTCTATTATACTCAGATTTTATATTTAATCTTATATTTTAATTTAACATGATTTGATTGCTACAATTTTATGATATTATTAGTTAATTATTCTTGTTAAAATATTGATGTGGATTTTTTTACGAACGCACGTTCTTAAACAAAATATTCGTCTCAACATGATGAGTTGGATGTGTACGATTTAAAGAAAATAAAAACTCTAATCAGCGTTTTAATCAGAATAGTTATTTGTACTCACTAATGATATTTTAAAAATAGGAGGACAAAATTATGTTAAATTAAAGTATAAGGACATAATCCAATGTTTTGGAATACCCAAAATCATACCTGGGGCAGGAACAGGTACACCAGCAGGGGCTGCAAAACAAGAAAAATCTCAAATGAGTATTTCCATTAGTCAAAATAGATAAAACTGCACTCAATCCTCAAAGCTATTGACTGTAATTTTGTAAAAGACATAAGAATTAATTTGTCTCGTGTATTAGCTCATGTATCTACATATATATTATATAATTAGAGTGACACAATGTAAAATGTAATTTTCGATGTATATATCTCACCTCTGCACTGAACGGGAACACCGGGCATGTTACAAGCTCGAGGAAGAGAAATAGCCAGAGTTCTATTGATCGGTAAACTGAACGGAACACTTCCGGTGAGCAGCAGGCACAAACAGTCCATGCCACCGGAAGTTAGATTCCTAAGAGAATCACAACAATCCGCAGTCGGCGAAGAACCATTGCCACTGCTATTGGTAAGCAGGTTCATACAGGGAGTGAAGCCGATGCCGAGCACCGACGGGTTGCACGGCGTGTTGATACTCTGCGCACAAACAGGCACCCACAACAATGCTGTCCAAGCCACGACCAGAACCGGGACAAGCCGAGAACATGTCTTGTAGAACTCCATTATTACAAACATAATTCGATGTTGGAAATTGAGTGATTGGAAGGCAAAGAGGACGGGAGTGTGAATTTATAGGCAAAAGAGGTGGAGGGAAAGGGAAGGGGTTGATTTGAAATTGGTTTTGAAGCTCAACTACCTTTAACTATATTATAATTTGAGTGAAGCAATGGAGAATTGTTTAGCCACGTTAGTGTAGAACAAGCTTATGTTGACCTAATAAAACTTTATCAAATGTCAAATCTTTAGTCAAAAGTTCCTATGATCTTTTGCATTAAGTGAGATCAGCATTTCCTTTTAAAATAAAGGTATAATATTAAAATTAGCCCCCAATATTCACCGAAATGATCATTTAGGTTCATATTCTTTTTTTTAGTATTTTGACCTCCAATTTTTTATTTTAAGGCAAAAGGGTCTCTAATGTTTGATTGAATAGTCACTTTGGTTCCTATTCTTTATTTCTAGAGCATTTTGACCCTCAACATTTAATTCTAGATAAAAAATCCATATTTTTATAGTATTACCCGTTTGTTAACTAACGGTTTCCATACATAAATGAGTCTTTTTTCCGGAAATGAAACGTTATGATCCAAAGTGTTCCAAAAAGATTGAATTAATAAAATTTTAAGGGTGTAAAAAAATTTAGAGATTTAATAGATTTTTCTTGAATATTTTTATAAAAAACTATAATAAGTAAACAAAATTAAAGAGATGTTATATGTCAACTTTTAATTAGTTTGAACTCCGTAATAAAAATAAAAGATTGATCCCAAAATAATTATAGAATTATAATTTAAATAATAGGATCGGTCACATTTTAATAAATTTATTAAGATGTGACCGAGAATGATAATAATAAGTTAATTCGACCTAACCCTCTATTCTTGAAGCAGTTGGCTTTCTCTTGTTACTCCAATTACTTTCATTTCATGTCTCAAGTGACAGCAAATTATAGTTAATTTAGTCGTTTATGTTACAAGTTCTTGTTCATTCTTGTACTCAATTTTTTAATGGTTTGGATGTTTATTTGTACTAGTTTATGTTATCACGTAAATGATCTAATAAGTTAATCATTAATATTATTGATTATATTAAGGTCTAATTCAGCCTTCAACCCCTATACTTTTTGGATGTTTCAAATTTTAGTCCATTTGCTTTTGATTCTATGAACTAAGTCTTTCTATTTGTCTGATTTAAAAATTAAACTCACAACTTCAATTAAAGTTGAATAAGTTTTATCAATTGGAATTTATTTATTTTTAAATTATATCTTTGGATATTAAACCTCGAGCAGGGTCTAGCCATGGATATGGAAAAGGTAACTGTGCTATGGCCGAATCGGACTGCGCCGATGTGGTTATATCACGATGACTCCATGCATAGATTACGGGACCGGTAACTCCTCGACCCCATCTGCTCCGCTGCAAGCTGCTCGCCACTCGCTATCGTTGTTGGCTAAGAAATAAGATGCCTCTGCGTGGTCCATCGTTAGGGGAGCAAATAAGCCAGACGCTTACCCTTGCACTCCCTCAACTTAGCATGGAGAGAGGAAAAGTAACCAGAACAAGGCCAATATATACGTTCAATTTTGCTGAATTTATACTACATTAGTTTTCAGACAAATTGTGATATATGATTTAGCAGTGTTTTGAAAAGCGGACCGGCCGGTTCAACCGGTTCAACCGGGAACAGTTGTCTAGTCCGGTCCATTCTATCCCGGTTGAACCGGTTCTAGTGAACAGCAAGGAAACGTTCGAATCGGCTTTGAAACGCTCGAACCGGACCGGACCGTGAACCGGTTCAACCTAATTTTTTTTGATTTTTTATTAAATATTTTTGGTAATTTTATTTAATTTTTTAAATAATTATGATGTTGTCCGGTTCTTACGACCGGTCTAACCGATTCGATCGATTGAACCAGTGAACCGATAGCATGATCGGTTCGCTGACTGATCCAGTTTTGAAAGCCATGTGATTTAGTGGTAGATGCCAATGGAACTGCACCTTCAGTATCTCTTTCTGCTTCTCTCCGAGGTGGCAACATCAGGTGCTAGCTTTTTTTAATGACAGCAGATATAAATCATTCAGCCGTCAAAGAAAGGGGAATGTTATTAGTAAATCTACAACCTATGATATAAGAAAATATGAGAAAATAAAAAATGAACAGCTTGACTATTCATCAAATATGTTTTCTCACTTTTAAATATTAATTTAAAGATTAGTTTACATTCAATGTCTAATAAGAAATCTTTTAAATATTATTGAGGGTATATCTGTTATAGAAAATATATAAATATTATTGAAACTATTTATTTTATTATTTTAATATATTTTTTCTTGAATTCATAGAGTCATCTTAATGGTAAAAAGAAATATTATTTTTTTTAAAAGTTTTGAGTTTTAGCAACTGCGCTTGTAAGATGTGTGTATTTTAAACATATGTTACCTTGTAATCACCCTAAATTATTCAAAAAAATATTTTTTCTTTTAAATATTTAAATAAATTTTAAAATCGTATACAAATCAAGTTTGAATAAGTCAAAACATTAAATTTGTGTCTATAAATAAAAGTTATTTATCACTTTTAAAAGGCACAACTATCAAGTATTTTCTCCCTTATCTCCCTTTATACTCTATGAAAAATTCTTTTTTTTTAGAATATTACTTTTTGATCGTTGGATTATAATCGGGAGAAAATATTTTCGACATTATAGTATCAACTAATTTTTACTTCGATAATTGAGTATATTGTGTTAACCTTTGGAGATGATGTCTATTTCAACGATTACACGAATTGTGATGCATTTAATTCTAAAACAATGATTCATTTCAAGACAGAATTAAACTTCAGTTTAATTTAGTTTTAATTATTTTCTAATCGATGTTAATGTTTGTTTTGCGACAACTCTATTTTTCAATAAATACGACCGAATAAAAGGGGATACAAATGATTAAATTGAAGAAAAAAATTAAATCCAAAATTTACCCATGATAAAAAGACTAATAGTAGAATTTGACTAGATAGATTTAAGTCAGGATCAAAATAAGTATAAATATTATCAAATTTATGCATAATGCAAGGGGTAATAATAGAATTTGATCCAAACAAATTTTGTAATTTATCTAGAGATCTTATTCTATCCATTAACATTTCTAATAATTTTGAGTATATTATTAATTTGGACTTCAAATAAGAAAATTGAAAAGTGTATCATATCCATACAAAAGTTTGATATACTAAAAGTACATCAAAAATTTGGATCTAAACTTCCCGAGTCTCTAGTGTGTTGTTGAGAGGTGATAGGGGTTAATTCGATTAATTAATCTCGTTAATTGGTGATTAATTTTTTAAAAATATATACTTTCAATTGAATTATTCTAAACGACTTATCAATTAATTAAAATATTTTGTTTTAATCGATTAATTCAGATTTAAACTAAATTTGAACACACTTAAATTATGCCAACAAACCCGTACACCTTTCTATTCATCTAATACTTTCATTACGTCAAGTCTCTGCTAAGATTAACACTTTAAACAAGCCTCCATGAAAATTAGCAACGAAACTTCAAAGAAATGCCATATTTGACACAAATTTAGGTGAAGAAATACCTGAACCAACCACCATGTGTCCTTTACCATTGTCCATGACAATGTTCGGTTTGTTTCTAAGTCGGCCTTTAGACATTAAGACATGTGTAAGTATGTTCATCAATAAGGTCGGATAGAATTTTTGAGCCACTTAAATCTAATTTGAATATAATATTATATATCGGCTATTTGATTCGAGTCGAGTTTAGAAAAGTTCCATCATATCTGAAATTCAACTTGACTTAGCAAAGCTTGTACTTAATTCGATACAATCTAACACAAATATTTATAATTCTCGATTTATTAAGTAAAATAGAGACTTAACTAAAAAATATGAAAAGAGTGGTATTATAACAATTATATCTTAATATATAAAGGTCAATTATACTATTATTTTTGGGTCAGTCAGGTATTTTTCACTTAAAACATATACAACTTGACCTTATATTTAAAAAACCTAAAATGAACATTCTCAAATTCAAGTTTTCAAAAAAAATAATCTTATAAATCAGATAGGATCGAAAGTCATCAGATTCAGGTCAAATATCCATCAGATCAATTTTCGATTCGGTCAATTTTTTACTCAACCGTAGCTAAATCATCAATGGAGACAATTATCTTTCTTAGGTTCCAAGCAATAAACAAGAGTAGGTATCATTTTCAGAAAGAACCCCAAAGGTGAAGCAAGCAAGCAAAGGCCTTCTCCAACGCGCAGTTGTCTTCTTTCACATTGCAAAGAATGTTCTTTCTAAACCAGATCAACATATATTCTTAAAAGCTAAAATTCGCCGGAAAAAGGTATGAGTCACTTACACGTTATGCTTTCTTCATAGTTGAATCCATACATCATTGCATCAAATATTCATCAGTTTAAATATATATATATATATATATATATATATATATATAGGTTGATCACCTACATAAGATCTTCCACCATTGAACAGTTCAAAGGTATACACCTCTAGTTGGTCACCTACAACAGCCGCCATTGCATAGTCTCCCCTATAAAAACCTCACAATCTGCAGGAATTCTCAGACAATACTGTATATCGAGAGAACAAACGGCGAACCGGAAGATGGCGGCAACATATCTTGTTCTGGTTCTAGTAGGTATGCTTTGTGCAGGGGCCACAGCTCAGTCTGGTTGCACTAACGTGTTGATCGGCCTATCACCCTGTTTGAATTACATCACCGGGACCTCATCGACCCCGTCTCAACAATGCTGCACGCAGCTCGCTAGTGTCGTGCGTTCCTCGCCACAATGCCTGTGTCAAGTTCTTAACGGTGGTGCTTCATCGCTCGGGATCACCAGCAACCAGACTCAAGCTTTGACCTTACCCGGCTCGTGCAATGTTCAGACTCCGCCCGTCAGCCTCTGTAATGGTAAGTATGCAATTACATATATGCATTTTCGCTATACCGATACAAAACTAATAGTACTGATCAAAACATTGCCTGCATATTATCAGCTGCTTCCCCGGCTCCAGCAGATTCTCCAGTAGGATCACCGGAATCCGGGAGCATTATACCAACAGGTATAAAAAACAGTTATCATCTCGTTGATTACTTCTTTTTATCACCGAATTACTCTCTTGCATAGGCATCTTGTTCACCTTGAAATCAAAACATTAACAATGGATGCAGGAGATGGATCTAAAAGCACACCGTCGGCACAGGAGGACGGCTCATCGGACGGAAGCACCACCAAATTGTCGATCTCGTTGTTCATCTTCCTTCTTTTGGCTACATCATATAGTTCGATCTTCTTGTCACACTGAGAATCTTCTCTAGTTTTTCCCTACCTCTCATATAGTTTCCCCTTATCATATTGTTATCCACACACATATATATATAATGTGATTACTTGTTGAATATGATGTGATTTTGATTTTGAACTGTTCAATGTAGAATTTTATCTTTTATTTGTTCGGATTTGAGTGTATTCGAATATTAAATATATTTAAATGTTTTAAAAAATAAAATGCTAAAATAAATATTTTCAATTATATTTTTATATTTCCAATAACAGAGACATATTCTCAAATAAATAGTAATTGAGGCATGTCCCATATGACCATATGAACCTTACAAGATGCTGGTCCATGTTGAAGAATAGAAAGCTATAGGCAGCAACAGAAGGATGAACTGAAGTAGAATTTTGAAGATAACAGCACCCTGGGTAGCTTTTGTTTTGCATGCACCTGCACCTATTCAAATCAATAGTATAAACAACCCGAGTCGAAAACACCTCAAATTCAAATATATTTAAACATGTTCCAACACACAAAGAAGATTTTCTTTTCTTTTCATTTTAACAAATATCAATATCGTATCGTACTCGAATTGTGTGTAACACTTGCACCTGATGTTGGTGGTTTGGCGGGTGGGGTATCATTTGATTCGTGTTCAGGAGGAGGAAGAGGAGGAGGAGATGATAATGAAGCTTCAGCAGGTCCTTTAGCAGCAGCAACTGCTCAAAAATCAAGTATCACAATCAGTATGAACACTAATATAAGTATAAATTTAACGAAATTGAACATATTGGTCCCTTTTTTTTACTTTTGCATTCGCTAGGAGCTGTCACATTGCAAAGTTCAGGGAGTGCTAGAGCCTGCGTCTGGTTTATCTTCGGCATTCCCGGTATACCATCCCCACTGATCACCAGGCAAAGGCAACTCGGTTGTGTGCCGACAACATGATCTAATTTCGAGCAGCATGTGGCCGTCGGGTTCGAGGAGTTTCCAGTCACGAAATCAATGCATGGAGCCATCGTTATTAGCACACTGTTGCAGTCCGGTTCGGCCAATGTTCGACCCCATAGCACAGTTACTGTTACCATCGCTATCGCCAGACCCGGCTCGAGGATTGTAGGGTACATGATGATTGGTTTATGTGGATTGTGTAGGGTACAAGCGGCACTGGTTTGTATAGGAAGAATGAGAAATTGGATTATTGGGAAGTGATTTTGGAATCGAAAGGCTTCAACTAAAACATACAATCAGAGACGAGCTTTAATTAAAGGCTTATCGGCAAACTCGCCCAAGTGTTTGGGGCCATTGTTTATCGGCAAGAAAATATGTCAAGATTTGAACTTGGTCAAATTTGGAGAATTTTTTAAATAATTATGAACTTGGTCAAAATTGGGCTTTGATCTCTTATTATGCTCAAATTTCAGATTAATCCAGTGCATTTTTTATGTTATCAAAGCTTAGTCTTTTACTTCAATTTCTTAGATGGAATGGTTAATAATGTTGACTATTTGAAATAAAAGTATAGGTATCAAACTGTCTAAAGTTAAAAGTAGAGGGACTAAATCCTAAATATAAGTATAGTGGAAGGACTAAAGTTATAATTTGACCTAATAGCTTTAATAGGTCAAATATTGAAATATATATAGGAAAAAGAATCGAGCTTGACGTGACAATTACATGCTCATATTATGCAATGTTGTCGAAACAAAATTAAAGGCATAACGATAAAAAAAAATCATGATTGTCAATTTTTAATTGTGTCCATTAAATTTCTCTTTTAAAAATTAAATTATACTCGGAATCTTAGAGAATAATAACAAATTTCTTAATTATTGAAGTCGTTTGACTCGTATAAATTATAATATTTTAATTTATTTGTAAATAATTATTTTTTGGAGAATTAATTATTTGTCAATGTTTTTTTAGAAAATCAATTAATTGTTAATATTTTTATTGACATAACATGATAATATTGAGAATATAATTGAAAAACAAATGAATAAAAGGTTTCTTTTGTTATTATACCTTTTTTATTTTAATTGTAAAATTTTATTTTAAATACGTGACATCATTTATAGTATTATTTGTTTATATAAAATAATATAAGTGATTTCAGTGATAAAAATAATACAATTTTTTTATATAAGATATAAATTTGAGAAGTTACATCTACAGGGTGTCTATTATTAATGACTAAGAAAGATTTTGAACATATATTGTCTTGTAACTACTTCAAAATATTCAAAAAATATTCATAAAAAATAATATTATTTGAATTATTATAAGATATGAAAAATATAATTGATTAACTTGTAACGTACACGGTTTAAAACCTTTTTTTTCAATTGCGCCCAAACACCGTCATGCCACATTAGCATATTCCACACGAGCTTACTCAGGCCACTGCCTAAAAGGCAAAGCCATCGAGTGCAAACATTCTGAATGTTGTATAGAATAAACTAATCTTACATGATCCGGAAGGAAAGGAATAATTTTGAAGCAGCAACTTAATTTGCAATGCACCACAAGAATAATATATAAACATATCCTCTATTGTCATAAAATGCTTGAGTTCTTGAAAAAAAATTGAAAATACATCAGGGATGGAGATCGTAGCACATGGACATCGGACTCGTACATGTTAATGTTACCTAAGAAGCTGCCCGGTTTACGAATGCGATCGTCCCCGCACAAATTCTTCTAGTCTGTCCCAGACCTCCAGGGCTGCAGCCCTATCTTGGTGTCTCTTATTCTTGCTAATCTGCACATTGAGATAAACAGAAACCGATAAACAAAGAGGATATGACGGGAAAATTACTAGGTTCCATCGAAGGTTGTGAAACTAAGATGAAATTAGTAGAGCTGCCTTTTTTTTTTGGAGGGGGATCGCTTACCGATATAATCTTCACGTTCCATTGCTTCACGATCTTGCAAGATTCTACACTGTCGTCTTCAAACCGCATAAAAAACCCAATAACTGCATAAAATTCAAGATGAGCATTTACCGTAATCAAGAAACCGAAACTAAAGTAGATATATTGTCTACTTCCACCCAAGATGAGTATTTATGCTAATCAACAATGCGAAAGCAACCTTAAATCTCAACAGGTGAAAAGCAACATGCTAAAACTATCATGTATTCAAACTCCATAGCTGCACAAAAACTCATGCTATGCATAGTTTATAGTGTGCACGATACATATTAGACAAAATTCACAGCAAAGTCGAGTTCTACACGACACTTAAATCGACCAGTACTAAGATAATAGGAACACAAACAACAGTCCAGCTAAAGCTAGAAAAATCCCACTTACTCTTATTAAAAATCTCCACATGATCCTTGAAAGGCCAATCCTTGAACTGCCACTCTTTCCCCAACACGAATACTGCCACAACGCGATCCCAATCTTCTGGCTTCAAAGCAGAAGGCTTATCTCTAACTTCATAGGCTGTTACGACCCTATCTCTGTCCCTACTAAACTTCTTCTGCACCGTAACACACTCCGGTCTCGCCCCTTTCATCTGCTTCACCTTCACATCGGTAGGCATAAAAACCCCATCTTCCAAAAACTCCTTCACATTATAAATGGTAATCAAAGTCTGAAAAGCACTCGGCACTAAAATAATCGGCACTCCTTCCCCGAGTTTGCTCCCTTTCAAATGCATTTTCGGTTTCGAATCATATCCCATCATATCATCCCCATAACTTAACCCCAATCCCCCCTCTTCAGCACCCATTAACCTACTCTTAGCAACTAACCCATCTTTCCTTTGCTGAGACTCAAGTCTCTGCCTTTCTTCTTCCCTTTTGGTAGCAGCAACAAGAACACTATAAAAATCCTTATTCTTACATTCCAAAATCCCTTCTCTATCCTTCAAAGGTTTCTCAATCGATCGAATTATTCCCATATAATCAGCAATTTCAACCTCTTTATCCTTAACACTATAATGGGTATCTCCTATTTCATCCAAAACTACATCGTTGGTGTTATTACCTTTGGGTTTGACGCTATCCGGATCGAACCCAGATGGGTCGGGTCGAAACTCGTCTGGGAACTTGGGTGGGTTCCAAACGATGGAATCGGAGGTGGACACTTTTCCGGTGAGGTAATCGAGGAGAGGTTTCCGGTCCGTGAAGGTGACGGCGTGGATACGGAGGGCAAGAGAGTTGTGCATGTAATCGGTGTGCTTGAGATGGTGGTTTTGGATGTAGAAAACTAGGGTCTCGAGGTTGTAGAGATTGCCTTGCTTGGAACGGTAGGCAGTCTCGGCGGAGCAGGGGAAGGAATACTCGGTGCCGAATCTGAACTCGTCGTTGACTCGGATGATTTTGTCGAGTTCGCCCCGGATTGTGAAGTCGCGGAGGGCGGAAAGAGGGTCCATTCGCTTTGGTTTCCGAAAAAAAAGAACAAAAAATAGGGAAAATCTTACAGGAACGATGGTTTTAGCAACAGAGATTTGTGTAGTTAAATTGGATTTCGGTAGTGATCGATTTGTAGCTTTTGATCGTCGCTAAAATTCTGAGCTTTTTAGTGAGGTTTTTTTTCTTCTTTTAAATATCGGATCTTGACTGTGTAGCAGGGGAAGCGAGTGACCGTGTTTGGGTGCAGATTGGGACCAAATTTAATCTGAATTTGATCTAATAAGATACAAAGTCGAAAAAAATAAAAAATCTGATTTAATTAAAAGTAAAAGTTTGAGTAAATTTTTATTATTAAATAGATTTTATTTGTAATCATATAATTATTTTTGTAGATGGATATTATGGGTTAATATTAATTGTTAAATCGAATTTGAAAATCATCTTGTATTTTTATATTTTTTACATTAATAAAGATTATATTTTTTGACTTATGATTTTTTTCAAAAATAATTATCACGTAAAATTATCGGTGTTTATTTTATTTTTCAATTATTTTTTTTGTTATTATTTTTTAACATACACATATATATTATAATCCACTCATCTTTAATGTAAATTTTTTTATTTTATCACGTCTAACATGATATTCTATTTACTTACAATATTCAAGAACTTCTGGGCCATAAGGCTGTAATGTTACAAACAGTAACCAAGAAAAAAATAAAAACAAAAGCATTTAAAACATTTTCACAAACAATCATCAAGTTTGACGATGATCAGTAGATAGAAGACTAAACATAACCATATCTCTAGACCTTCCCTTTAAAATAACATACTTCCTCAATACACCTTCTCTTTCAAACCCAGCTTTCTCCAAAACCCTCTGAGACCCCAAATTTCCCACATCGACAAGAGCTTCCAGTCTCTCCAAATGAGGCCATTCATCAAATATGGTCCCAGCCACCATCTTCACAGCCCTCGTCGCAATCCCTTTGCCCCAATACTCCGACGCCAAAACGTACCCTAGTTCGCCCCTGCATTTATCGTTCCCTGAATTCGAAGTCACCGAAATGGCCCCGATCGGTCGGTCGTCGATGCATATTGCTCGGAACCAGGGGTGAGGCAAGACGATGTTCTTGATGTAGTTCAAGCCATCTTCTTTGTTGGTGTAAGGCTCCCAAGTGCAGAAGCGTGTCACTTTCTCGTCGGTGGCCCAGACCATGAAAGCATCTATGTCTGCAACATCCAATGGCCGAAGAGACAGGTTTGAACATTCATCCTCGGTTTTGTTTTGATGTGATTGAACAACACAGGTGCCTTCCATGCTTGGTTTATTGTAAGAAAATATGGGTTGGTCTCTGAATGTGATGAAATGAAAATTTTGGATATGAAATTAAACAGGTTTAGCTTTGGTATATATATAAATGAAAAAGATGATATCTTGAAGAACTTGCTAAGAACCTCAGCTGATTTCCTTTGAGTGAGGAGCAAGAAGCCAGTGGTGCTTTTGTGTAGCCGCCATGTTGGACTTTTGTGTCTAAGAACTAAGGGCAGCCGTCAATTTGCTTATTTATTTATTCAAGGGTAAAGATTGGTAGGCAAAATTAATGGTCTAATTTTGATTTTAGACCATGTATTTTTCTTTATGTAGTGATCTAGTCCATCTACTTTAATGTGTAATAATTTGATCCTCCTACTATTATTATCAATGTTTCTTTTATTTGTCCCCTATGTGGTTCACGTTCAGTGTTTGTGGTTGTCCCTTCCAACAATATCATCTTCAAGATTTAGATATGATTTTTAAAAGTGTAACGTGTCTTACTGTCACACGAATATTTATCTATTCAATTATTATTAGAGTAAAGTATAGTAATGGTCACTGAACTTTTCTAAAGCATTCATTTAGGTTCCTCAACTTTTAAAATTGCAATACAGTTCTCCAACATTTATTCCGTTTGCAATATGGTCCCCGACGTGACACTTCCGTTAGTACGTTTGCAATATGGTCACTGAACTTTTCAGGCGCTTGCATTTAGGTCCCCCAACTTTTAAAACTTGCAACACATTCCTCAATTTTATTCTAAACCCCAAATTCCTTTTCGATCTCGAATTTCCTTTAGAAAAGTTCTTTCATCAAAGGAGATAGATCTATTCAAGGTGTATTTACTTATTTTATCGTGTTTGTTTATATAAAATACTTCTAGTTTACAAGTCAATTAAAAATGCTTAAAATATATAAATGATCTTTAATTACATGATATTATTTTATAAAGTCTCACCAACTATTAAAAATTACAAAATGATGTCTTAAGAGTTTTATTTTATCAAGTCTCCGACTATTAAAAGTTATATAATGATCACATTATTATTCGTATGCTCAAACTTGTCTCTTTATATTAAAAAAGTAATGGTCGTTTGAACCAGACACTAACCCGTTGAATGAAATATGATGAAATATGTTCAACATCCATAAAATTGTTTATATCAAGTCTCCGACTATTAAAAGTTAAAAAATTGTTTATACAAAAATCGAAGCTCCTTTATTTTTGAAAGAAAACAAATATACAAATAAATTTACAAACTTGACTAAAATATTTCAATATTTATATGCCCACTTAAGTAATCATTTATCGTACTCGAATGATTCATTGAGACTCTTCCATTAATGTTGATATCCTATCGCGAATAAAGAAACTTGTAACATGCACACAAAAGCAATCTTGACGTTTAGCTTATAAAATTCAATAGTATACATTTACTCTATGCTATTTATGAGGTTCACATACATAAACGTGTAAGTCAATTATGAACATGTACGCATTAAGTTTAAAGATCTATAATCCTTAATTAATTATTAGGGATTATCATACTTACACAAGTACAAAGAGTAGCATATTTCAAATCAAATAGGTACATACTAAAGTTTTATAATCCTTAATTACTTATGAACATGTACGCATTAAGTATAAAGATCTATAATCCTTAATTAATTATTAGAGATTATTATACTGAAATTGTTATTTTATTCATTAACTTATTGACTTTATTTGGAAGGAATTTCATGGTTTTTTATTTAGTATCTGAATTTCATGGTTTTTTATTTAGTATCTGAATTTCTAAAGTTTATTCTCTCTTTTATTTCTCTTATAATAAGTTTTGTAGGTTATATCTATAAGCTTTGATTTTATAAGACTATGATATAACAATATTTAAGATAAAATTTCCATATTTATTTTCTAAAGAAAATTTGAGATCGAAAAGGAATTTGGGGTTTAAAATGAAATTGAGGACTGTGTTGCAAGTTTTAAAAGTTGGGGGGACCTAAATGCAAGTGCCTAAAAAGTTCAGTGATCATATTGCAAATGTACTAACGATAGTGTAAGGTCGAGGACCATATTGCAAACGGAATAAATGTTGGAGGACTGTATTGCAAGTTTTAAAAGTTTGGGGACCTAAACGAAAGCTTTAGAAAATTTCAGTGACCATTACTATACTTTACCCTTATTATTAATATAAATGATTAAAATCATAAGAAAATGTGATAAAATAATGTTATTACGAAAACATTATGGTAAGAAGCTTTAAAAGGAAGCTTGGATACCTTGACATCAAACTTATAAGTATTCCTTATGATGCTCAAACTAAAAAATAAAAGTGAACTAATTATTTGATTCGCATATACATGGATAGTTAGTTGTCTGATGCACTTAATGAATTTTATTATACTTGAGATAACATATGTGTAGAAAATGTTTTAACTTGTATAATGAAATTAAGTGGTAAAAAAATTTCTTGACATGTATACTGAAGTTGACTGATTGAAAAAAAAAATCTTAATTTTTACTTTATTGAGCACAAAATATATAGTTTCGACGCTCATGTATTATGATTATCAAGCGATAATAATCATTATAGAGAACAGAACTCTCTATGGTAAACACAGACATATTTATCTAAGACATGAGATAATAAAGCAACCATGAGGTTTAGTGATTGTAATTTATGTGAAGTCAGGAATGATTTTAGTAAATCTTGCTAACATTAAGAGAAATGAAATTTATGACAATATAAGAAATCAATAATGATAGCAATTGTTGTTCAAGTAGTAAACAGCTTGATATCGTTTAAGCAATATCTCGAGTTCGAGTCCTTGTATGCATAATATCTTTGTTGGGAGATATAGTTTAAGCAAGATCTCGAGTTCGAGTCCTTGTATGCAGAAAATCTTTGTTGGGAAACTCGCCCGCCAAAACCAGGTGTACGATGCAAGTCGACAAAATTAATGGTCTAATTTTGGTTTTAGTTCATGTGCTTTTCTTTATATAGTGATCTAGTTCATCTAATAGTTTGATCCTCCTACAACTATTACAATTAACAATAATGTTCTTTTCTGTCTTTCACATGGTTGTGCTTCCTAATAATATTGTCTCTAGATTGGAATATAAATTATTTCTTGAGAAGCATAATATATCTCACTATTATACCAACCTTTATTCTTTTAACACAGTACATCATTACATTGACATCATTAGCAGATTCCTGCTGCATTGAGATTTATTAGTAGATTTCTACAGGACATTACAAGGAAAAGGGCAAAGTTCCATAGTAAGTATCTGATTTAATTATCAAGTGAAGCTTTGCCAAAGAGAACACTTGTTATGGCTCTGATGGTGTTTGGTGTAGTCCTGCAGCAACCACCAAAGAGAGAAGCCCCTGCATCTCTCCATTTCCCCACATATGTTACAAAATCCTCTTCTGTTTTCCCTTCTGATTTCTGCATTATCGGGAAAAAAAAAACCGTTATTACGAACCCTCGGAAGGTTGCTCACATAAGGGTCGAACTTTTTGAAGGTTCTCACCTCCCGTTGATTGGTTTCTGCATTGTAAGTCTCACCACTGTTGGGATATATGATCACTGGCTTATTTTCCACCTGAGATTACAGTAACATTGTACTTATAATGTGAAACATTCACATATGAGGACTTAATTTGCATGCACCAAATGGGATTTGTTTACCTTTTTAATAGAGAGAATGAGTCCATGGATGAGCCTCGGAGGAGTACAGTTGATTCCAAAGGCAACAACTCGGTTGCATGAATCGGCAACGTAGGCACATTCGGCAATGGAATCGCCACTGACCGTATTGATTCCCTCTTTGGAAGTGAATGAAAACCAGGCTGGGATGCTTATGTTTTCCTCCCTGAGAAGCTCTGCGTATGCCTGCACTCGATTCGACAGGAATGTAATGTTTACTATTATATGGTTGTGCTTCTAGCTTGTTCGGGATTGTTTCGAACGCGATGAGATCTGCACCGGAGTTGGCTAGAATTTGTACCCTTCTCCTGTGGAAATCCTTCAATGTTTCCAATGTCACTGAATCACCATAGTGGCCACTGTTAAAAGGAACACATGAATCAATGAGACGACCCAAAAAGGAGTAAAATTACGTTGCAAAACTCTAATCCAAACATAAAATCTTGATTCAATCCAATTCGATCATAAAAATATAAATCCACTGAACCGAACTCACTTGAACAAGAAATAACTCGAATTAAAAATGACCCAAACGTGAGATAAATTCCAAATGACCCGAACAAATTTGTAATGACTAGAATCCGAAATGATCCACAACCCTCCTACCCAATTTACAATTCTCTGATTGTAATAATGTTACTTGTACTCGAATTCATCAGCCAATTCACAATTCTAACTTGAACAAGGAATCAATCTAATCTAATTTGATCAGAAAAAGTCCAACAATCTGAACCAAAAATGAGCTAAAGCCTGAAATACACTGAACTCGAGATGACCTGATTTTTAAAATATGATTGGTAGATCGAATGACCTAAACTCAAACAGATTAATTTGAGGTCAAAATGACTGACTCCGAAATAATTTGAATCCACTATGACTCAAAAATTATAGAAACTAAATTAATCTAATCTGAAAACAACCCGACCCGTAAAATCATAAATATCAACAACCTGGCAGAGTTTACCTATACTCGGATCCATCAGCCAAATAAGCACCATAGCTGCCAACAGAAGCAGCAACTAGAACAGGACGTTGTGTAGTGTTCCCAGTATCAAGGAAGTCCCAACAGCCTTTGGCACATCTTTGGAGGTAAATTTGGCGAGCCTCACATGCAATTTCGACGCTTCTCTTGATCAATGTTTCAGCTTCTTCAGTGGACAGCCCTTTGGCTTCAAAGCCCTGAACAGTGGCCTGATATGATGCACTTATAATCACATTTGCGCCTACTTCAAGGTAATCTAGGTGAACCTGCAATAATATTGCATCAAACACGTCTACAAATCTAATACATATGTTCTTAAAAAGGATAATGTCAAAATTAGTAAAATATCATTTTGACTTCTGTTTTTTGGATTTTGACCAACGTAGATGAAAATCATTAGTTAACAAACGGTTAACATTTTAAAATAAGAACAAATTTGTCTTAAAATAACACGTTAAGGGTCAAAATGTTCTAGAATAAAGAGTAAAATCAAAAACGACTATTTAGTCATACAGTAGGAGTTTTTACCATAAAATGAAATATTGAGGCCAAAATATTTTTAAAAAAATCAAAAAAATCATTTTAATAAATGTTGGGAGTTAATTTTATCATTATACCTTTTTAATATACTACATATTATATATAGTCTAACGTTTAACGCCTATGGTCTAAATTGATAAAAAAAAGGATTTATTTGATACAATGTTGATACTTTAATGATTTATTTTATTAAGTTTAAGAGTAATTCAAAATTAACTACGTAGTTAGACCTTTGAATAAAATAATAAAATTTAATTACTTGCTTAATACTTTAACCAAATAAAAAACATATTTCAAGATATCTATATTATTTATCCAAATAAAAACATAATTAAAAATGTATATTATTTATTAAACCACTATTTAAGTACCGAACACATAATTAAAAGATCTGCATATTAATTTTAATCGTTCGACTTGCAATTATTCATCAAATATTTTATTATGAATATACCTTCTTACATAAAATATTTTCATTTACTACATCCTCCAATGATCTAAATATATTTAATAACTTCACAATTTTTATTAAAAGATAAAAAGGAATCAAATCACCAGCCACTCAACATTTTATTATACATAATTGAGTCATCCAATTTTTAGGCAATTCTAGTAGTGCTAATTTTCTCTTTCAAATTTCAATACTATAAGAACAAAGCTTTGTTTAGACGAGAATGAAAATGTTAGGAATACCGACACATGATCTGGACCAACTTAATCTTTGGACTAAGAATTCATATTTAAACATTAATAATATATTTTAAATAATAAAATGATCTTTTTAAATCAATTTCTCTTTTAAAAAAAATACTTATTGCAAGTCGGTCCTGATGTTCTGCAAACCTTGCAAAAAGTTGCATGTTTTGATGCTCTGAAAACTATTACGTTAAGTGACAATAAAGTTGAATAAAAAATTATAATTTAATATATACATGTTCTTGGAAGTATAAATAGACACGTGTCATGAAAATATTACGTGACAACATAATAAAAACCTATTAGCTGTCAAGTACAGATCTTTACACGTTAAACTACATGACTAAGTTTATAATTTATAAATATATATATATTAAAAAAAGAAAAAAATTGTATGCACGGGTACAAAAGTTTTAGGGTGAGCACATTTAATAAAATAAATAATTAATATAAAAAATAATTTTAAAATATACACGTACCTATTCTAAATAGTACCGTCTGCCACCGTAGGTAATGATCATGAAATTTAACCCAAAACTTACATGAAATTTTTGGATAACATAGATTAATTAACTTCAACTATACGAGGAAAACCCTGTTGGTCGGGTTATCCTTTTTTTCCCCGATAATCAAACAGAAAGCAAAAAAAAAAACTTATTTGTCTTCTATGGGAAATTAAGAAGATGAGAAAGTACCCTTCGGACCAGTTCGGGAGAAGAGATAAGACACTTGGCACTCCATAGAGGATCATTGAGGTCTTGACCATGGCGTTCGAGCTCGGTGGCGAACCCACCGTCCACGACCGCGTAGCCGCTGCACTCTGCAAGAAAATCTCTAATCAACGCCGACGGTTCAACGCCTTCCAGTCCCATGTTTCAGATAGATGGTCCAGAAAGAAAGAAGGAAATATAGTTATGGCAATTAAAGCTTCCAAGAGAATGAAGGAAGTGGAAGGTGGTGAGGTTTCAACTTTGTATTTGTCATAGGCATACAAACATCACCATTTTATACAGGTTTCTTGTTCATTTACAAATTTCTCCCTACTACAGTGACTATACTTTAATACTTTAATAATTCAATATATTTATAATAATTTTAATAATCTATTTATTAATTATCATAAAAATATTCATATATATTGTATAATAATATAATATATTATAAACGATAATTAATGATGTAACATGTCTTAAAACCATTTGTTAGAACTCAATTAAAAAGATTTTTTAGTTTTTATTTATTTTCTTTCAATATATTTATATTTTTTATGTTTTAAAGTTAAATTTTTATTTATTTAAACTTAATATTTGTTGTTAAATATTTAACCTTAATATTAATTGTTGTTTATACCATATTATTTTACTAATTAATACATATAATTATTATATAATAATTAATAATTTTTGTAGTATTTTTTAATTAAAAATGATTAATATATATCGATAATTTTAAAAAATCTGAAATATTTAAAATTTTAAAAAAATTAATTTAGAATGAATTGTGTGTATATATTTAGTAGCTTTCTGTTCATAAGGAAGTTATCGTGCAAGAAAACCCTAGAGCTTAATGGATAAATGCCGAAACTTTTATCTTACTGGAGAAACGGGATTTCAGCCTTCAATGACCGTATGTTCAAGTTTCTTCTGTTATTTGCTATTAAAATATTATTATTTTTAATTCCAACATCTTAATCCGAAGTTAAAGTAATCTAATCTAATCTAAAATAAATAAATCAGTCCTTCACTTATTAAGAATTTATCTTATCTGATGTTTGAACTCAATATATCTATTAATTAAAATTTTAACCTAAGTCCTTCATCATTTCAATTATATATGGTTCAATTCACATTTTATCTTTTTATTAAAAAAATGCTATTTGTTAATAGAATAAGTTTAAGATGATAATTCATTTCAATAGATTTGAAAAAAGAGTAACAAATAATTATTTTTATTTATTTTTTATATATATAATTACCGGTTTTTGATTTATTAATCGACTAATCCAGATCGGATATTACAGAGACAAGGATGATAGAAAATAAAATATGCATGTTGGCTGGAAAAAAAATAATATAAATAAGTAAATAAAAATGAAGTAGAAGAACCCAGATTCCAAATGAACAAATTCAAACTTGAAAAGGATCTTTCTGATTCTCGAAGAATGAGGGGCAAAGGGATTGATCGAGAAAGATCTCTTGTTCTTATTATAAGATCGCGTGATTGGATCCGCAGATGTTTGGTAAAAAAAATCTTCTCTTTTGAGAATAATCAAAAATGGAAAGTGTTCAATTGGAACATGAAAACGTGATTGAATTTGTCCTAGTTACTCTTCGGGACAGAGTGGAAGAAGGGAGGAGATTCTCGAACGAGGAAAAGGACCCAATGACTTCGAAAGAATTGAACGAGGAGCTGTATGAGGTGAAAATCTCATGTACGGTTCTGTAGAGTGGCAGTAAGGGTTACTTATCTGTCAACTTTTCCACTATCACCCCCAAAAAACCAAACTCTGCCTTACGTAAAGTTGCCAGAGTACGATTAACCTCTGGGTTTGAAATCACTGCTTATATACATGGTATTGGCCATAATTCACAAGAACATTTTGTAGTCTTAGTAAGAGGGGGAAGGGTTAAGGATTTACCCGGTGTGAGATATCACATTGTTCGAGGAACCCTAGATATTGTCGGAGTAAAGGATCGTCAACAAGGGCGTTCTAGTGCGTTGTAGATTCTTATCCAAGACTTGTATCATTTGATGATGCCATGTGAATCGCTAGAAACATGTGAAGTGTATGGCTAACCCAATAACGAAAGTTTCGTAAGGGGACTGGAGCATGCTACCATGAGACAAAAGATCTTCTTTCTAAAGAGATTCGATTCGGAACTATTATATGTCCAATGTACAATATTGAAATAATTTCAGAGGTTTTCCCTGACTTTGTCCGTTTCAACAAACAATTCGAAATGCCTCGACTCTTTTAGAACAGGTCCGGGTCAAATAGCAATGATTCGGATACACATGGTTTCATAAAACCGTACGATTCTCCCGATCTAAATCAAGCAGGTTTTACATGAAGAATGTTTGCCTCATCATGTTCTATTCGATATGAGTAGGAGAAGTGGTATTCTTAAAAAAATAGAGAAATCAGAACCAAGTCAAGATGATACAGATCAGCCCCTTCTTCTTGCGCCAAAGATCTTACCATTTACGAAGGAACTGGAGTTACATATCTTTTCCATTTCCATTCAAGAGTTCTTATGTGTTTCCACGACCATCACCCGTTTAGTGTGTCGACATTCGGAGAACAATCCCTAACCATCACCCGTCCCAGCTAGACCGACCACAATCGTCGATTCTCATTTGTACCAAATTGTCGTGTGTCCTCTTGATTTAAGTCTTCGATTGCGCTAGCTATTGTAGCGAATAATTTTTCAGCAAGATAAAGTGTCGGCTGCGGTGATTGATGGTGATGACTGGTTAATCACTAAACTTATATAACTTAAAAACTTTAATTCTAAAATAAATTAAATTACTTAAATTAATTATTATTTTAAAAATCATAATTTAATTATATTTCGATTAAAATTAAATTAAATTTTAATAAATGATTAATTTGAAATAAATGAATATATTTTTTAATATTTACATAATAAAGATAAATTTACTTATGATGTGTTTTAATACTCGTTTTAATGATACGTCGTGATGTGTGAGGTGCACTGTAGAATTTTCTATATCAGTACAACATCTTTTTATTACCGGCGTACAAGACGATAATAATCTTTAAAGAACAAATTCTACTTATTAAAATAATAAAAGAATTTTATTAAATATTAAAATGAAAAAAATAAATATATATTTAACCGGAAAATTAAATTACACTTTTTTAAAAGAAAAAAGTGTGGAAACAACAAACGAATACCCCCAAAACCCACATGTTTATGAGCCACAAGAAGCAAGACAGAAGCAACTTGGTGAACGATCTTCTGGTATCATCTATCCCCCTTTGCTTGTATTCACAGCTTCCAGCATTTTCACTACCTCGTTCGTTTCGGGTCGATTGTTCGGATTCACCCCAGCATTTCCTCATGATGTTCACTAATGAACTCAGGCAGCACCGTGGGATCGCCGGTCGTAATTTCTGTCGATAAAATGTTGAGTTTATTTAACTCCATATCAATTGGTTCAATCTTTTAACAACAACATAACATGTGCATACTAACCTCTTGAACAACTGCAGATGATATCTCGACGAAGCTCAGATCAGGATAAGGCATGTCGCAGCAATAGATTTCCCACAAGCAAATGCCAAAGCTGTAGACATCGCATTTTCTGTTGTAGTGCTTACCGTTTAGAACCTAATGTAAAGATCGCATAAACGTTCCGATAATGTTACTCGAGCTCGGATAAATGAAAAAACAACGATTGAACAACACAATTAAAAGCATACCTCTGGGGCCATGTATCCCAGAGTTCCGGTTTCACCGGTCATGTCACATGGATTCCAAGCTTCAACTCGAGCTACGCCGAAATCGGCAATCTTGACGTTCTTCTGAGTGTCTAGTAACAGGTTTTCTGTCTTGACATCACGGTGTACGATCTTTTCCGAGTGCAGGTAGCTGAGACTGCAAATTCAAAAAAAAAAACGATCACTCTAAATTCTAACCCTTAAACCCTAAAAACAGAGGATAATAGGGTATTCACTGACCCTCTAGAGAGGTCCAAAGCAAGTTGGATGACAACCTTCAGGGAGATTTTCTTTCACCTATTCTGAATCAAGTACCGCTTCAACCACCGGAGAGATATTAGACGACGAAACAGCATAATAGGTTATATTGTACGCCGAAAGGCTTCTAAATCATTCAACGTCTTTAGCAAGATTATAGTTTTATTAAGAGACGGATGTAAGATATTATGTTATAGGGGTGAACTTATAGAACCTTAAAGGAGAGACGAATTTATAAAATTTCATGTTCAAAGAAAATATCTAAAATAAATAGAAATTTAAAATTTTTAGGGGTGACCGCCCTCATTCACCCCTTTAAGTTCATTCTAGGTCTTATAAGTTTTTGAACATGCATGCAACTTGAGAAAGTCGTCGTGTTTTCTGAACATCTTTTCAAAATTGTTGTGTCATCCAAACATCTTCCAATGTGCACTATAATATTCATACTAGTTTAAAAAGAAAATTTTTCAGCACCTTACATGGGAGGTTTTTCTTCAAAACAATACTTGAACAATTTCACCTAAAAAAGGTATTAATACTTAATTTGTAATACTCATATTAAAAAAATAGATGTCTTAAACCTATTGGATAATCTTAATATTAAATGAAAATATTATTATCTTTAAAAAATTAAATTTGAACAAATATGTTTACATGGTATCTATTTTATTAGAGACGTTGAAACTAGTTGAGGCGTGGGCTCGGACAAGGAATAGGACCAACAAGTTGATTCTGTGGCAGACAGTTATTCTACTTGTGTTCATGAGCTTGCAATGGCCTTATGTGCTTGTCAAATGGGAAAATTCAACCTACAAAATAACATTAAAAAACCAGATAAAAAAAATAAGGTTTATTACATTGACCCACCAGACAATAATAATTATGTGTAAGAAAATAATTTGTCCAGACATGGCATGGATCATTTCAGAAGGAATTAACAGATCTGGGTTTCTCGTTTCATTACTTTTTTACCCTCACTGACTTTTCCTCTGTTCACTTTCCTACAGCAAAAGAATCCAGAGATTAATTAATTAAATCCTAAGTATTTAGTCAGCTAATGCAAGTCTTTAATTATTCTATGAATCCATAGTCTGACATTCACAAATCCTAGATACTAAAGATACATATGCATAAAGACTAATTTATGTTGCTGTAATATTAGTTGGTTTTTATAATTTAATATGTTGTTGATATTTTAATAAATTAACTATCATAATTAGTTCAAATTGTGATACTTTAAAAAAAATTATTGGTGATATATTGTCTCGATGTTGATGTGGCACGTGCTAAAAGTAGGCATGGAGGAGTCGACACAATGATTTTGGCATGAAGTTTGATCGCAAGGAATTTTGGGTGATTTGGGAACCGGAAAACCATTATCATTATTGCATTTTGTAATTTTACATATTACTTTAAATTTAATTAACATATTATCTGTAATAAAATAATATTTAAATTTATTTATTATTTCCATTACATTAAATAAATTTAAACAATATATGATAGTAAGGGGATGTTTGTTTATTGCTGAATGAAACCATTCAACGCTGAATGCTGAATGCTGAATCGTTCAACATTCAGTGTATTTGATTCTCACCTCTGAATGAAGACTATGCTGAATGAAACATCAAAACACTACGGAATGATTCATCATTAAAGTACATTCTGAATCATTAAGCACCCGGTATTTTATCATAATACCTATTTTTTCACATGTTGTCTTATTAAACAATCATATCTTATAATATAATAAATCATTATGAAGGTAAAAATGAAAATATTCATAATTCAGATTGTACGTTCAGACCCATTATCAAACAACATGTCACATTCAGAGTCAATTCATACAGAGCCTTTGAATCATTCAACGCTTAATCATTTTATTTTATCAAACAGTACCTAAATATTTTTTTCAAGGAACTCTCACGTGACATACCTATGGTCTTTATGGGTGCATGGAACAGGGTTAACTGCCCTAATGACGGTCACCCCTTTCCCCTTTCCCCTTCCCCAAAGGTCATTTCCAGTACAATAATGTCTCTACAAAAGCTTTGGAAAAGTACCCAAAAAAGGTTGACTTGGATGAAAATGAGAAATATGAAATTCTTTTGTCCCAAACTTTTATGAAATCTTGATTTGATAATAGGATCGAAGAAAAGTTTGAGACTTCAATTCTAGTTTTATTTTTAGTTGTAATATAATTATATTTGTAATTTTAAACAAATTTCATGTCGATCTTGCAGGGAGGGTGGATCAAGACCATACACGTGTCATGATTGTGAATTATTTGATGTGAAACCCTAAACACTGAAGTAATGGAGTTTCGAAACTTGATTTGATGATGTGAATGCTCAACCAACCTTATAATGTCGAGTGATTGATAGTAAATGAATTTAAATTTAGATTTTGATATGTAGTTTCTTTTGTATTATACTAAAAAATATATATGATTTTGTTGAGTAATGTTTAAAATTACTTGTTAAGACTAATTGAATTATCATTTATGAACACAATTGCTAATGGTTAATTTGATAACTTTGAGTGTGTTAGTGAAATAATTTAAAATAATGATTCAAATAACACCCATTAGCAAAAATCCATACAGATTATAAAATATATCTTTGTGAAATGGAAACACGACCTGGAAATTAGGGTTTGTTCTTGATAATGGAGCTCCTTGTCATGACTCAAAACTTATTAATTTTCACCTACGTAATTAATCTCCACATTGATCTTAGCATGAGAGATTAAAATAGTACATTGAGCTAATACATGTATTGGTTTATTCTTTATATATTTGGGTTGTACGTAGGATATGATGAGGCTCGAATTTAACAGGTTTTGAACTAATCATATATAATTATTTTCATTTTGAAAATCGGATTTAGATCGGATCAAAAAATATATTTTTTGACGATAAGGTTGTATCAAGTTCATGCTTAGAATAAAAATTAAACATTTACCCTAAAAATGAAGTCAATTTCAGTCCAATTAAAACCTTCCTAAACATGAAACGAATCGGGTGACAAGTAAAGTGGTAGAATTCTCAAATCAAATTCGGGTTAGTCAAAAAACTCAACCTAACCTAACTCGACTCATATCCATTCTTAATTGTAATTATGATTGTTCTTTGTATTTATTTGATTCTAATTATAGTACTTATGCAAACATCTATATTATTTGTTTATTTACAATGTATTTGTATAAAACTCTCTTCATATAAGTATATTTTTTTTCATCCACCTTACACGAACTCGAGACAAGGGTTGCATCATGAAAGCATACAATGGCATTGGCCCCCTATAGAACGAAAATAATGTTGAAAGTAAAATTGCATTTTAATAATTTAAAATTCAATTATAATCGTTCAATATATCAGTTTCACTCTTAACTTTAAATTTTATTTAAGGGATATAAATTTTTTATCACTCGTTAGACTTGACGATCTACATTTTTTTTATAAATTCTTAATAAGGTATCTAGCCAAATGGTACCACATATGACATTTGTGGTGAGTTGTGGGCATGTGGTGGGTTGAAACCCTACCAAACAATGTATAACATAGACCAACCAATTTTCAAAATTTTGGGCGCCAGTTGCTTGGTTCGCTATTTGCCTTCGCTTTCACAATTATGTCTTTGCCTCTTTGGACTATATGCCACAATAATAACAACACAAACACCGATGGAAGAATCCCAGATTTAACTCAATAATTCATACTATTTTTTTTCTTTTTTAAAAAATTGTTAAGCATGACATATGGTGACAATATAATTTAGTATTGAATTAGGTTTTTTATTAAATTATTTTATTTTTAAATAAATTAATTGTATTAATTATTTTTATTGAATAAAAATAAAACATAGTAGGGCAGACTAAATCACATTAATCGATTATTTTGTGTAAAGTTATCAGAGACGGAGAGTCAAAGTTAAACCCCTTCCAAATTTTAGAATAAATATTTATTAGGTCCCTATTAATTTTAAAGTCGATCAATTTGTCCCTTCTCATTGTCTGAGCATACCTCCATCCGATGAGCGTTTATTAATAAAAGAGAATCAGATGATCTAAACCAATGGTAGATCAACAACATAATCAAATAAACGTCAATTTGAGAAGTAATGCTAAATCCAACCTTGGTAAAAGAGATGTACAACAAGAGCAGCAAAATCAATTACTATATTCATACGAAAAGAAAAAGATTAATTAAATAAAATTACACGACAAAAATGTGACAAAACTTAAAAAAGAAAAAAGTGAGAATGGAAGAAAGAAAAATAAAAGTTAAGATCAACTATCGGTGATGAATTTAAAGTCAATATTATTATCGATGATAAAATGTTGTCGCGAGAAAAAGAAAAAACACCTATTACTCGAATCATTAAAAGTTTGTATTTACATTTGGTTATATTAAAAAGAGATAAAACTTAGTAGTAAAATAAGTTAGTAATTATGAAAATTTTCAACTTTATGGACTCACGGGGAAGCCATGTTCATATGTAGCCAATTTAATACTCACGTTCCACTTCGTGACATACCATAATTTTACCATAATCAATTTCCTCGTGCCAATAATATTCCATCCCAAGAAAATTTTCATTACTGCATTCATGAATAATATTTATTATTATTTTCATAAGAAGTTATCATATATATATATATATTATTTAATTAAATATTTTCATTTATTGTCGTCTGATTTTAGGTTTGATATTTAATATTATGTCAATAGTTAGGTTATGTTCTATTGTTATGGTTTATTTTCCTACCAAATATCTCTCTCGAATTTATTATTAATAACCTTTTAGCTTTTATTTTTTATGTACAACTCATAAAATATATTTATAATTTTAAGAAAAATTATTTAAGTGAATTTGTGATTTCATATGAACATGTTGAGTTGTTTCGGATCGAATTATTTTAAATTTTATCTTTTTGAATTTAATTTTTTTTATTTTAAATTCTTTTAAACTTGATTTTTTTAATAGTCTGAGGTGATTATAAAATAATATATGTTTAAAAAAATTAATCTATGATAACATACGTACACGCTACCGACATAGCTGCTCGATTTCAAATTTTTTTAAAGAAAATGAAATTCTCTTTTATTACTTAATTAACTCAACGAGTTTCACGAATTTTTAATTATACCTAACCATATATATAATTTGAGATCTAGGCATTAATATAGAATTCAACTTAGGCAAATATAATATTGAAACTATGCTTAGCCCTAACTCAAACCTACTCCACGTAAACCTAATTATTTGACAACCGTTAATATTAATAAAATATTTAAGAGCTTTAAATGCATATTTTAATTTGATGACATATATTATAGTTAATGTTACGGAAGACACATTAATTTCATACTAATTATTTCTTCAGGTTAAAATTTAATAATTATTATAAATTTAATTAATTTTGATAATATCAATAGTTATAAATTCCATAAAAATATTATATTAATAATGTTTTTTTGGGATAATATATGCATGTCGACATTGTTGGACACAAAGCTAATGGTCCCCCCTCGTTAAAAGTGGGGTATGAAAATAAATTATTTTTACCAAATTCATAAAATTACTATTGAATACAAAGTTGGAAAAAAAAATTGTAATGATAGATTTAAATACGATTAATATGGTACGTTTAATATACATATTGTATTCATGTCTGAGATTTTAGCATAATTAATAATAAATTACGTTTAATATACGTATTGTAACATGTGTAATAAATATGAAATGATAAGTCTATCATGTAAAGTTCATATTTTTCTTTTATCATTTGTTTTCCCTCCAAAACAAATAGAAAGAGAATGTACGTTTTAGAATTAAGAGAAGAAAGAAAGATTATAAATGGTAGAAAATCCAGTAAAGGTGTATAAAGAATGGAGAGTGCAAGGGAGGAAGACGAAGCAGCTGTAGCATGGTCTTTTATTTTATGTTGTTAAAGTGAAAATTTCAGAGTTTTGGCAATGGAGGCGTTAGGACAACTGTGGACAAAGTGGGCCTCTCCTTGCCTTTATATCTCTCCATCTCTTTTGATTTGCCCTGTAAATTCTAAATCTAAACAAATCTGAATTTTGCGTCTTTTTCTTCTTACGTTCCTAAATCACTGTCTCATTCCACAAGAAAATCCAGAAAAAGAGGGAAAATTTTCAGCAGTAGTTAGTGAGAGTGACGAGTTTCTTTCTCTGATGGATACCCCAGAAAAGACCCTGACCAGCTCTTCGCTCTCTAAGTTTGAGGTACTAATTTTCTTCAACCATTTGATCTTTTTGGAGGGGAACCCTTTTTTGTTTTTGATTTTGGTGTCTGATGCACTGCCTGTTCTCGGTATTTGGTTTCTGTGGGAAGGTTGATATTTATTTTTCTGGGTTTTGTTTCCTAAAAGTCCATTCGTTTACTTCATGGTTTGCTTTGGGGTGGGGGGGGATTTGTTTACTTTCATGTGAATTCACCTTTCCTTTTGCCTTATGGTTTCTGGTTCTTCTGGTTTTGGTGTTCACTAATAGAGCTCACAATTGAGATTTTTCTTATGATTTACCTTTTCATCTTTCTAGGATTCCATTTTAGTCTTCTTTGATTTTAAGTTAGTTTCTCTTGACTCACATTGTACTTAATTCAGTTCAAATTTTTAGTCACTGCTTTTGATTTCTTCTTCTTCTTCTTCTCAGATCAAGGCCTAAATTGATGTGAACAAAAGATCCATTATTTGCATTTAATTTGCAGTTTCCTTTAACTGGTGGACCTGTGAATTTCTTATCTTCTTTTTCCATTGAAAATCTCTCTCCAGAAATCATCATTTTTGTCCTGATTTGAACCAATTATCTGTTCAACAGTTTTCTTTCAAAGGATTTGCTCTTGTTGCAGCATAGATGTGTCGCTTACCCTGCTTTTGCATTCGTCTTTGTTGCTAAATTTGTGGTCTTTTTCATGTCAGAGAAGCATCTAATATTACGTTTGTAACGCTTTCCCCCCCCCCCAGGATTCTCCGGTTTTTAACTATATCAACAGCCTTTCCCCCATCAAGCCAGTCAAATCTGTGCACGTTACGCAGACATTCAACCCCCTCAGTTTTGCATCACTGCCCTCTATTTTCACTTCACCCCATGTCAGCTCTCACAAGGAGTCTAGATTCCTGAAATGGTAATGAACTAGTCTAATACATTCTTGATTGTTTAGTTCCACGCCTTCTTATCTCGTTTTCGGTTTCTCGTTGGTGCTGATTATTTCTTCTTTTCTGTCTGGTTGGCATAGCTCTACAGATCCATCGAAACCCGAGTTGTCTTCTGCAGATGGGACTAAGGTTAGTACAAATGAGGAGGCGGGTGTGAATGTACAAGAGATTTTTGATCCAGGAGTTTCTCTTGGTGAGGTTTCTTTCCAGTTGCCTAATCAACAGTCGAGGATTGCAATTGAGCTGCCACAAACCTTAAAGTATGATTGTGGTAGCCCCAACTGTGATCCAACACCTTGTGTTATCGAGACTAATTGTGTCTCTGAATCGACGTGCACATCTCTCGCAATTGTTCCATTCGTTCAAGATGCCTCTCAAAAAGGTTTTTCTGATGGAGTGGAAGTAGCAGCCACTTTCCAGATCGAGCAAAAAAGGGAAACTACTGGAAGTGAGTGGGAATGTTTGATTTCCGATACGCCCGACCTATTGATTTTTAATTCCCCGAATGGTTCTGAGGCGTTTAGGGGTGTAATTCAGAAATCGTTGGAACCTGGCACTAGATGTGGTCCTACTCTTATTTCTCAGTTCCCACAAGATGATATCAACGAGTATAAAGATCAAAACGAAGGAACTGGTGAGCTCGACGAAATAAACCATGTGAATGAAATTTTTAAGGATAATAATGTGACAAACTTCGTGCCCGGCAGTCTGACCGATTATATTGATACTCGGATGTCTGCCCCATATTCTATGAAGGTAAAAGATGCTGTATATTTGAAGTGATATAGATCAATTTATGCTGCTTGAGTTGCAGAGAAGTAGACACTCTTAGAATTGCTTTTTCTGATGATGCCTTTATATGTTTGTGCACAGCCTAGTTCTATTTTGCATCATGGATTCAGACGGCGCTGTTTAGATTTCGAGATGCTGGCATCTCGGAAGAAGAGCTTAGACGGCAGTTCAAATACAAACTCTTCTGTAGAAAACAAATCGGAGCCTGGCGGTGATTCCTCAAGGTGCATTGTACCTGGAATTGGTTTGCACCTAAATGCCCTAGCAATAGCCTCAAGGGATAACACGAATACGAAGTTCGAAACTTTATTGTCTGGGACACAAAAGCCAATTCTCCCTTGCTCCACTACATCCAATTCACCCACAGCAGGTCAAGAAACTGCTCATGAATCATTGTTGGCTTCTGGCTCGACTGAAAGAGAAACCGACGATGTCAAAAATGGGGTTCAACTTGCAGAAGATGCCTCTCAGGCATCTACTAATTTTGTTAATGAAGAGTTCAATCAAAATAGTCCGAAGAAAAAGAGGTACGAGAACTTGACAGCCTGTAGTTGATTGGTTTATTAGTTATTACTATCTGATATTACATGCCTTAACAATGGTTTTGTTCATCATCGTGTTACGGATTTTCAGACGGAGATTCGAACGAGCCGGAGAGAGTGAGGCCTGTAAACGATGCAACTGCAAGAAATCAAAGTGTCTGAAACTGTAAGAATCATGCTTACCAGTGTGATCTACTAGGGTGTTTTGAATTTTTCATTTATGTGCTGATTCGATATCGGAACCTCTTCTTGTTCAGCTACTGTGAATGCTTTGCTGCTGGTGTATACTGCATCGAGCCATGTTCATGTCAAGACTGCTTTAATAAGCCTATCCATGAAGATACTGTACTTGCAACTCGCAAGCAGATCGAATCTCGAAACCCACTTGCATTTGCTCCCAAAGTGATCAGGACCTCTGATCCGATACCTGAAGTTGGGGTACGGAATAACTCCACGCTTCAACATCTAGTTGGTCAACTGCAAGTTGCTACATAGAGCCTAACCGTCATTTCTTCTTGCAGGATGACTCGATAACAACTCCGGCTTCAGCTCGACATAAACGAGGATGCAACTGCAAAAAATCAAATTGCCTGAAGAAATATTGTGAATGCTTTCAGGTTTTCCTCTGGAAAAAAAGGAAAAAAAAAAACTCTCCGTGTCGATGTTGTTCTACATAAACTGATCCGAAAATTGTTTTCTTTTGTCTTAAAGGGCGGCGTCGGATGTTCCATCAACTGCAGATGTGAAGGCTGTAAGAATGCATTTGGTCTGAAGAATGGTAAGTGTTCTTTAGCATGCATGATTGTTTCAACTGTTGGACGTTGTTCAAGTTCTTATTCACTTGATTGTTCCGAAACACAGGATCCCCCATCGTGGAAGCCGGAGGAGAGCCTGAAGGAGAAGAAACAGATCCTTCTGACATGAATGCAACGAACACGAATTTCGAAAAAACCGACATCTTGAATACTGAGGAGCAAAATCCAGCTGCTCTCCCAACTACTCCTGTACAACTTTGCAGGTTTCTTCCTTGAACTGTTTGACGTTTTTCCCCTTGATAAAATCAATAGATATTATTGCTAAAAAGTCTATTTTCTCCACAGACCTTTGGTTCAACTGCCATTTTCATCGAAGAGCAAGCCGCCACGATCGTTTATCACCATCGGATCGTCGTCCGGACTGTATACTGGGAATAAATATGGAAAGCCTAATATTATCCGACCACAAAGGATAATTGAAAAGCGTTTCCAAGATGAAACCCCGGAGATTCTACGAGGGAATTTTTCTCCCGAAAACGGCATTAAAACTTTGTCGCCCAACAGTAAGAGGATCTCTCCTCCTCAATGTGAGTTTGGCTCAACACCCGGTGGTGCTCGGAGTGGCCGGAAGTTGATATTGCAGTCAATACCATCATTTCCTTCTCTTACTCCTAAGCATTAAGTTGAGCTTCAAGGAAATAAATTTTGATTTAACTCGAATTTTTTATTTATTTATTTTGAATTATATAAGTTAACTCGAATTTTGAGTCTTTTGAATAGAAAAAAATAGCTAAATAATTTGATAGATTTATGATTTAATAATTGGTTTTCTCATTTCAACAATTCTTCTTTTCCTCTTAAGTTAATTTTTGACGAAATTTAAACTACGCTCTCCTAAATTATTGTAAAAAAACCTATGTGGTTTGAATTCTTATTTTTAATAATAAATTTCATATAATTTTAAATTAATCTCTTAATTTTACACAATTTTCTTGATTCTTCAATTCATTATTTATTTTAAATTTACTTTAATTAAATTTGAGTTATACGTTTTCTACTGCTATAAAATACTTATATAACTTCAATAATTATTTTTAACAATAAATTTATCTTTTTTAAAATTTTAATCTTTAATTTTATATTTTATTTAATTTAACATTTCGATTTTATATTTTATAAACTCTTTTCATTAATATTTTGGAATATTTTTTTCTACAAAGATAACATAAACGTTAATATAATATAAGAAATATAAATAAATACATATTACTTATATGATTAGATTAAACCAATAAACTTTAACAATAATTTAACTTAATTCAATCTGACTCAAAAAAAATTAAAATCCAATTTAGATAGTAAAAATAAAACTCAATAATTCAACTAATTTTTTTATTAAAATAGATGCTTAACGTTTAAAAAGTTTCATCGTCATATCTACTTAAAAAAAATCTATTAATATATAAATAATATAAATTTTGTTTTGATTAAAAAAAAGAAAGAAAAATATCATTAATTTCAAGACAAAACTAGAAACCATTCATCTAATCCAAAATCACCTCGAACATATTCATCTTCCTCGATAAGAATCTCTTCAGGCCAAAAATAGTTCACATCGAGATTTGGGTATTTTTAAATTAATTTCAAACCCTAAACCCTAAAATTAACTTGCCAAACACTCATGTCTCCATATCAACAAATTAAATAAACAGTTTAGGATTTTTTGAAAAACATTTTCCAAACATCAAATTACCATTCGATTTCATCCTAAAGTTCTCGTGTAAACAATAAAAGAGAAAATGATAAACATAAGTTTCAGAAATAACCACCAAAAAAATAGATTCATGAAATCTTTCAAGCACCAACCACCTCTGGGGTAGGCTCAGCCATGGTGTCATCGGCCGGCCTCTCTAATTTCACACCGACATCCTCCGAGTAATCGCCGTGGACCTAAATGAAACCAACACGAACAAACAAAATTAATACAAAGCACAATGCAGAGATAGTTTGATACTTTATCATGGAAAATATACAAAAATTAGATAAACATACCTCCATCAACTTCCCAAGATCAAACTTGGGAGCCTTCAAGATTTTGACTTTTCGGATGAACACATTCTGCAAAGGATAGATGCTAGATGTTGCCTTTTCGATTTCTTTTCCAATCATCTCGGGGATGAACTTCTGCACTAATCCCTTCAAATCACATGATGTTGCCTGAGCAGTCATTATCTCCCTCATCTTTCGGCGAATCTGAATAAACAAAAGCAAGTTCATTGTGGGGAATCTTCATCAAAGTTCTGATGTCAGCTTTGACACAGTTGCAGAGTAGCATTACCTGTCTAATCTGGCTGGACTGTGCATAACAAGTCCTTTTAACCTGATTTGGGCGTCTCTTGGTGAATCCGATGCAGAACATTCTCAACGTATAATTATCGGTTGTCTTCACATCCACGTGAGCTTCAATCAGTGTTTGCCATTTCCGGACCAACGACCTCAGTTTGTCAGTAGTAAAATTCATTCCCTGCATATTTGTCAATTTATTATAACAAGCAACATCAAAGCAATGATGTGAATAAAGATAATTTATGTTTCCCATACCCAAAAGTTGGTCAAAACGTTCTTTCCTTGTACATCTTCAGCTCTCAGACGAATCTTCCTGTATGCGTGATCCTCATCACCGCCTTGAAGATCAGCGAGTGAAATTTCAAACACACGGTGTTTGAGTCCTTCAGAAGCAATCTGTCAAACAAAATAGCAAACTTCAAGCCACATAAAATTTTAGAAATCAAATTTTAAAACTGTACATTAAGCATACTATCAAGCAAAGTTAAATATCATGAGCATTATCCCACATGCATACAACATATCATTAGAAAAAGCTCGTAATTTATTAAAGGGGCAAAATGATCAATGCCAACTAAAGATGCAAGAACAAAATGAACAAAGAAAAAAATAAGCTTTTCAACAAATGATTCTCTATTGAAGAAAATCAATCTTCGAATGAAGACATTTTATAGAACCCTAGCAGCAACAATTGTTGCAACCTCCTCTAAGAAGTCACCCAGAAAATTAAAACTTGATACAGAACACAAGATTTCCACAGTCAATTAAGAATATATCATCAAGAATATCCAAAAAATCTCAATATAACCATTTCTAGGTAAAACAAGAATTCTCAATTTTTATACAGAGTAAAACAAACAACATTGAACTTCATTATCATCATTCTTTCAAAGCTAAAACAAATAGTCTACGCACTTGGCTAGATGTTCAATGTAATCTGAACGAAACCCAGATTCCTCACAGGATCAAAATATTAAAAAACCGTTTTCAAAAGGGTAAGTAAATGAAAATTTACAAAAAAAAAACAAACAAACAAACCTTGGTACCCTGAGTACGGGTAACAAGAGTCTTCCCAACATTTCTGGAAGTAAAAACCGATGGAGCCTTGATATCATACCAATCTTTCTTAGCAAATGGATCAGCTCTAAATACAAAAACCCAACAACAACAAAATCAACATTTTAACTAAAAAATCATTTTCTAAACATGCCCAAAGCATATTTGATGCTGAAAATCAAATAAAACAAAACACTGACGCTTTCTTCTTTCCTCCCTTCTTTCCTTTGGAAATCCTCTTGTTCTTCCTGTATCAGAACATAATCAGTGAACCACAAAGCACATGGATATAGTGGAAGATAAAGAAATGAGTACCCGACGGCCATGGTTGAAGCTCTGCTAGGTCGGCTACGAAGAGAGAAAAGCAGACTGCCTGCAAACCTGGGAAAGTTTAAAAAACCCTAATTTCGTTTTCTAATTTATATACAACTCTTTGATGGATTGGTTTTGTGAATCAAAGAATTGGGTTTGAACAAATTTCAGACCCAAACAATTATGGATTCGGGCTTTACAGTTTTATTGTTCATTACTGACCATGATCAAATTTTTGAGTCAAAATTTAAATACAAAATTTTAATAATTTTTTTGAGGTCGTAGGTTCGAGCATCATCTAAGTTGTGGTATGTGTGTTTAACATCAAATGATTGAGAGTATTTAAATAAATATTATTTTAGTCCTTCTACTCATTCTAGATTAATAAAAAAAATAATGAAATCCAAATATTATGTATTTTTCTTATTTTTTTATATTTTAATCATCGACTATAATATTAAATTTTAATTTCATCATTGATCGTCGGTCTTTTCTCTTTTTTTCTTTCTTTCCTCCCTCCTCCCTTCTGTAAGTTTTGCCAATATTTTTATCATTTTACTTTATTTAATTAATCTACAATTTATCTTATTAGATCAATTAATACTCTTTTATGTAAATGTTAGATAGAGTTTCGTAATCATAAATTGAATTATGAGAGAAGACATGTGCGAATGTGATGTTTGTTGTCCACTCACCAACATTCATACATGATCTCCTTGATGTTGTCTTGGGATATAATAATTAAGAATTGGACCAACCTTTGTTGACTAAAGTCTCATTTAAAAAATTTATTTTGTTGATGTGGAAATTTAATTCAAATAAGTTATCGATGGTTGATTTATATTTTGAAAAACTTGTGTTAATATAGATTCTAATTTATATTTAAATTAAGGGTTCGTTTGTATATAAGTTTAAAGAATATATATTATGATATGAAAAAAACTGTTTAAAAATTAGTATTTGACATATTGATATTAGAGTGTTTTTTACACAGAGTTTTGTTTTAATTTATTGTTGTGTCTCCTTAACTAAATTTAAATAAACAATTAATTACACATGATGGTGCATAAAAGCAACTTGTGAAGAAAGGACGTTTTACGGTTGATGGACCAAATTATTATTCATAGTCTAAAAACTTTATTTTTTATATATTAATATTTAATTCATTGGTCGATTAATTAAGATCTTGTAGAGGTATAATATAAGGAGACTCTTCTAACCCATTTCTTTTGCTTTCACAGATATCATAATTCAAACTCGCGTTATTTAAAGAACCTAACACTTCGTCCCACTATACAAAAATTATGGTTGATTAAAATTTTTGTTTTAATATGTAACAGTTAGCCGAAATGAAAACTTATAATTATGTTGTTCAACCAAAACAAATTATGTGCATCTCCATTACAACATTCGTTGAAACCCTTAATTGAGGATAGTAGGTGACAAAGGAAATAGAAGACACAATGGGTGCCCTTAATCAAAGATTCCCTTGATACTGAAATGGAAATTAAGGAAAGGAGGGAGTATGAGGTATGAGGCAAGTGGGAGAGCTTATTTAGAAGAAATAGTAGGGTCTCTCTTGTCATCCACAAACAAAAGTGCTTCTTTTATTACAAAAATCATGGAATTTTCTTAGGTAATTTCAGTGGGCTTTAATCTTCCATTAATCCCTAACTCGTCAATTATATTTTCTATAATGTATTAATCGATTAATTCAAATTAAATATTAAAAAAATTCATTATGAGACGATCATTTTAACTAAAATTGTTTTCATTTAGAATATCAAAACTCAAATTTTAGATATTACTTGAAAATAAAATATATAATTTTTATTAGAAAGGTCAAAATAAAGATATCAAACAAAATAAAATGATTCTTTTACTTAAGAATAAACTATTGAATGAAAAATAATTAATTAGTTAATAGAAAGTTGAATATCATAGAATTGGCATTTTCACTCATTGTCTTCCTATAGCATCATGTTAAGTGAACATTCTAAATTGCAATTATGAATATTGGGACTATATTGGTATAGTCCCATTATCATAATCATCATGGGATGAATAGGTTTACACCATTCATTCATGAATAATAAAACGAACATAATTGTAGCTATTAAACGAACTTATTTATGAATATTAAATTATTCTATCTATAAATATATTTAAAAAAATATAATTTAACATGTTTACAAATATTAAAAATATTTCACAAAATATTCACCGAATGTTCTATTCATTTACAATCATATATTCATAGAATTTTTCTTAATGAAAACATATTTAAATTTTATAATAATATTGATATGAATTAAATTAATATTCAACCGTTGAATATCAATAAAAAGATTATTTAGTATTAATAAATCTTAATAATCGAGGTCTATAAAGGGCCACGTAGGCGTAACAATGGAGTTTTAAATGATGAAAATGAGATACCTATGCCCTACCCACTCATCCTCCCACTTACATCTATCTTGTGTCACCCTATCGGTCCATCTCTCTTTTTATATATACACAACAATTCCATGAGCAAAAAGGAAAAAAAAAGTATTTTTTTTTTTAAACAAAGGAGTTGATATCATAAATTAGACGACCATTATGTTTAGGGGCAGATGGTACATAGCTATCAATTTGTCACTTGACTCGTTTTCATGAGAAGTCACAAAGGAGAGGCATCTCATATATATTATACAACATCACAATTAATATTCTGTTTTCGAGCAATAAGAATGCCCCATTTTCAAAGGAAAAACACAATTCTTTCATGTACATTCAAAATTTTCGAAATAATTGTTTATGGATTAGTTTGAATTTAATTTTAGTTAAAATATATAATTTGTTTAAAATTTATAATTTATTTGATATAATGCATTATCAACTCAATAAAGGCACACCTTTCAAATGTTATTATCCATATATAATAAATCAAATAAAGTTTTTCAATAGTTTGTAAGATTATAACTTAATATATGTTCATAATTTTCTTGTTAACCAATTGATAACACACCATATAGATGTATCTACTTAAATCAAAATCTTTAAAAACAAATAATGTTTCTTTTTACGTAAACTACTTGATAAATTTAAAAATATAATTTTATCTTATATTTATAGATAATTACAATATTATCTCTCTATATATTATTTTCTTCAATTAAATTTTTATTTTTATTGAATAAAAGTAATATTTTTTAAATAAATATATTATTTTATATCAGGTTATATTTTATCTCAAAAAATCAAATTAGATTTAGATCGAATGAAGAATGTATATTTTTTAGTCGAATAAAATAAAATATATATAATTTTTAGATCAAATTAACTGAAAATCTCATCCAACTCGACCGAAGCACGTGTCTACATCCTATAACAAAAGCATATTAAAAAGTAACAAACATAACCCTAGAATCACTAATGATTACTCCCTGCCGTCTGATTCAATTACCACACTGTACCTCATCATCCAGCACGTGACACGCAAAAATCCTAAAAGAATGACGTATTGACAGTTCTAACCCTCTCCGGCTCCTCCAAATCAGAACTTTAACACCCCAAAAAAAAGGTACGATCATTTCATTCTCTTCATCACTGTCACACTATAAACTCAGCTCAATCGTTTCTCTCACCGAAATCAGCTCTCCTCCCCCAAAAGAAAGCTAAAAAAATGGAGAAACCCGTTGTCGAACAATGGAGACCGGAGCTGCTGCCGGTTCCGGCACCTTTCAGGCCACCGGAGACGCCGCTTGAACCAATGGAGTTCTTGTCACGTTCTTGGAGCGTTTCGGCTTTGGAAGTTTCACGGGCTTTAGCTCCTCCACCTCTTCCATCTTCCCATCAAATGTTTTCAAAAGGTTCTTCGAGTGGCAACGTCGTTATACAAGAAGATATCTCCGGCGAGCATCAGCTCGAAGAAAACAGCATCGTCTCCGGCAACCCTTTCTCCTTCGCTTCCTCTGAAACTTCCCAAATGATCCTCGAAAGAATCATGTCGCAGTCGGTAAGAAATTTAGCACTTTTATGTATTTCCCTATTAAGTTTTGGTTTTGTTTGTTGTTTCCTTCCAAAAACAAAACATGGGTTTTGTTGTTTTGTTTATTTATAGTGACATTTATGGACCGTGCTTCATTTTTTGCCTTTAAAAATCTGGTTTTTCCTGTTTCTGTTGTGTCTCTTTTGTCTTAACAGCAAGAAGTATCTCCAAGAACATCAGGGAGATTATCTCATAGCAGTGGACCATTAACAGATAGCCCACCAGTTTCACCTTCAGACATTGATGATGTTAAGGTTTGTTAATTGTTTTTTTCCCTTTTAAAACTTCCCTTAGAACAGGCAAAAGAACAGAACATGGGTGTAGCTTCTGAGACACTGAATCAGAAACATAAACCTCAGGCTTTCTCTGTAACCAAAGATGCTTCCTTTATCAATGGAGCTTACGACTGTAATTTTTTTGTATTACCAATGTTACCCTTCTTTTGTTTTTAGTTTCTGTCCTAAAAATCTTCGATGTTATTTCGTTATGGGTCAGTACGATCGTTACCGTTCACAAAGATTGAAAGTTGTCTTTAATGGCGGTTGTTGATAATAAATAATAATTGTTTTATAATATTAAGATTCTTTCCTTTTTCGGGTTTATTCATGGATAAGGATCGGTTTCCGTTTACCTTTACCTTTTGCAGCAATTCTGCCACGCCAATAATTCCCTCAACATACAGTACCGTTCCAGCACTGGGATGGCGGTGGGTACTCCTGCCGTGACTGGCGGCGGGAAGACGGTTGGTAGATGGCTGAAGGATAGGAGGGAGAAGAAGAAGGAAGAGACGCGTGCTCACAACGCTCAGCTACATGCTGCCGTTTCTGTCGCCGGGGTTGCCGCGGCCGTGGCAACCATCGTGGCAGCCACCGCCGCGTTTTCGAGTGCAAGAAAGGATGAGCAGAGGGTGAAGACTGATATGGCCGTGGCATCCGCTGCCACTCTCGTGGCCGCGCAATGTGTGGAGGTGGCGGAAGCCATGGGAGCCGAACGAGACCATTTGGCCTCCGTCATCAGTTCGGCTGTCAATGTCCGGTCCGCGGGTGATATCATGACCTTAACTGCCGGTGCAGCAACAGGTATATATATATATACATATTTGTTTTTCGATTTTAATTTTATCTAAATCTCTAACACGAAATTCGAACTTCATGGCAGCCTTACGAGGGGCAGCCACCTTGAAAGCAAGGGCATTGAAGGAAGTATGGAACATTGCAGCCGTAATCCCTGTCGAAAACAATAAAACCGGTTGCAATGGAAGCAATCACGGCAGCTCTAATGGCAGCTTTAGTGGTGAGCTTGTTCCTGAAGAGAATTTCTTAGGAATCTGCAGCAGAGAGTTGCTAGCTAGAGGCTGTGAGCTTCTCAAACGCACCCGAACAGGTAAACTCGAAGCACATTCGAGTACGAATACAATCTACAACATTTCTAACATATCCGAATCCGGTGAGAAACTCGAATTACAGGTGATCTTCACTGGAAGATTGTCTCTGTTTACATAAACAGAATGAATCAAGTTATGTTAAAGATGAAGAGCAGACATGTAGGTGGGACCATAACAAAAAAGAAAAAGAGTATGTGATTGATTGCCTCTGTCTTTCTCTTATAACATTGGATGTCTGAATTCTTTTGTTCCAATTTGGGGATTCGAGAAAAGCTAAAGAGAATGCTACTAAAGTAAAAGGAACAAAAGGGATTGTCTTTAACATCACAGTTGCTTTATTTTTGCAGATGTGGTGTTGGAGGTGATTAAAGACATGCCGGCATGGCCCGGCCGGCACTTGCTCGAGGGCGGGGAGAACAGGAGATACTTCGGATTAAAGACGGAGATGCGCGGTGTGGTCGAGTTCGAGTGCAAGAGTAGGAGGGAGTACGATATATGGACCCAGGGTGTGTCAAGGCTGCTTTCCATTGCTGCCGAGAAGAACAATAGGAATAGGGTTTGAGAAAATTTGACAAAAATTAAAGACGGATATACATATTTGGTGGAGTTTTAGGCATTTTAGGGTCTCAAATTAGATATTTGGGTGTTTAAATATTGTAAAAAAAATGCAAATTAAAGAAAAATGTTTATGGTGATGAAAATTTGACCTTTTTCTCCCTTTTTGAATTAAAATATAAAGTTATTTTGAACCGGCATATCTTAAAATTTTGAGAATAAGTTATATTAAAAGAGTATTACTACAATAAAAAACTTTAGAATATCAGGTTCAAATTAATTCCTTAAATTATATCGATAATTGTACTAGAAAAACATGAGGATCCCATTTTGCTTTATATGTATATATATATATATATATTCATGTGAACTAAAGCTTCAGTTTGTCTTTTGATTTTAAAATTACAACTTTGGCTCTTGGATCTAGGTCTTGTAAATGGTGGGACTATGATTGTAACATCATTCTTTTCATTTTAATATGTATTATTATGCTGTGGGTCGGACCAAGTGGATCAAAGGACTTTAGTGGGAATATTTTTATTATTATGTACAAGGTATTTTAGAATATTATATGATTCGTTTATATTAAAAGATGGAGAGGACAAAACCTAGATTCTAATTGTTTGGAATTATAAGAATATCTTAGAAACTGTTCCAAATGATGCATTTAGATTCTAAAATTGGATGGATCAACAATGAGATGCATTTATGCTACATATACATTATTCTATTTGAATTGTATTTGATTTTGCAATTGTTTACTTCGCTAAAGACAACTTGTTATTTTTGGATTTATGCTACAGACACACATGTACATAACTCTCTAGTTAATTATTGTTTGAGTTTAATTCATTGTTGAATAATTATATAATTTTGTATTTGGACTGGTTCATCGTACTATACACTCCTTATTACAATTAAAAATTATAAAAAAAATGTCTAACCTTAATAATATTTTTTAGAGGTGAATAAGACTTGAGTCGGTTAACAAGTTAAGAAGAAAAAAATCAAATTTTGAATTAATATAATTGAGTTATTCAAATCAATTCTTTTATTTAAAAACTATTCAATAACAGTTGGATACTTGTCATATATTCATGAAAAATAATAACATCATCCTTACTTTAAAAATGTACATAGAATCAATTACTCTGTTTTTTTTCCAAAGAGATCAATTTGCTTTATTTTAAAGACTGACAGATACTTAAAGTAGGTTTAAATTAAAAATTTTAAGACAACTAACTGTAATTTTAAAATATTGAATCAAAATATTTAATTTTCAGATATACAATGACTAAAATATGTAGTTCTATAGTAGAGGAATTAAAATAAATTTTTATGCCATTCGATCATTTCTTGGATGACCATTTTAAATAGGCTTACTACAAGGGATAGATTGATCTCGTTTGGACTGGTTATGGATGCCAATTGTGTTCTCTGTGGGAGTGGTATGGAGTCAAGGGACCATATCTTCTTTGACTGGCCTTTCTCAAAAGTTGTGTGGACTGGTGTGTTGTAAGTTTATCATTTGCAGAGTGGCGAGGGACTGGAATTGCGAACTCAGGTGGGGTAGGTATTTGCTTATGATCGTGTAGATGGAGAGAAATCTTTACATTTTTCAATATATTTATATATAGATTAATGATATTGTTCAATATATTAAAGGGGCAGTTTAGTGTAAATTGATAGGGATGCTCATAGATAGAGAGAAACCTGTTAACGAGTTTCTTTATAATAAGCTAAATCTTGTATAGGGAGTTTGTTTGCTTTTGCTTTTACCGGTTGGGAGAGGTTCGTTGTTTGTGATTTGTTTTGTTTTTAGGATAAATAAAGCACATTTATCAAAATAAATAAATTGGTATGTACGATAAAGAGACTAAAATGAATCTTATACAAGCCCAACTAAACCCGATTAGGAAACCTAATAATGCCCTATTAATCCAACCCAGACTGATACCGAACCCTATTTTTAACCCAAATTCTGAAAATCACTAAAAAGAGAATCCCAAATTCATTTGTGCAACCGTCGCTGCTCCGGCCTCCGATACTCCAGCTGACCTAGCCGCTCCTCCTCCTACTCCGCCGCCTCTACCGACGGTGTCTTCATTTGTGCAACGTTCGTTGCTACTTTCTTCGCCGCCTCCCTTCTGGCTTAAGAACGTGAGTTCTATATCTTTTTTTGGGGCTATTCACTGGCTTTTATAATGATTCGAGAGGACCTTGTTTTCTTGCTCTCTTTGTTCATTCGAATCAATTTTTATTTGTTTTCTTCCCAATTGAAATTATTGAACGCATAATTTTACCTGTTTTCAATTGTTGTGTATTTTGTCCCCTGTTTTAACATTTGCAGGAACTAGCCTTCTAGTTGACACTTGACACTGCTTGTTCTTGTGTATTGCCATTATAATTTATCATCTGCCCTCACCCTTAAGAATGAAGATGTATGCCGCATCCCTTCTTTAGCTTTACTTTGTAACTTTAAAGTTTATTTCTTATCATTATTCTGTAATAAGGTTGAGTCTTCTGCAGAAAAGAAGCTAATGCCGGTGCACTTACCAATTTTGAAGTACTTGACTTTCTTCGATCTCGAGGGGCGTCAAAGGATCCGACAAGAGTTATTGTCTCAATAGCACCATCAGAGTTTAAGGTTGTATTTTTATGTTGATTTGCTTTCCCATTTAGACTCTATTGGTATTAGAAATGAGAAACGGTATCTTTCGTCTGAGTTTTCTTATTGTATGCTAGGTTTATGATTATTTACTGGAGAGCCCCGTTTGCAATCAAACAAAAGAACAAGTCAACGAGTTCTTGACAAGGTGTAAAAGTTATAAACTTGCAAAAGCTGAGGTGCTCAATATCATCAATCTGAGACCATCTGCATTAGTTGAAATTGACCCGGTAAAACTTTTATTTAACATGTTTGTGTGTTCTAGTGATATATTGCTTTGAGAACTTCTAGTGATGTGTTGCTTGAGAACCAGTATCTTATTCATGCCATCCATTGCGGAATCTTGTTTTTATAGCGAGGTTGCATTTACTAGGATATATGATTTTTATGCCAATGGTGAACAGCATGACATCTTGTGGAATTTCTTTTGTGCTTATATCGATTTCTTCATGTCAAATAGTATGTTGAATGTCAAATAGGTTTAGAGTGACATTATTACAGCTACATTGATTTGTCAAAGAACCGTCTTCTTTGAATCCAGGGTAGCCACTTGTAGAGATGGTCTCAAGTAGGTTTAGAGTTCAAATTCCAACATCTGCAATCTTTTGCCCTTCTTGGTAGTTACTTTACTTAATTTTGCCTTTTCTCTTCCCAGATAATAGAGGAATCTGAGAAGCGATTTGGGGAAAAACTAGAAGAGCTGGTTAGTTTGGTGGTAGAGGTATTGCCGGAGCCTCCTAAACAAAATGTCCCTGAAGAAGAAAACAACGAGGCTAAAGAAGACACCGTGGATGAAAAAGGCACGGACGAGGATAAAACGGAAACCACAAACCTTGAACAGATGGACGAGGATCAAACTGAACAAAATGAAGATGGTAATCGAATGGAGGTTAGTTAAATGCCCTCTATGGCCTGTTAATTCCAGTGCCAATGGTGCTCCTGGTTTGCTCATCTTATGAACTGAAGTTCATACATTTGGAAACCTCTGTAGCCTTGCTGGAATCATCCCAGGATGATGTAAAATTAAATTCTATTACTATATGATGCATTTATCTATATGGTGCAAGGTTTTTTGGGACATTTTTAGTTTGGGGTTTATGTATTAGGGTTTAAGACAATTATTTCAACTATTAATGAAGGGTAAGGAGATGCATTGTTTTTCATTGATATGTAGCATTAAAGACATTTTTATTTTTAATAATAGTCGTCTGCTTATTTAAGTGGTTGCTAATCAGGTTTGAGTAATCTTATATTTCCTATGTCATATAAGATTCCACGCACACAAATATTGATATATTTGAGATATTTTCTTTACATTTTTTTACAATCTATTTTTTTTTAATTTAGTAATTTTACATCCTTAAATATCTAATATAAGTTTTTACGTTTGTATTCTTAACATAAAATTCTACATCGTATCTATTAACAAGCAATCCCAAGCCATCGCCACCATTGCCAGCACCACTTCCGTTTGAAACCAAAGACACCAAAAGAAATTACCGCTCCTCTTGTGGTTCCAACACCCCTTCAAATAATAATAATAATAAAAACGGATTGTTTATATAAATATCAAATGAGGACTGTATGTGTTATTTCATATATGAAAAGCCATCAACAATTCAACTATGACCATTATTTCCATTGTTGATCAAGGAATCTTTTATTGGGCGTGGAGGTGTTAACTGGAATACATTTTTAATTTCCATAAGGACTTTTTTACCCTTCAATTTTATCATTTTAGTTACTTTGATGATTATAAGTAATATTTGTTCTAAAGATTTTCAACCATTTGATAAAGAAAGTTTAAACACTTTTGTTGTCTATGGTACTCGAACCTAAGACCTTTAGAGATCACAATCATCTATTTTAACATTGAGATAATTTGGTTCGTGCGATTCTTTAAATTCTTTTGATAATGTGACATAGAGGGATAAAATAGTTGATATCCGTTTAAAAATATTATTGTAATTTGATAAGAAAATGAAAGTTTTGAGATTAAAAAAAATATCTCATTAGTTAAAGGGATGATTGTTATCCCTAGAGGTTTCAGGTTCGAGTACAAAGACTGCAAGAGTGATTAAACTTATATTATCAAATGGTTGAGAATCTTTAAATAAATATTACATTATAATCACTTTATAATAATAATAATAATAATAATAATAATAAAACTACATAAAAGTTCAAAGGTCAAAATGATTAAATTATTAAAGAGAAGGTTAAAAAGGTCATTATACCCTTTAATTTCAATATAATTTTTTATAAACATGGGGAATATAAGATAATAACTATTAAAAAAACCTCAATCATTTAACAATAAAAACTCTCATGTATACACGGTATTCAAATTTAGAACTTAAAAAAATAACAACAAATCTATGAGTAGTTGAATTTACTTAGTTAAAATTCAAACTTATTTTGCCTCAAAGTCCAAGATGACCATAGATAAATTCACATATTTTATTTTTATAGGAGTATGTCATTTTTTTAATAATGTTTATTTAAATATTTTTATTTGATATTGAAGGTTGATACCTTTCGTGCGTAGTTTTCAAATTCAAAACATAATAATAATAATAATTTTATGAACACTCAAATCGTTTGGTTGATGTATAAACCACCTAAAATAGATCATCATATCACCTAAGTAAACAAATATAAAATTAATTATAATATTATTTATATTTCGGATAAAATTAATGGTAATGCCATAAAGTCCTCTCTGCATCTCCTTCCGGCTCTTAAGGATTCAATTCATCTGGTCAATATTTTAGGTGGCTTTTGGTTCGCTAAAATGTTTATGTGGGAATTGAAATCTGTAAAGGAATTGAAATCTATCATGAATTGGAATCCAATTTCATATTCTGTTTGGTTGGTAGAAAATGGAATTAGAATCTAATTTCATATTATGTTTGGTTCGCAGACATGTCAGATGAATTTGATTTCAATAATATAAAATGACAGAATTATCCTTCTTATTATTTTATTTTATTTTAGTTTGTTTTATAATTTACATGTAGTAATATATTATAAAAATTAAAAAATATTAAATTTTTATTTTATTGATTGATTATTCATTTCAATAAATTATAAAAATCATGCTAATAAACATCATAAGTTAAAATCATCGCAATCAAAATATGTTAATAACTTACCAAAAGATAGAGCAATATTTCGATATATTTCAATCGGAGTATGTTAATTAGTTACCAAAAAATATACCAAAAACTATTTTTATTCAATATATGAATTAGAAACCCGACCCGACCCGACACAAAATAATAAAAAAAATATTTTTATTCAATAAAAACATTGACTTAATTTAAAAAAAATTATATATAGAGGGGTATTATTGTAATTATTCCTAAATATATAAGGTAAAATTATATATTTTTTTTGGGTCAGTCCAGTTTTTTTACCCTAAACCCGAACCCGACCCGACCCGAATATCACACTTAAAAAACCCCGACCCGAATATCACATTTAAAAAACCCAACTCGAACCGAAAAAATAAAGTTTCACCCGACCCGACCCGAATATATGAATTAGAAATTCGACCCGATATAATAAAAAATTATTTGTATTCAATAAAAATAGTGACTTAATTGAAAATAATATATAGAGGGGTGTTATTATAATTATTCCTAAATATATAAGGTAAAATTATATATATTTTCGGGTCTGATATTTTTCACCCTAAACCCGAACTTGACCCGACCCGAATTTCAAACTTAAAAAACCGACCCGATCCGACCAATATAAAATTTCACCAGACCCGACTCGAATATATAAATTAAAAACTCGACCCGAAATAATAAAAAAATATTTTTATTCAATATATGAATAAATTACCAAAAGATTGATGAGGATAGTATAATCAAATTTCAATTCCCTCCAACAAGGGAATTGAATTCCATCCATTCTTAAATAGAATTCATTTTCTCTCGTTTGATGAAAAGTTGAAGTTACGAGATATTTTAATTCCCCCAATTCTAAAGATTCTATCTAACCAAATATCACCTTAGACTTTTCCACGCTTGCACGAGTAAACAAATAAATATAAAGGGTGTATCGGTCTTTTTATTTTAGCAGCGAATTCCTAAACCTCCGTCCTCAAATTCTCCACCTTGTAGCGTTGCCTCGAAGCGATTTTTTCGTAGAAGAAAGGGGAAAACATTTTTGTTTTTCTTTGACGAAAAAGAAAATCTGAATATGGGTGCTTTGGACAAGGTAAGCTGTTTGTTTCATTGGAATTTTTTTTATCGCATCATTATTTCTTTTACGAAGATTTTTTTTCGATGACAGTTCTTGTTTATGTCAAATGTTCGCGATTTCGGGTTTTAGTTTTCCTTGTTGATAAGCTGCTGAATTTTTGGGGATTTATTTTGAAGCAAAGGGTTTTTTAAATTTAAAATTATATCCATGGAATTGGAAATCTACTACCTTTGTTTCAACTATTGGCCTGGCTTGGTAAAGGTGCTTGCTGTACTGGGTACCTTTATGTTGATTTGCGCTCCTTTTGGTTGTTAATTATACTTTGGATCTTATATTTACATGTGTTCTTTTGATATTGATGTATGTTGTTATGTTGCTCGAATCTTGTGCTTTAAGGATTAGAAGTCAAAATTCCAAACCTTTTGTGGTAATTTTTGAAGAATCACTCCTCAATTGATGGATATGCTTGTTGTCTTGTGTTTAATTATTGTTTGGTTGTTTATGATGTGGCATTGTGAGGAGTAAATTGGTTCATAAAATAGTTAATGTTGATTTTTGGGTTCTCTTTTGTTCGATATGTTATGAACGTTCAAAGAATATTGATTTTGATCGTATATTTGTGTTACGTAGAGGGAGGAAGTGATTCAAGCATGGTACATGGATGATAGTGATGAAGACCAGAGGCTTCCCCATCTCCGCGAGCCTAAGGAATTTGTATCCTTGGATAAACTTGCCGGTAAGCATCTTGGATAGGAAGCAATTGTTATTTGATTATCGAAAGATTTTTGGCATAATACTCATTGCGCTAGTCATGTTTACCCTACAGAACTTGGAGTACTCAGTTGGCGATTGGATGCTGATAACTACGAAAATGATGAAGAGTTGAAGAAAATCCGTGAAGAACGCGGTTACTCCTACATGGTGTGTACCTTGTTTGATTTCCTTTTAAAAATTTGCCCTTTAGATTTTGATGCAAACAAATGAATCATTCTTTCCTCTAATTCTTACCATGTGTCGGTTTCGTGGTTTTTGCTTAAAGCTTCTTATTGTTAACTTCTTCCTCTTGATAGCCTATAATTGGACTGTGCAACACCCTTCCATTGACAAGATACTCTATTTGTTTAGGACTTTTGCGAGGTTTGCCCAGAGAAGCTGCCTAACTATGAAGAGAAGATCAAAAACTTCTTTGAAGAACATCTTCATACCGATGAGGAGATCCGTTACTGTGTGGCAGGAAGTGGTAAGAATGATCGTATTCTGACTAATTTCTTTACTGATTATCAATTTTTATTGCATTATTTCTACATCTCTTATAAATTATTTCTTCGTGAAGGCTATTTTGATGTCAGGGATCACAACGATAAATGGATTCGTGTGTGGGTGAAGAAAGGAGGCATGATAGTTTTACCTGCTGGGATTTATCATCGCTTTACTCTGGATACAGACAACTATATTAAGGTACTAAGGAACCGACCACCTTCATCTTATTCTTCCAAAAAGTGCTTCTTTTAATAAATGAGCGTGAAAGTTCGATAATGTTTGAAAAGAATGTCTCTGCTTATCCTACCACTTCCACAAATTTTATCGGCGCAGGCAATGCGTCTCTTTGTTGGTGATCCAGTTTGGACTCCATTCAATCGTCCACATGATCAACTTCCTGCAAGGTATGTTTCTTCCTCCGAATGTGGTGAAAATCTTGATTTTCTCTTCAAGTTTTCCGGAGGGGATCAATCATAATCAACATTTTTATTTCCGTTGCAGGAAGGAGTACATTCAGAACTTTTTGGAGAAGGAAGGTGGTGGCCAAACTGTCGATACTGCAGCATGAAATCGGCAGCAATCATCTCTCCGGCATAATGTCTTATAGGACCCCTAGTATAAATATGCAGTAATAAATGAGCCAAGTATTGTCTGCATGTTTTGTGTGGATGTATTGCTTGTTAAGGTGGTTGCATGCTTATGTATTGGTATTCCATACCTAGTACTCGCGAAACTTACCGAGGATTTCTATGTGTTATTTGGTTTGTACTTTGTACCAGATAAGTTCTTTAATAATAAAGTTTACGTCATATACATTGCTTGCTTGTGTTTCTGTTACTGCTTCAAAATGTTTTTGCCGGGGATTTTGCATTTTTTATCTTCCTCTCCCCAAGAATGAAAACCGATTCGGACGTTAAACTGGTTAGTCGTTTGATTCTCTGTTTCTCGGTTGAACTGATCCTTTTCAAGTCAAGTCGTGAAACCAGTAACATGCCAAGTTATCTTACAGATGATCTTGTTTTTTACTTCTATAAATTAAGCTCTAGCCCCTTTCTTATTTAAATGCTTCTTTGGTCCTAATAATTTTGAAATTAGACAAATCGGACCTCTGTTAATGTTTATAGAGACCCTTTTGCTCCCTTATTTCTGTTTATTTTCCTTCGTGCATTTCACTTTAATGGGGTATTAGCAAATTTCCAGGTATATTCAGATAAGATGCCCATTGCCCTTTTGCCACTGACTTCATCAACAGGCACAGCATCACAAATTACCTTCAAATCCTCTTCACCAAGCTTCAATCCCAAGGATCCAACATTGTTGATAACATTCTTCACCTTAGTTGTCCCTTGATTCGATTCAAAATAATGAGGGTTAGGAATCAAATTCATATGACCATAGGGGTGTAAATGTGATAAGTTTGTCCGACTTTCATCAAGTTGAGCTCAAAATATAATATTTGACTAAAGCTTGAGTCGAGCTTGGACTCGACTAAGCTCAATTAGACAAAGCAAACATACCAGGGATGGGGGCAATATCATCTCCCTGGTGTAGAAGCCATGCCAAAGCAAGTTGAGGAAGCCAGATCCGAAACTCGGCTATATAATAGTTTGTTCTTCTCTAGATTCTCTCCATTGAACCTTGGATAGTTTGCCTGTTCAAGGAAATAATCCGTTTTTATAATTGGACATTCTATATGTATTGTCCGGATTTGGCCTGACAAGACTGTATCGTGATTATGTTCACTATATGCCACTGGGCATGGTTTCCATAACCGCCTTGCCTCCAAAAAAGCTTCTACCGAGAGGACTATATGCCACTATCCCAATTCCAAGTTCTCTTTAGGAAATCATTAAAGAAATGATTCAAAGCAAGAACTTTGATTTTGTAAACTTGAAAGACAAAAATGTGAGCTGTACCGGCAAAGTGGGAGTATTTCATCTTCGATTTCACGAGTCCAGAGAGAATACTCCATTTGTAAGGCAGTGATGGGATGAACGTTGTGTGCTCTCTTTATTGTATCAATGCTAGGCTCTGATAATCCAATGTATTTTATCTTTCCTTCTTCCACCAGCTTCTTCAGCTCTCCCATCTTTACAAGAAGCAAAGTTAATTAATTAGTTTTGAGTCGGATTAATTTAAAACAATTTAAAACAGGTCAATTCGATCACCGACTGATTAACCGAAAAGTTTATTTTAAAAGAATAAGATTTTTTTATACTTAACTGTTTCTTCTATGGGCACTGAAGTATCCACACGATGTTGAAAGTAAAGATCGATGTAATCCACATCAAGCCTCTCAAGACTTGCTTCACAGCAAGCTTGAACATGCAGAGGGATGCCCTTGACCTCGATTAGAGGACTCCCGTTTGATTCCGAATACACGAATCCGAATTTCGTTGCCACTTGAATTTTGTCTCGAGGAAGTTGTTTTAGTGACCAACGGTTGTGAAGAAAATGGATTAGTTGGTGAAACCGAGGATTTAAGAGTGTTGCTTGGGATATAAGAAACATGTATTAAAATAATATTGCCTTGCCGAGCATGATCTCGTTATCGTGTTTGTCGCCATAAATGTCAGCTGTGTTGAAGAAGGTGATTCCCCTATTGAAAGCTTCTCTTATGATTGCACATCCATCTTCATGGGATAGGGGAGCATTGTATACCCCGGAAAGTCCTATGCATCCGAATCCTAATCTCGAAACCTACAACAAAACATGAAACTAAAAACTTGAATTGCTTGAACCCAGAATGTCACAAACCCAAGCTCCAAATGACATGAACATAATCGATTGATCCGATCTAAAAACTAACCCGACTTATCCAATTGAGACCTCCAATCCTTGACTGCCTAATTTCACTCTTGAATGTTGAATTTGGGGCTCCTTCTCCATTGCAAAGAAACTAGAACTTGATTGAAGTATTAAGATGCTGGCTAGTGGCTGGCTATTCTAGTATTGTTGGATTATAATCATATGAAAGGTTCTATTTTAAATACAAGAGGTTTCTTGTATGAAACGTCAACTTTTTTGTTTCCATTTTCATATTGATGAGGGGTAGATACTTTAGTTTGTTTCCATTTGAAATCGTATGTGAAGTTATTTTCTATATATATTGTGTCACGATTCGGACTGGCTCATCGGATTATGCTCTCACGGCATGGTCCGATGAGTCGGGACAGGTCATGGCGTATTCACTACAAAAAGGCTGAGAATTAGTTGGTTCCACAACTACCTTTCGTCCAAAAAGTAGAGATCAATGTAGTCCACATGAAGCCTCTTTAACACTTGCTTAGCAGCAAGCTCGAATATGCTCGGCGATTCTCCCTCAATTTCGAATGCTCAACGTCCCTCGGATTTTTATTTGATAACACCGAACTTGGCTGCTAGTTGAATTTTGTGTATAGGAAGCTGCTTCAGTGCCTATCAGTGCAAAGAAAATGAATTTCCCATGAAACACAGAATCTTGAAATATTGCATGGGATGCAAAAAAACATGCATCTGTTGGGGGTTGTTACGAAATAATTGTATAAACACGATAATTTCAAAATTTGTAATTATTTATTGAACTTTTTCAATTTCAACCACTCACTCTGTTTTATGTTTAGATTCATGATTATCCTTTTTTTTAAATAACATCCTCCTAAAACATAAATTATAATATGCCTTTTTCATTTCATCCGACACATATTGATAATCAATAATAACACTCAGAGATGGACTGAACGAGTACTTGGAGGACGATCACATCCCCAAAAAAAAATTAAAGTCCTGTATAACTAGATATCTTTTATTAATGATATAATTTCATAACTTGAAATTTTATAATTTGACACCCATTGAATCTTTAATATAGTTTCCTAAAAATTTACACTCTTGGTATAAAATCACATGTTCATTTCTTTATCATATCCATAAATATTTTAAAAAAATAAAACTGATATGACCCATAAATATATGTATTAACTATGTAAGATTTAAAAATAAAATTGAATTTAACAATGTCAAAGATCTGAAATTTTATGATTCGATACAATAGAAAAGGTAAAAAATAAAATAAAATAGTGTGTTGTTAAACATTTATATTAAAATATGATGTTGGATAATTTTATGGGTTTACATTAATTATTTTAGTAAATATATTGAATCGATTGGAGAGAAAATTGAATATACGAATAAGTTCAATTACTTTTAAAATCATAAAAGTGCACAAATTAAGTACTTAAGAATAAAAAAAAAACTATAAGAGGGATTATAATTCAATCAAATAACTCGAATCGGCGATAGATACAAACAAACACCATTATTTGTAATGAAAGATAAATATCATTATCATTAAATAAAATTATATATAACAATGATGATCTAGTTCCGATGATTATTATTGCTTATCGATATTTAATCTGATGGTCTAAAATAAAAATAGATCACGAGAATCAAATAAACCATATCCAAAAAATGACATCAAATCCAATTAATATAAAATTAATCATCATATATTTTCATATGGAAGTGATAAAGATTAATTCAAAAAACAACAGAAGTTAAATTATAGGAAAGTGGAGGTGAGAGAGAAATAAAAACCATCTAAATTGATACTATATTGTTTTTTTTGTTGATGACGATATAAATTTTAATGTAGATTGATTATTGTTTGTAATTATTAGTTCTTTTGTTTTTTCACACTTGTTCTTTGTTTTATTTTTCTTTTTTCTCCCTTAATTTTGAATAAGAATTTGTCAGTATGACATATTTTTCTATGCTCTTATGGCATGATTTTTATGACTTTTGGTATATTTTTTTTTGCATATATTAGTGGTTGTTTTAGTGTTCTCACAAATACTCTCACGATATTTATTTTCTGATTAGTTTTTCAGTGGTCAAATAAAGTCATATATCATTTTTGGTAAAAGGTTTATGTCGATATAATCAAAATTGTGTAGTGAAACAGTATGTTAGATAGTTTGGTTCGCTCACCACTCTTTTATTCTTTTGTGAAGTGTTTATCTAGACAGATACAAGAAATATTTCACTTTTTCCGTATCTTTAGATTTAATATTTTTATTTTTATATTATTAATTTTTTGGTGTTATTGTCTTCATTTTCTCTTTATATTTGGATATATTATAATTCTTATTCTACATATTATTCTTATTAATGAAATCTAATTATCAGTGTTAAAAAATGATGCTATATTAATAGTAAAAAATAAAAGTGGAAAAGATTAATTTTAATTAAAATTCTACACAGGAAAACGACAATAAGAAGAGGCAAATATCGAATCAAACAAAGATATTGAATGTGGCCGTAAAAGGGGAAAAGTTCAATACGGCTAAAATGTTCCATCAGCACTTGACATTTACAAATGTCAATATTTTTTTGGGGGGGGGGGGGGGAGGTGGCGGTCTGCTATCTTTGAATTCAAATCAACAAGTTTCCTCGAAAAACAAGGCAATCCTAATTCTTAAAAAAAAAAAAAAAGTAGTCATTTTAAAATATAAAAATTTCAACTTTTTGAATAAAATAACAATTAATTTTAAAAAAATTATTTACGAAAAAAGATACACAACTATACTTGGAATATGATATTAAATTCAATATTTTTTTATTAATATATATATATATGTATGATTTTGTCTTTTCTGTAAAAGTAGTTAAAATAAACTCTCAGTTTTTATGTATCTATTTACCAGTTTGAATATAAATTAATATATAAGAATATTTTATGTTATTTAAGTCTTGTTATACCCATTAAAGATCTTCTATATATATTATTGTTGTGACTCATAGTCACCCCGGAAGATCTTAAAACATTTTTAACTCTTCAACGTAAAAGAACCTTAAAATATGTAAAGTGCGTATCTTTGAATGAACGACATAAATATCTATTATTTCTTAAAAAGTCATGATTTATTGATATAATTTATTCTATACTTACATAATCTGTTAGAACTGAATACATAACTAACTGATCAAATCTATTTAGCCAATCAATCTACATAAAACTATCATATTCCTACAACGGACCAACTCTAAACTTATAATAAATCTTTAGACCGAGACCAAGAAAGGGATGCAACCCCAATGAAGTTACCTTACTTTTATATTTTTCCGCTTTACTTTTTTTTTTTATAAAAATAGAGTATTTCAACATCAATCAAAGGTAGATCTCTCGTTAGCTATAATTCTACGTTAAAAATCAAAAGAATAAACTATCAACATTTGTCACAATCTGATTATTTCATCAACAAATCTCTAAAATTATAATAACATAAAACATATAAAAAGAAATGAATTGTTTCTATAAATCTATGCCTAAAATGTTATATGAATGAGATGCATGTTTTGAATAATCTATTCTTAAATCAGAATAATCCGTACCAATTAATAGAGATTCGCTGTATCCAAGTAAGTAAATTAAAGCTTTGATAAGATAAGCAATGACGGATTGCATGAATGAGTGGCCAAATTTGACCTAAAACATTACCCAAAAAAACATAAAGGAATTAATGCAAGAAAAAATGTCCAGGTTCATCCTCCCTAACACAAGCTTATAAAATCCAGCATCTGCCTTTGTCTTTCTCTCGTAGTTCATCAACTGAATCAAATTTGAGCTGAGCTTCCTCCATTCAAGTTTTATTATTTTTTCATTTTTTTATCAAAGCTTCCAACACCCTTAATCTCCAATGGCTTCCACAATTTTCACCCAAATTCCGTTTCAATCCAAGTCATTGAACAAATCCTCGATTACCCATTTTGTTCCTTCCTTCAAACTCCCCGTTTCCCTCTCTTTCAAGCCCCGGACCGCCCTCCCCAAGCGCTTTCGCATCCGAGCCGGTTTGATCGAGCCCGACGGCGGGAAACTGGTGGACCTCCGCGTGGTGGAGCCGGAGCGGGAATTGAAGAAGAGGGAGGCGGCTTTGTTGCCCAGGGTGAAGCTGACCAAGATCGACTTGCAATGGGTTCACGTTTTGAGTGAAGGATGGGCTAGTCCGTTAACTGGGTTCATGAGGGAACCCGAGTTCCTCCAAACTCTTCATTTCAACTCGCTCCGGCTCGACGACGGCTCGTTCGTCAACATGTCTGTCCCGATTGTCTTGGCTATCGATGATTCCCAAAAGGAGAGCATCGGTGAGTCAAACAGTGTCGCACTCGTTGACTCGGATGATAAACTCATCGCCATACTCACTGAGTAAGTTCATAAACTCGTAATAAATTCATTATAGTAGACAGCGGCGAACCTATAGGACTTAGGGGTGGGTTATTCAAATGGTCAAATTTTTATTTTGGTGCTTGTACAGTTTTTATAATTCAGTCTAGGTATTTTTAATTGAAAAATTACTCCTTGACCCCCTGAGAATTTAAATTTCAATAGGTCCATATTACTATTTATATGAAAACATAATTGATGAGTATTCTGTTTTGATTCGTTTAGTAGGGTACGAAATACATGTAAAACATTTGTTGCTTATGCTTAATTACTGGATTTGTTTCAGCATTGAGATTTACAAGCACCCAAAGGAAGAAAGGATAGCAAGGACATGGGGAACTATTGCCCCTGGATTACCATATGTTGAAGAAACAGTAACAAATGCTGGGAATTGGCTAATTGGAGGCGATTTGGAGGTTATAGAGCCGATCAAGTACAATGACGGTCTCGATCGTTTCCGGTTGTCACCGATCGAACTACGTCAAGAGTTCGAAAGGCGCAATGCTGATGCTGTCTTTGCTTTTCAGCTCAGGAATCCTGTTCATAATGGTCATGCTTTACTAATGACAGATACTCGTCGACGACTTCTTGAGATGGGCTACAAGAATCCCATTCTTTTGCTGCATCCATTGGGAGGGTATACGAAGGCGGACGATGTTCCTCTCAGTTGGCGAATGAAACAGCACGAGAAGGTAACTTGAAAGTCAAGCAACCTAAATTTCTCATTGTCTCTTATGATACCTTCATATTTTTGGCTGATTGCTGATAACAATGTTAATTCAGGTTCTTGAGGATGGTGTTCTTGATCCCGAGACAACCGTGGTCTCTATATTCCCATCTCCAATGCACTATGCTGGCCCGACTGAAGTACAATGGCATGCTAAGGCTCGGATTAATGCCGGAGCCAACTTTTACATTGTTGGTAGAGATCCGGCTGGCATGGGCCATCCTGTTGAGAAGAGAGATTTATACGACGCTGATCACGGGAAAAAGGTCTTGAGCATGGCTCCCGGACTTGAACGACTTAACATCCTTCCTTTCAGGGTATTTAACAAGCATTCAATGATACTACTTCTGCGATGAGATTTGAAAACCCTTTCAATGATAATAATGCGGTTTGGTTGCAGGTTGCTGCATATGACAAGACACAAGGTAAAATGGCGTTCTTTGATCCCTCGAGAGCACAAGACTTCCTCTTCATATCCGGCACCAAGGTAACTTCCTTGTCATGATTACTATCAGCTAGAATTTTAACATCGCTGTTATCGAACCAAACTTAATCCGAAAAAGGGGTGCTTCTGGTTTTTATAGATGCGGACTTTGGCAAAGAACAAAGAGAACCCTCCAGCAGGGTTTATGTGCCCTGGTGGCTGGCAAGTGTTGGTTGACTACTACGATAGCTTAACCCCGTCGGACAATGGCAGAATTCCAGAACCTGTTCCTGCTTAGACGAAATCTTAAACACTATAAACATCCCCATAATCTGGACTTTATAGAGTGTTTCAGTTTAGATTTCTTCAGTAAAACAATGCGACGCATTGTTTCGGATGTCCATTAAGGCATCCTGAATTGTCCATTGGGGCCCTTAGCCATTGAACATGAGGGCAAATTGTACTATACATCACATTGTCTTCTTATGGAGAAACATGGGTTGTCGAAAATGTTTGATGCATAATCCTCTTGTAATTTACTTTCGATTATAGTGAAAATTTTCCTTTTTTGTCTATGATTTTTTCCGTTTAGTTTTTTTTTAACGTAAATATGTGTATTTTTGTCTTTTTTTCTTCTTCTTAGTTGCCATCGAGTCTTATATATAGATTCTTGTACAGCCATGTAGGATCATACCGTATCCTCAAATCCATATCTAAATATGTTTAAAGAGTGGGAATAGTATAGATACGAACATGCCATCTAGACACATCTAGTGTTTATCTGCACAACATTCAGCAATGAGTGCCTAGAAAAAAGGTTTAGATTAACCTAATGTTTCCTCAGACATTGCCTAGAATTTGGAATAATCCCATGTAAGAATAATCTAACAACAACATAGTTTTATGTAAAAGAATTTCGAGTTGCCGACGATGAACATTAGTTTGGTTCCTATCAAGTCGCTCAATGTTCAACTGCTGTGAACACCCTGGCAGGTCTCAAAGACATCACAAATCCCTACTAAATTATTGTTATTTACAAATTGATCCTTAAATTTTTTTTAAAAAATCTCAAATTGATATGTGTTAATGTGTCATTTTTTGACACAGTACTATACATCAAGCAATATATGATTTTTAAAAGTTTTCTTAAATTCATATACCAATTTGAGGAAAAATATAAATTTTAGGTTCTGCTTTTGGTAATAAACCCAAACTAAAATTTCAACTAGAATATGTGAATAAAATTGGGAAATATATTTGAACTTTTAAGTTAAAAAGGTCTAATTTATATTTTGGCCATTAAAGAACAACAAATTAGAGAAATTACTTATTAGGAGAGAGAAACAAAAAAAGGAATTTTGAATACAAATTAAAAATAATAAAAATATTTGTTGATCAATCAAATGGTTGATGGAAAAACTACTAGATTTTTTCTTCTCCTCATCCAACGGTCGTCATCATTTTGACAAACTCATCATAGTTGACCTGACCATCACCGTCCAGATCTGCTTCTTTGATCATCTGCTCAACTTCCTCATCCGTTAACTTCTCACCGAGGTTGATCATCACATGCCTCAGCTACACACAATCAAATCATATAAAAATAATTATAAATTAATTATACAATTAAATCCAATAATAATAATAAAATCCAAAAACCCAACTTCAATGTCTTGTAAAAAACATGTCTAACATTCATTGCATGCAAAAGAACATTACAGCCTATCATATACATTGATGTCCACATAAAGGTTTAATCCCTTTATTAGTCTCAAATTTAAGATTTAGTCCCTAAACTTTCAAAATATGATTAGTTAATTCAAATAGTTAACGATGTCAATTATTTCAGTTAAGATGTCATCTTAATGATGAATTAAGAGAGATTTTTTTAAGGGGAAAAACCCTCGTCAACATTTTAATAGGATTAATCACCTATTTAGATAAACTTATGATATTATAAAAATAGAAGAATCAAATTATGAAAGATTAAACAATAGAGATTAAATTTTAAGTTTGAGTGTAATAGAGGGATCGAAATCAAAATTTAACCAAATAAGATTAACCTACCTCACTAGCTGATATATACCCATTTTGATCCTTGTCAAAAACCTTGAAAGCCTCCTTAAGTTCCTCCTCTGCATCAGTTTCCTGGAATTTAACAACCAACAATTTTAATATGTTTCTGGCTCATATATATATATATATATTCTCGAATCAAAAGATAATTAAATAATTCTAAACTTTAAAATCTAAACTTCGAATCAAATTGAGAGAGCTTTCAAGTCCGAGAAGGATACAACCTGAATCGACTTGACTCGAACCGATAATATATGTAGTAAGAATTTGGGTATTTGTATATTACCTTCATTTTCTTGGCCATCAAGTTCAAGAACTCTGCAAACTCAATAGTCCCATTTTCATCAGCATCAACTTCCCTTATCATGTCTTGGAGCTCTTCTTCAGTGGGATTTTGATCCAATGATCTAATCACTGTTGCCAGTTCTTCCACAGTAATGCAACCTAAAACCAACAGATACAATTAACATAAAGGATTCATTTTAATCAAAAATCATGAGGAACATATGTATACATATATATGTGTGTACCATCTCCATCTTTGTCAAAGAGGCAAAAGGCTTCTTTGAACTCAACAATCTGTTCTTCACTTAGTGTATTATCTCCCATCGTTATTCTGTTTGGTTGCCTAGAAAATGAGAAATCTCAAGAAAGTTTCAAGAGAGACAAAGAGATAGAGAAAGAGAGAGAGAAGAGTTTAGAGTATGTGTGTTTTGTTGAGTATAGCTCAAGCTTAGCTGGGTTTATGTAGCATTCCAATGCAAGTAAGTTTACCAGACTTTTCTAACCCTAATGAATTAAAAAATTAAATTCAAATCAATCGTATGTATGACTTAATCTAAGAGACAAATAATCGATTCCGATTCAATCTGATTTGATAAAATTTATATCTTTTATGAAATATGATTTAAGATTTATATTTTTATTTATGATATAACTTAAAGATCATGTTTTTATTATGATTACGAACATAAAAGATGTTATCGTAATAAATATCGAATATTTGAAATGTGTTAATCTCCCCCTATGTTTGTAAGGATTAAAATATTTAAAGACAGCTGTAAGGGTTTGAAGAAAATGAGACAAAACTACAAAAACCATTCAAAGCTATAAAGTTTTGAGGACTAATGTGAACACTCTGCATATTCCGTTGTCGTTTTTACGTAATTTTTTTATTTTCCTTTTTCAAACCCCATAAAGCACGCTGCATTGCTTGCACGACCCCGTCCATGCTCTGTTATTTCTGTTTACCTTTCGCACAATCTTTTGGTTAAATAAAACGTCAGATCAAATCGAATTAAAAAAATAAATTAATTTATTTAGAGGAAATATATGTTTACGTTACAACTAATATATGTTTAAAAGGCTTTTAATGATTTGGTAAATAGATATTTAAATATTCCTACAGACGATATTTCAAAATTAGGATATCTATGAATAAAACCTATCTCTATAACCACTGAGGTCATTTGATTCTTGTACGATTTGATTTATTTTTCAAACATATATAAGAAATTTAAAATTATTTTCTTTGAATGTGTACCATAAATGTGACTAGATGAATTTAAATTAATATTAAGTATATTATATGTTAAAAGTTAGCTTGTAATTTATTTATTTTTTCTTGTAAGAAAGGATTGTAGCTATTGTGATTTTTTCATTTTATAATTTAATTTAAATATGATATTTTTAAATATAGAAATATTTATAAAAAAAAAGTGGACCCGTGGTCAATAAATGAAGGAAACCCTACATGTGCATGGCTGTCAACGCGGTTTTATAAACTTCTTTCTAGGGTTAGAGTACGGTTGTACTCTTTGAAAAATGGGGGGAAATTAATAAAAAAAAGTTTGAGATATTATTAATTTATTTTCATAAAAGATTCATTTTACAAATCAGTACCTGAGTTTGTTATTTTTTTATTTTGTATTCGAATTTGAAAAAAAAAATCTTGTAAGTACTAACATGACATTTCAACAATCAATTGGATTACTATCATGATATTGGCTTATCACAACCTAGTTAATTCTTAAATACTAGGATAACAACAAATATCTATTCAAGAAAAAAATCAAATTTAAATAACGATATGATCCCCAAAAAAAGAGAGACTTAGGTACCATATAAAAAAAGTTTTAGAGTTTAGGTACTGATTTATATAATTAACATAATAAAAATACTGGAAAAAAAACTAAAATAGTTTACTTAGGCAAGGAGGACTGTACAGTCGACGTAGCCTTAACACGTAAGAAATAAGCAGAGGGGCAAAGTCATATGGTCGACAGTTTAGACTTTGATTTTCAACCTTCAAACCCCGTGCTATAAACGTTAGTTATAGGGTAAATAACATCTTTAGTCACCCCATTATTATAATTTTGTTTTCTCATTTTGGTCACTAGCATTATGTTTTTATTATATTTTAATTACCAGTTGAATTTGATTCTAATTCAAAAATACTTTAATAAATTTAACTCTTAATATATATAATCATTTTCATTCTAAATAATTCAATAAATTTAATCTTCGAATACAATTACGACACATGTTATTTTTAAAAAAAATTAAAGAGTATTAGATAGATCTAAAGGGATTAAACTTGAGATTTAGGTGGTAAATAATATTTAATCACTGCATCAAATTAAATAATTATTATATAGTTGTCAAAAATAATATTTAACATAAATTACGGTTGAAAGTAATAATTACTTTTTGATTTTTCTTCAAATATAATTTTTATTTTTTCATAATACAAAATAGTTTTAGATTGATTTAAAAATACGATAAAATAAATTAAATGACTTTGATTTATATCAAAATCTACTTGAAACAATATGGAATAACTAGTTTTATGATTTTATTGTTTTAATTATAAAAATAAATCTCAAATTAATATAAAATATATTAGTAATATATAAATTTTATAAAATCTAGATTATTTTAAACATCAATTATAAATATTAAAATTAAAATGCCAACAAAACAAGAAAAGAAAAAACCTCCGATAATCCGTGAAAGCGCGTACTCCATTTGCCTTTACTGCATAAAACAGGTCCCCATGATGAAGATCTTACACATTGATAATTTGAAGTTCGAGATGAAAATATATATATAAATACGATACGAATACGCAAAGCATCAACATATATAATATATGAAAATCCGATATAAATGGATAATATACGGAAAACAATACACGGATCGATAGGTCTAACACGACTCGGATATCTCCAAAAACGTTGGAAAGATGAGCAAAATAATAAGCAGTTAAGTCAAGTAGTTGAGTCATTTCATATAGGCTGGCCCTTTGGAACAATTTGATCTTTGATCCACATGTAAATGGGAACCAATACAAAGTAAGTTGCTGCAATTGCTCCAATAATGAACCGAAAAAGGAACAATAATGGATTAACAGGTTTCTTCACATCCTCTGCCTTTGGACCAAGCTGCAACAAGATTTACATGCTGTTAGAGAACAGCTAAGACGGACTCGAATGTGAGTGTCTGACATGAGTATGTCCATTTCTTTTTAAGTTCGTATCCATACACCTACGCCTTGATGTGTAGGACACGGATGTCGGACATGAGAAGAAATATCTTCGGATATCCTCGCATACTAAGATTTCTAGTATGAATGATTCATGATTTTAATACAAAATGAGGATGCATATGGAAGTTATTCTAATATCATTTATCCCATAGGAAAAGCACCAAATAGATTATGCTACCTTCAACGGAGAGTCTCCCGAGAAGGGCTTCACTCCAGTCACGGAACAACCCATGATCAAGCCGTGTCTTCGGACACCACGATACCATTTTGGTCCGATCCTTTTCAGTTTCACATCTTTGAAGCCAGCCTTTTCGAACCACTCTATGTACTCTTCCTCTTTCGGGAACAGCATCCACATATCCGCGAAAAAACGAGACAACCAGAATGTTGGATATACAGGACCTATAACACAGGCTTTCCCTCCTATTTTCAGTACTCTGTAAGCTTCCTTGATCCCGCGCTGCGGATCTGGCCAGTACTCAATACTGAGGAACTCAAACATATAAATGCATATAATATGAATATCACAGACAATAAACCATTCCAATTTCCACATTTCTGCAACTATTCAATGGAAAATTCGTCATACAAGAAAGGTAAACCGAGTTATTACCTTCCCGCGGACACGTATCGGTCGGCATAATCGGTAGGAAATGGGAGATCCTCGGCATCACCTTCAATTATCTTGCATTCCTTCAAAGGTTCCTTCTGCCTAGCCTTGGCAAGCTGGTGAGGTGACTGATCTAGAATTGTGACATTCTTCGCATCAACATGCTTCACTATACCTAGAGTCGTAAACCCGGTTCCGCCACCAACGTCCACTACTTTCATATTCCTAGAATAAAGATCAGCGGGTTCGAGCGCCTCGTCGCGCATATCCTCGGTCCAATGACCGGGGTTTATGATATGGTCATACACTATTGATAAGAACCTATAAAACCAAAATGCTTCTTGCTTGTGTTGTATGAACCTAGGCTGGGAAGCAGGCCTTGAGGATGATAAACTACATTTGGGTGCTATGATTCTAGCCTTTTGATTCTTGCTGTAAAAAAGTAAACCCTTTTGTGGCAAACACCTAAAATGAAAATTTGAACCAAAAAAGGCTAACCTTGTTGGGGTTGCTCCACTGATGAGATTCAGATTCTCAGCTCCACTGAGTATTGAAGAAGCCATGGAATGATGCAACTGTGAAAACCCAGAAGCACCAAAGTCAAATTACTAACTCTCAGGGCATGAGATAGTGAAAATCCAAATATATCATCTAAATATGAGCATTGGAAAGAAAGGAATCAAAATGGCTTACAAATGGAAGTAAGAGATGCTGACTTCAAGAAAGGAGGATTGTGAACCACACGTTATGGTGGTTTGGGATAAACCGATTGCCTATAAAAAAAAAACAACCAGTTACCTTTGGGGTCCTCATTTTCCAAACGGGCTGGCTCAGGCAGGTTCGGGCTCGAGTTTTTCTTAGTTCGGGCTTTTCCATTTTTCAAGTTTGGATTTTTATGAACTCAGGTTTTTTCGAGTTGGAGATTGTGGTCGTTTTTCAATTCTGCCCTGGATTGTTTTATGCATTAAACTTCCTGCTTCTATACCATTTTCTACCTGGTCACTGTTTTGGAAAGAAAACAGTGCTAATGGGAAACAAGGAGCAACAATGAGTCCGATCTTGTTCAAGACTGCCCCCGGCTCGTAGCAACGATGATGAAGAAATATACATTATCATACATCCCACTTTTCAAGTTTCGTTATAATATAATGTTAGGGCTGGTCACCCATCAAATAACATAGACTTCTAGTTTCATGCCAAGAAACACACCACTTTGCCATATTCCCTCCTTCCCCTCCCTCTTTAACAGGATCATATATAGACCGGGAATCGGTATACGGAATAGCAAGAAACAAGCTAACTCGAGCATAAGTTTATTTACTACCTACCATGAATGTTAACGAGACCCAAAAGTCCATTCATCCATCATGTGACTTCACTGTTGCCTTCAAAGTCATGCAGCAATTCTTCAAAAGTAGAGCATATTGTGCACATTAGCATATATAGGGCACCTGTTTATCGAAATGTCTAGTAGGAAGAACAAATATATGTTTAACTAACATTATACCAATTAAAGATCGTGAAATTCCTTGATCAGCAAGCAAAGCAAGTTTAGCTATAAAATTTTAACCATTAATGTTACATAAACAAACCAGACATTTTGTTTCCTTTCATAGAAGCACGACACTTTATTACAGCATACTTACAAAATGCAGGTTTCGTAGAATAGTAATAGGTGCAACCGGAAACCTACATACATCACTAACAACCCCGAAAGAGCATCAACGGATGTTTTTCTTCCGAGCTAGCTCACGAGCCATCTCTCTCAACTCCTCAGGTGATTGAGGTCTTGGTCCCTCTGGAGGATACACTACATAGGATCGCTTCACATCAAAGGAAAAAAAATAAATGATTTAGACTCCATAAGAAATACTCTACATGACAATATATATACATACACACACGTATACATATATTTTGAGATAGACAGATATAAGCAACACTTATAAAAGCATCAAAATGGTCATTCTAGTTAGAATTAATTCCCAGACAAAAAACTTCTGTGCCAAATTACCATTTTAGACATTGCAATATCGGCAATTTAGATCTACATCCAAGGGCAGTCTTGTGGACGGTTTGGAAAATTAGGAATGAAGTTATTTTTAAGAAAGGGAAGTTGGATGTGGTGTTGTTGTTCTTTATTGCTCGGTTTAGAATAGTTTCTTGGTTTGCTGCTAGTTTTGATTTGCAGATTCCTTTTGATTCTCTGGTGGGTGATTTAACACTTGCTGATTCAATGGTCAGCCACAAAGTAAGATCCAAACCTTCGTGCTGGGTTCCTCCTCCAGTTGGGTTCATAAAGATTAATGTTGATGGAGCAATGGTGAAGGGGTGGAGCAAAGGAGGTATACGAGGCCTGATTAGGGACAGCAGGGGTAAGTTGAGTCATTGGTTTGCTGAAAATGTTGGGGGAGGTCCCCCGATTATGGCAGAACTTCTGGCGATTAAGAGGGGGTTGAGCTTGCTTATTGATTCTGATGGGGTTTGTAACCAGAGGATTATTTTAGAATCTGATTCATCCAACGCGCTGAAGTGGATCAAAAATCCGGAACTAAGCACCCCTTTATTCCAACCATTGGTGAAGGAGATAGTCTCTAATTTGGAAGGGTTGGACATTTTGTTAAGGCTTATATCGAGGGCTGCTAATTGGGAAGCGGACAGATTAGCTAAGGAGGGTATAGGTTGATTTGCTTTCTTGTATTTGGGGAGTTGGTGTGTATGTTTCATTTTGTTATGCAGTTTTTGGTTTTCAGTCTTATGGTATTAGTGACTACGTTGTCCAGCTGAAAGTGGTTTTTAAGTCTTATGCGTTTTGGGAAGTGTTGGTTGTTGTAAGGGCTGGCTATGTACTATTCTATTGGTTAATATAACTATAGGCGCTATTTTCCTCCTTTCAAGGCCCTTCATGTTACTTTCATAACATGGAGGGTAAAATAAAGGGGGTTTTTTACGCGGCCTCATCTTCTATCAAAAAAAAAAAAAAAGACATTTTATACATAATGAAAAAGAACGGGGCTAAGAGAATCCATGCATATCTTTTAAGGTCGACTAGAAGTTGTATTAGTGTCTAGATGGAATGCAAAATACATTTAATACATAAAATGAAAAAGAATGGGGATAAGAGAATCCATGCATATATTTTACGGTCGAGTAGAAGTTGTACTAGTATCTAGACGGAATGCAAAAACCATTTTATATATGATGAAAAAGGACGGAGTTAAGAGGATCCATGCATATCTTTTAAGGTTGAGTAGACGTTATGGAAGGCATCGTATATGAATAAGAATTTTTCCATATTTTGGATGAGATGAAAATTTTGAACTTGAATGATAAAATTTGGTGTCAATAATGGAGCACTAAATGATTTTCATTTCTTACTCTTATGATAAGGGTAAATGACTCATGTACGGGTAGACATATTATGCCTTATATAAGTCTCCCACTCAATGAGAAAGCACAAACAACCTCAAAGCTACACAGGTAACAGGGGCTTGCCCAGCTAATCTTTTTAACGGTCCATTCATTGTCTGAGATGGATATAGCAATAAAGCCAGAAGCCTCGACAACACGCCAAAAACAGAATAATGCCTTCTCCAAACATGTGTAGCCGGAGTAGGCAAACACGGTTGCTATCAGTTCACTTACGTCTACTTTCATCCATGAAATTAACTTACATAACATGGCCCCGGAACGAAGTTTCTAAATTCACCATTTCAATTATATACAAAGCTCACGAATGAATTTCTATGTAACTCAAACTCGATGTTAGTGTTGAATATGTATTAGATATCCATGGACATTTAAGTTAACTCCACCATCTCACAAGAATCCAGAGAAGAATTTCATCCATGGGCTTAAAGAACATGGCCCCTCCAAATCTCAACCAACAAGCTAAAACATTGCATAACTTAACAGCACATCATGTTCGACAGGAAAAAAATAAACACCCAAATTTCAGGAAACTCAAACAAATATCAAACTTGGATCTAAATTCAAGCTGATCAAAGATTAAAATATATCAATCCCTCATGAGATTCAAAAACTAAAATCAATCCAGCAAAATCTAAGAAATAATAACAATGCAGTTGTTAATTATAGTATTATATACAATGAAGAGGAGGGGTAAAAGAGAGCTTACATTTCCCATAAATTTCTGGAGATTCTTAGTGTTGTTGGCGAAAGTGAACATAAGAACGATGGGGATCGTAACATAGAGACCAAATTTGGCGATTTCAAGAACACCCTTTGAAGTGCCTAAAGAAGACATTTTCCCCTACTACTTTTCCTGGGAAAATTGATGGGAATTTGCAGGAAAATTTATAGTTAAAACCCTTCAAGCGGCTGAAAAAAAATCTTGGACACGAACATATCCTTATCCAGTAAGATATATGCTAAAGGGCTCATCATATGATAGCCCAGAAATATGAACGTTGCCCAAAATTACATTTTTGGCAATTTGAGTTTTGATCATTGGGCTTCTAGCCCCTTAATTCAATGGTATAATTCAATTTTTAGCCCATAAAAACTTAAAACGTCAAATTTAGTCCTTTAATTTCTTTAATTACATGAAAATTTATCATTTTTGGACTCTAAAAATTTCAACTTGTCATTTCATTTTCTTTATATTATCTATAATCTTCATTTTTTTAAAATATTAATATCCAATATGTGTTTGATGTATATTTGTATATCCATGTCTCGAATCAAGATAAGATAAATGAACACACAAACGAATCTTTGTGATTGAGTGATACACATTGAAACAAGTGCTTTGGAGTCCAAATCTCTCCCACATTTCAAGTGCATCACCTAATTCAAACCATTTTAGCTGCCATGGATCCCTTCCTATCCTATGAACAGCACAAACTCATCTATGATGCGGCAGTTTCAGGCAATGGATAATGTGGTTAGGGTAATGACCAATGAGTGGCGACATAAATGTCACCAACCTTGTGTTTATTTTAACTACATATGAACAACAAGTATCAAACATGCCATGTGCTTTGTTCTGGACTTTGTCTTTCCAACAAAAGATTTGACAGAAAAGTTTAGGCTCCAATTTTTATTTTAAAGTTTCAACTGTAACTGCAATGCATGCCCGTCCAGGAAGAATCTGTTCACTGCTAAACAGATAGGAACGACCAAAATATATCCATAGACAGATTTTTGTATTCAAACATCTAAATAAAAACTTTGGGATCACTTGATTCAAATCCTGGAATCTTTTCAGATCTTGTTTCTTTATACCGTTATAGGGTTTTGTTACTGTTACATGAACTGATAGTTATGTTGTGTTATATGATATTAGTATAATTATGATTTTAGTCCTTTTGAGATTTAATCCCTCTAATTTAGGATAATTTGGTCCTCTACTTTTGTACTAGTAGGTACAAACTGATGACATTAGCAGCTATTGGTGTGAAAGTGATGACATGAATTTTCTTTTTTAGATATTATTCGAATGACAATGGAGCAGGGTGAGGATGGATGTTGCTATATCCACTGTTCCACTATTAACAGTTTGAACATAATTAGATTACGATCATAACATTTAAGGTTCAAATTTGATATTTAGCGTTTAAATCTTAATATTGATTATGATTCTAGTATTCCACAAATTAGAAAACCTAAAGGGTGAAGTACACAAATGGTCCCCCTGATTATAAGACATTATTTTATTGAGTCCCTCGACTATTAAAAGTTACAAAATTGTCATCTAACTATTCACATGTTATGAACTCATCCTTATTGGTTAAAAAAATTGACGATAATCTGAGCTGAATGATAACCTTATGATTGAGATATGCTAAAATTTGATCCCAAAATTTCAAACGACTATTATATATATATCTCATGTAGCATGTTAACGTCCAGCTCAGACGACTGTCAATTTTTTTACTGAAAAAGAACAAGTTTGGAATATATAAATAATCGATTGGCCATTTTATAACTTTTAATACTCGAGAGACTCAACAAAGGAACACCATATTGTTGGAGAAGCATTTTGTAACTTTTAAGAGTCAGGTACTCAATAAAACAATGCCCTGTAGTCAAATGACCATTTGTGTACTTTATTCAAACCTAAAAAGCATTGATATTATCATCATCTAAGATTCAATACATTTGATTAATGGCGTGGGGCTCCCAACAAATTACACCCTTTTGCTCAAAAGAAACATATAGGGTACCAAGTCCCAAAAAGTTTTCTCATTGCTGGATAAATATTTTCCCAACAAAAGGTATTATTAGTTTAATTGTCTCACTAACCAATCGGCAGCTGGAAAAACTGGTAATGATCCATGCTCTTGAGAAAAAGACAACATGGAATGGGATATATTCCTTCCTTTTGTAGATTATGTTATCGAATCCCATCTCATTTTATTATTATCATATGTTGATGATGTTTATGACATATTCTTTTGAGACATTATTAAATTCAACGCTTCCATTTGATGCTCACATAGAGGGAGAATTTTACGTATTGAAAACAGCAAAAAGATGCTGACTATAAACTATTCATTTCCCTTTGGATTTTTCTCTGTTTTATATACAGCTTTCAGGTTTCATGTGTGGGTGGAGCTTTTGGAAATCAAAGAAAAATATAATTAATATATAGAGAAAAGTTAGGATTAATTATTGAGGGGGGCAAATTATTTAAATTTAAAATAATAAAAAATATTATTTTTTAAGTTTAAATTAATAAGACCTGAAAATGGCTAATCTAGGGGCGAGAGTAAGGGTTAGTAGGTTCGGGTTTTGTGAGGTTCCAACCGACTCGATCTAATTTTTGAGATAAAACCTTGCACATGATTCAATTCGATTTGACACAAATATATATAATAATTATTTTTATTACGTAAAATAAGAACTTAATTTAAAAAAATAGATATAGGAATATTATTTTAGTTATTCCTAAATACAATATTATTATCATAAGTCAGGTCGAATCATATATTTTTCACCCTAAATATGATCCTTACCCAAATTGACCTTACAGTTAAAATTAATTTAACTCTATAAAATCGAATCGGATCAAAATTTGTCGAATCTAGATCTCATACCCATGTTTAAGAAAGAGCCCATTCTACTCTCCAAATACCTTCATCCCTGATAATACATTATACAAGTATCATGGGAGATCAAATTCTGTGTTAGAATTTATGCGATGCATAAATTTTAGATTTAATTTATATACTTTAATTTAATTAATTTTAATCCTTATGATTTTTAAAATTTAAAATTTTAATTTTAACCCAAATACTACAAGGAGTCAGAAATACACACATGCTTTCTCCCTCTTGTAATCTCACATAATTAAAAAGCTTTAAGTCTCCTCTTATGCGTAAACAATCGACAGTAAATGTTAAAACTCGAGTTTCACATGTATTAAATATATATAATTTAAATTAAGATTCAATTTTTAAAATATATTTTAAAAGAAAAATTAAAACAAATGAAATAAATGATGAAAATGGAAAGCACCCTCATTTTATTTTTGCAGATTCAACAATTATAACCCATACAAGCTTTAATCATACAGAGATAATACAGCTGATATACAGAATACAACTTTGGTTTTTTGTGTATTATATTACATAACCAAAACTTGGGGACATCAAATCCGTTTGTTCTTCTTCTTACACTTGATTAGTTTCCTTAATCCCTTCAAAAAACTTTCTCAGTCCTTTGAATCCCTGAAAGATGAATTATCTACTGAAACGAAACTGAGAATCGATTCCACTTCCGACAACCCAAGCTGGTCGAAGATTCTCCTCTTCATTAGAGCAAATGAATCTTCTGTGATGTTCATACACCACAACCTAACCATCTAGCTTCTGATCCTTTCATGATTCTTAATCTCTTGCACGATGTAATGAACATTCTGCAACATCAAAGACAACCTCGTAAATTTCAATTCCAGAAGAAATATGAACTTATATATATATATATAGAGAGAGAGAGAGATACATACTCCCATGGAACATCTCCGACAAGCATCCAGTCACCATCTTTGTCTTCATAAGTAGGCTCATAATCCGACCCCTTGTAGCCTTCTCTTTCAGAGTATTCGCCTATGGTGAACTTGAACATTTTCTCAATAGCTTTCAACAACTCCGGGTAACCGGAGTAAACTTTAAGGTCAATCTTTCTCAGATACGGCACTCCATCCATGCTTATTTTTATATAAAACCCGCCGCCGTCGGACTCGGTTTTCTTCGCCAGAGAGATGTTCTTTCTGTACGGCCGGATCGGCGGCCACCCCACGACCTGTGCTCTGTACATGTTAAAAAGCGATTAGTTTTCAACCAAATTTTACATCAAATGATCAAATCAAATAAGAAAAATCAAGTATCGGATATGCTTACTTGGGAGGAGGGGCAGTTTCGTTTCGACAATCGGATTCGATGTTCTGTCGTTTGTTGTTTCTGACATTGGAAACTGCTTGTTGTTCTTCATGTGTTCCTGGCAAACCTAATCTTAGCTCAGTTGCTTTGAGATTTAGATCATTGTCGTAAGCCAGACTGTCTTCCATTTTCTTCTTCTTCTTCTTCTTCTTCAAAGATGCAATGTTTCTGAGATTGAGACGAATGGTTTTTTGATGACGAGGAGTAGATCATATATAATGAAAAAAGGAGAAGGGTTTGAATGAATGAATGAATTAAGTAGAAAGGAAAGGTCAGTTGTCGGTAGGAAAATAGGCAAGTTTGAGGCAAGGTGGCCCTGTGATTGTGGGGACAAAACTTCGACAACCTCAGCCGCCAGTATGGAAACAATTTTCAGCCCCATGGTCAACCTCCCACTCTCATTTTTACTTTTATTCCCGCGGTGAGTAATAATACTAAACAGTCTTAATAGTTAAATATATAATTATTATTTTTAAAAATTTTGAATTTGAGTATAATTTTTACGAATGTTTGAGTAATTGTCAAATAATTAAAAGTATTTTAAATAGATACTATAATATAATACTAAAATTACTAATTAATAATAACATTTATAAGTGGTGAAATTATGTCATCAACCTTTGTAATATGCATAGATTATTGATTTAGTCGATATATACTTTTTTAATAGTTTATGATATACTCTACAAATATAATTATTTTTTTTATCGTTGATGTTTTTTAATTTTTTTTCAAATAATCTAATATGATTATAAGATAATATATGTTCAAAACTTTATTAGTCTATTAATAACGTGCATAATCTCTACAAACGTAACTGTTTGAATTTAAGATCTCTAAAAAAAGACATTTCCTTCTCACACTAAAAACAATTAATAAGTTTAAGTCGTTCAAAATTTTAATATATCTTAATTCTTAATCCATGTGCCTTTAATTTTTTTAAATTCTCGATAATATTACATGTAAGCATATTTATTATTTTTACATTAAATACATTAAGGCATGAGAGCCCCACACTGTCCTCTCGTCTCCTCTGAATAATATTTTCCATTGGATGGTCAAATTTGAAGCTAAGCTAAGGTAACCATACCAAATGATCAGAAAAATGAAGGGTCCATTTCACCCTCACCCGTGCACATTAAAACCTGTTTGCTCATTATTATTCTTGTTCTCCTCTTGCCATGCACATCCCATCCAACTTTCCATATTCAAGATCCATAATTAATAACAATAGAACTCAATATATTTACAATCACGATAAACATAAAATAAGAAGAACTAAAATATCGAGGACTGTGGTCGATATAACTTCAGGGATAGTGATGCATAACGAACATTAGATCAAAGTTTGAGTTTTGTATAATTTTGCAGAATTTGATTCGCTTAGAGTTTCCAGGTTGGGATATGCAATGCATTGAAACATGACCCATCAATGGAAGTTGAAGAATTAAATGGAGGACTCGAGTGTTGGGAATGGCAGATACGTGAAGGATGGGTGCGTGTGTGGTTATGAGATTGTGTACGTGTATAGATGGTGATCGGGATTTATTGTACAAAGTATTGAAATAGATCTTTGTGGATATTTTTTCCTATTGTATTTCACGCGTAAATAAAAATTATAATATTATTTAATAAATTTGATATCAATTAAAATTATAAAATATATTTATAATGTTAAGAAGAGATTTTGAAGGAAAGATATTGATGAAAATATAAGTGTCAAGAAATTAATCTGAAGAAATAATTTATAAAAGAAACTGCAGTTGAATGATTAAATTGAATAAAATATAAAGTTGAGGGATTAAATTAAAAAAGAATAAATTTATTGTTAAAAATAATAATTGAAGTTACATGAGTATTCAATAGGTATTCTAATATAGGTTAGGAGCATGTGGTTCAAATTTAATAAAAAAAACCTAAAATGAATGAACAATTGAATAAATAAAGAAATCAAAGATTAAATTATCAAATTATTAGGCTAAAAATCAAAATGATATCATTTTGATATTTTTTATGAATTACAAAACCCTGGACTTGACATGAACTTGAATATTGACTCACAAATTCAAATTGACTCGAATAATTTAAAATATAAAAATTATTTTTTAAAATTAAATCAAATTTTATTCACCCTTACTTAAAATGCCAATTAAACATTAATTAATTAGATTATTACGGTTGATGTTGCAACATCCATGATGTCATAGATTCAAGTGTATTTAAACATAATTATCAACGTTTTGAAAATCGGACCGGACCGGCCGGTTCAATCGAGAACGTTGCATAGTCCAATTCAATTTATACCGGTTGAACCGCTACTAGTGAACCGGTCAGAACCGGCCAGAATCGTTCGAACCGGACCGGCTGAAAACCGGGAAAAACCGGAAAAACCGTCAATTTTGTTTTTTTTAAATTAAACCAAACGACGTCGTTTGTTAAACGAGCCAAGTCGAACTCGAGTATTGCTGAGCTCGACTCAAACTTGAAAACTTTAAAAATAAGCTCAACTCGACTCAAACTCACGAGCTAAAAATTATCAAGTTCAACTCGAACTCGAAATATAATATTGAACCTTGAACTCGAAAACGCTTGAACTAAAAAAAAATTTAGAAGCTCGATTGAAGCCTAAAATTCGAACTTAATTGAAGTGAAAGAATAGTTCACTAAATGCTCACCAAAAGCTCCATGATTTTGAATGTCAAATTACCTCTATTATTTATAGAAGTTAGTTGGGATGCTCTTCTATGTTTCTTAGCCATGTGAGATTGTTTTGTTTTCATGCTTTTACTCTTTAGACTTTTGGGATGCTCTTCTATGTTTCTTAGCCATGTGGAATTGTTTAAAAAAAAAAATTAAACCAAACAATATCATTTTATTATGATTTTTTAGCCCCAAATTTTTTTAAATTATAGTTATATAATTATATTTATTATTTAATATGTTTTACCTTAAATATTATGTTGTAGTTAATTTGAATCATTTTGTTTCACTTGATTTTATGGTTTTTAACATATATATATATGTTATGACATGCTTTGAATATAACTTGTGATATAAAAAATTATTTTTTATTAAATATTTTTGGTATTTTTATTTAATTTTTTAAATAATTATGACGTCGTCCGATTCTTCCGACCGATTCGACCGGTTGAACCAGTGAACCGGTAGTATGGCCAGTTCGCTAACGGGTCCGGTTCTGAAAACCATGATAATTATTCTTCTTTTCTTTTATTATTGACCAAATTAAATAGCTATGTTTTGAATTTTCTAGATAAAATGTTCATGTGAAGAAAACGCGTAATGAAAATTGAAGCCGATAGACAAGAACACGTCCTCTTGGTTGTAATAAAGAAAACATGCAAGCAAGTTACAGTAACGAGGGCTCCAAAATGTCCATATTCTTAGTTGTAAATAAACTTTTAAATTTGGGCACACACCCTAAACCAAACATATGATGCGAAGCGTGTGCAATTACATTAGTTTCAAACATCTGTATTACATAGGCATCTATTCTTGTTGTCACCAACACAAACACTTCGCCCCCACCCACCCCCAACACCTTTTACAGCTTATCAACTTTTGTTTTAGCTAGTCGGTGCTGCATTGCCCTTTCAAGATTCTCCAAGACTCTCAAGCATTTCACACGCACGTTTTACGGGTTTTATACCTTCGAAGATATTTTCGAAAGATACTCGAGTTTTAATTAGGTAGTTAATTAATTATAGTATATAAATTATAATTCTGATGGTCTCATGTGATACGTCAAGATGAAATTCTAGATCTGCTAATCAAATCTATATACCCAACAATATAATCATGATGATTCTATTATTGACACACGCACTAAAAATTATTATAAGTATCCCAATAAATATTGATAAAGGGCATGGCACCCTTTACAACTATCCCTCTCCTTCTTCCTCAGGATCAACCCTTTGCAATAACAACAATCAATGATCATTCTTTCACTAACTACGAGTCTCCGTCCAAATAAAAAAGATTAAACTGCTCACAATCAACAAAACCCATTTATTACTATGGATAATGATATATGAAGATTAATCTTTCACGATTTATGATTATCATACTCCTAATAATATCATATTCATAATTTAAATACAAATTTTCTCCTCAACACTAAAATATACCTTATTCATTACACTGACAATTATTGATTTACACTATTTCTATAATAAAGTCGGTGTTTTCACTTAATATCTGAAAATGAAGGGAAACAAAAGGCAGTCATTTTTGAATTAAAAATGTGCCGACATTGGGTCAGTTTTAAAGATAATTTGAAGCAAGGGAAAGCGAGTATCCAAGCTGTAGACATGAGAAATACGAGTTGGCTGAAAATCGGTGGTCCCCGACAAGGGCAATATGCCTTACTGAAGGAACCCTAACACCCTTATGAAGGGCACTGAAGGAGAGTAGACATGATTAGGGTGGTGTGTGGTGCCACAATTGGATGGCAACTTCCATTTGCATTCAAATGCGTGGGGATTCGCCTTTTCAATGCAATTCTAGGTAGAGTAATATTTTTGGTCCTTCAAATTTATCAATATAGTACTTTTTAGTCTTTGAAGTTTTGTTATATTTTTCTAGCTTTTAAATTTTTATTTTTATCAAATTGACTCAAGCGTGATGAAATAATAATATTATTGTGCCTTTATTAAAATATTTGTGTCAAATATCTTAACATTTTTCATCACTTCATAAAAAAATCAAAAAAAAATATAAATTTTAAAATGTTAATAACATTTTAATAAAAATAAATAAATTATTATTTTTTGAATAGTCTAAGATGATTATAATGTGATAACTGTTTAGAATTTTTATTACCCATTAAATTAAATGAATGTCGATGTTTGGAGTGTGTGCCAAAATAAATTGATGTGGTTATGGCAGCACAGACATTGCGGGGGTAAAGATTTTAATTTTTAGTCAAACTCTTTTGGTGAACTGAATTTGCAATTGTGAATTCATTGTACTGGAATCTAACTTAAGAAACAATTACTGTTCATTACAGTATTTTTAGCCGCAATCAATGTTCATACATGAATTTTGTTATTCCCTCGATAAATAAATAATACACATATAGATCTATTCAAACTCACATAAATTATTATCAATA